CTGCAGTGTGCTGAGTGTTGTGATCTGCAATGTGGTGAGTTTTGTGATTTGCAGTGTGGTTGAGTTTTGTGATTTGCAGTGTGGTTGAGTGTTGTGATCTGCAGTGTGATGAGTGTTGTGACCTGCAGTGTGGTGAATGTTGTGACCTGCAATGTGTTGAATGCTGTGATCTGCAGTGTGGTAGTTGAATAGTGTGGATGAGACAGAACGGTTTCAAGTCTTGGCGTCCACGATAGTGAAGCGCCTGTCACTGCTATGGCAGTCAACAGAGCATATGCGGAGCGAGACACTTTCATCCCTCAAAAATGTCCCCAACTCGCTGTCACTTACACAGCAATTCAACATTTATTTGAATCCCTTTAGAATAACTTAAATCCCTTGTTTATTATTAAATCCCATATTTATTATATAATATCCCATATTAATAATGTAAATCACCTGATCGTTAAAAACTCATAACATGCACTCTCACAATCACTTAAACCCTTTAGGTACAGTATAATTCCACTCTTCATAATATCTCAGAGCACCATTCACATTAACCACGAAGTCACTGTGGACGAGCCGTGTACGTATCGGTTACAGATAATACCCACCTTGAGTGCGAAGAATTTTAAAAACTTGTCCAAATCCTTTTTGTCTTGAAGGCTCAACTCCTTCGGCGAATCCATGATGTCGAGCATAAGGCGGCGCCTAAAACAGCAAATCAAAGGCAGCGACATCACTTAGCCCGCGCCCGAGACGGCGCCGCGCATTCATGCGGCTCGGCCACGCTGCGCGCTCCCTACCCCGCAGGCCTCTCAGGCAACAGCGATGCTTCTCGACCAGCACAGGCCGTCGGCCTCGATCCCCTCAAAGCGGGTACATAACGCAGATTAAGATAAATCGTTTCTTAGTTTGCCACTTGAGTAATACGAGTTGATTGAATACAACGGAAACAGAACACAACGGACCAGATCCTCCTTTCATAACATCGCAAATTGTCCACACAAATCGGATCCCAAAGCTCAACCCTATTCCCATGTCCCACACTCCCCAGATCGCACTCCTTCCAGCCTAACCCCACACTTTCCAGCTCTCACACTCACCAGATCCCATACTCATCATGTCCCACTCTCTCCAGATCCAACTCTCACCAGAGTACACTCCAAACCAGATGCTCCGTTCACCAGACCCGACACTCACCAAATCACACTTTCCAGATACAGCTCTCACTCACCATTTCCCACAGATCAGATCTCACACTCACCAGATCCCACACACACGCAGAGCGACCTCAAAGTCCTCCACAGGAGTGCGAACAAATGCATATGTAGATGTCTCCTCGGTTAGACCTGCATTCCCAGCTGCTCCTCACAGGACCAAGGATCTCCAGGGGACCCTGGTCCCCGGGCCAGGCCCCACAGGCATTGGGGGGGCAGCGCTGAGGGGAACCTCTGCTGCCCTCGTCGGGGGTTGATCTCGTCTCACCAGGAGGAGGAGGAGGACGAGGAGACGGGGTCACAAGCGACGGCTCGCACGGGAAGAGGCCTCAATCCTCTCGGCGGGGCCGCGCCATGGCGCCACGCAGCGCGTGTTTACGTCGCAGGGGGGAGGAGGAGGCAGGGGGAGGGGCGACCTCGCGCCCCTTCCGGGCCCTGTTGGCGGCCGCGCTCCGTGCCACGACGGCGCCCTCTGGCGGCCGCCTGGCGTGCTGCTGGCGATTCTTGTGGCGCGTCACCCAATAGGTTCATATGGTCTTCTTCGTTGGTTCTTTCGGTAAGGTCACGTAGAATGAGAATAAAATAATAAAATAACACAATACAATTCTCACGACGTTTCGGCCACAACGCAAGCGGCCGTATGGCTGGAGATGTTTTACATTTATCCGTTTTTTGCCTGGTTTTGGTTGTTTTTGTTCTGATTTCCTTGATGTCACATATATATTGTGCAATATATAACTATATTCTGTGGGTCTTTCGGTAAAGTCACGTAGATAGGTTCAAAAAAAATAACACAAAAATAACAAAAAAACTACGACATTTCGATCACAGCACAAGCGATCGTCATCAGGCAGACTTTTTTAAAGGTTTAAAACAGTAAAGGTTTAAAACAGTAAAGGTTTAAAACCGTCTGCTTCAGCAGCTTTCCCCCTCTTTTTTCCTCCTGATGACGACCGCTTGTTGTGCTGCGATCGAAACGTCGTAGTTTTTTGTTATATTTTTGTTATTTTATTTGAACCTATCTACATTACTTTACCGAAAGACCCAAATAATATGAATTCCTGCAGTCACGAAAGCTTTAAGTCAATATTTAACCTTATTTGCTTTGAACGTTTTGGTGACCCTGGTCACTTTTTCTTCTTTGGTTCTTTCGGTAAAGTCACGTAGAATGAGAATAAAATAATAAAATAAAACAATAACTTGTATTGTTTAAATTGTATTGTTTTAAAAAACAATGCATTTTATTGTTTTATTTTATTATTTTATTCTCATTCTACCTGACTTCACCGAAAGAACCAAAGAAGATGAATCCTTGCAGTCACGAAAGCTTTAAATCGAGACCCTGGTCATTGTTGCAAATAAAACGCGTCTTGTGTTCTCATCTGGGTAAACAAAATACGCTTGAAACTTGCGGTGTTTTGAGTTTACGTGGTGTGTGGGGTTCACGAGATGTGTTGATCTTCATGTGATATGAGAGGTTCACATGGTGTATGGGGTTACTGTGGCGTGAGAGGTTCACGTGGTGTGTGGGGTTCACGCGGTGTGGTTCAGGTGATGTGTGGGGGGTTCACGCGGTGTGGTGAGATTCATGACGTGTGTGTGGTTCATGCGGTGTGGTGAGATTCATGTGGTGTGAGAGGTTCACGTGGTGTATGGGGTTACTGTGGCGTGAGAGGTTCACGTGGTGTGTGGGGTTCACGCGGTTTGGTGAGGTTCATGTAGTGTGAAAGGTTCACGCGGTGTGATGAGATTCATGTGGTGTGAGAGGTTCACGTGGTGTGTGGGATTCACGCGGTGTGGTGAGATTCATGTGGTGTGAGAGGTTCACGTGGCGTGTGGGATTCACGCGGTGTGATGAGGTTCATGTGATGTGTGGGGTTCACGTGATGTGAGAGGTTCACGTGGTGTGTGGGGTTCACGCGGTGTGGTGAGATTCATGACGTGTGTGTGGTTCATGCGGTGTGGTGAGATTCATGTGGTGTGAGAGGTTCACGTGGTGTGTGGGGTTCACGCGGTTTGGTGAGGTTCATGTAGTGTGAAAGGTTCACGCGGTGTGATGAGATTCATGTGGTGTGAGAGGTTCACGTGGTGTGTGGGATTCACGCGGTGTGGTGAGATTCATGTGGTGTGAGAGGTTCACGTGGCGTGTGGGATTCACGCGGTGTGATGAGGTTCATGTGATGTGTGGGGTTCACGTGATGTGAGAGGTTCACGTGGTGTGTGGGGTTCACGCGGTGTGGTGAGATTCATGTGGTGTGTGTGGTTCACGCGGTGTGGTGAGGTTCATGAAGTGTGTGTGGTTCACGCGGTGTGGTGAGGTTCATGTGGTGTGAAAGGTTCACGTGGCCTGTGGGGTTCACGCGGTGTGGTGACGTTCATGTGGTGTGATAGATTCACGTGGTGTGCATGGATGAACCATGAGCCCGCGTAAGTGTGGAGCGCCCTCATCTTTGATCCTCTGCCACTTCTCCCGCTCGGAATCCGAGCCAAATGCCGCGGCTGCGTTGCAGCCCAAAGGGGCAAAGCTCAGCCACGTGACGCTTTGGGTCCTGCGGATGAATAGGTGATCTCACACGCGCCCCGTGCCGTCCTCCACTCCCAAACCTCGTGGAGTTCTCACAAGAGCAAATGCAGCTCGCTCAGTCTGACGAGAGACACGTGAAGGAGACACGCATCACCGGTATTCTGAAGATATTATAATAACTTTGAAACAGGTAAAGGTTGCGCCGTAATATTGCTTCCTCACACCACTCCTGGCGATAGGGTATCCGCTCAATTGATCTCTGGAGGATATCGACATGGACATCCTCGCTAACAAAATGTTTCATCTCAAGGGATTTTGCAGGTGAATTGTTATAGTAAAGTGCCTGTTACAGGAAACAACTGTTCTGGTTTGGAAAGTTGGAAAATTACCAACGCCTTCAAATTTCAACAGGGGAACATCGATTCGAATAAGCCGAATAATGTTTCACCCTCCTCGATGGAAACCAGTGACCCGATCTGCACGGCGTCAAGGTGACTCCGTTGCTCCGGGTGGCGCGGGACCCGATTCTCCAGCTACAACATTCCCCAGTGTTGCCACCGAGAGCCAGGCAGGCTGCGCGAGGGCCGTATTATGCAAGCAGTTGCATAATTGGCTAATCCCCAAATATCTCATTTTCTCACTATTGCAATGTGGCCCAAAGTCCACACCATGAAATGCATAAACCAGCCACGCGCCCGCCACACTGCGCCCACGCGCAGTTTCCCCGCAGAGCCCTGCCACCACCGAATCACCCAGAAGGCGCGCCGGGATCTCGAGATCTCCGAAGCCAAGTGGGCTCGAGTGTGGTTCGTTCTTAGGCCAGCGACTGCCTGCGAATAGCACGTGTTGTAAGATTTGTCTACGAGGCGGCCAAGATATTTCAGGAGAGACATAGATTATTGAGTGTATATGTGCGGATTTGCGTGTTACCCTCCTCATATTTGCGTAGGGGTTCTTCGGTTGTCCTCCGATTTCCTCCCACGCGAAGCGGAACTCTTTTTAATGGAATTAGCCAACAACCTAATGCAGTAGGACCCTGCTGAAAGGAGTCTTAAGAATCAGTGAGGCTTTTCCGGATAGCTAACCAGATTAAACGTAAGATTATAGCTATCATCATCATCAGCAGCAGCAGCAGAAGCAGCATCAGTAGCAGCGCTCCTCTGCCGACGCCCTCTGCCCGCGCCTGTACCCCTGGCTGGTGAGAAGGGGACTCCAATGCGCGCCTGCACCACTCGCTGCGACACGCGTCCGCGGGAGTGAGTGGCCACTCCGGGATGGAGACCGTGTCCCTACCACCTCTGCTCACGGAGAACGCGACCTTCTCGGCTGCTCCGCGCTCGGCGCTCATCTTCTTGGGCACGGGCGCGCTCAGCCTGCTCACGGTGCTGGGAAACGCGCTCGTCATCATATCCATCTGCGTCAACCGCCGGCTGCAGACGGTCAACAGCTACTTCATCTTTAGCCTGGCGTGCGCAGATCTCATAATCGGCGCCTTCTCCATGAACGTCTATGCGGTGTACGTGTGGCGGGGCGCGTGGCCGCTGGGCGCTGCGCTGTGCGACCTGTGGCTCTCGATCGACTACGTGGCGAGCAACGCGTCCGTCATGAACCTGCTCATCATCAGCTGCGACCGCTTCCTGTGCGTGTCGCGGCCGCACACCTACCCGGCTCGCCGCACGGCCCGCGCCGCCGCGATCGTGATCGCGGCCGCTTGGCTGCTATCCTTGCTGCTGTGGGCCCCGGCCATCGTGCTCTGGCAGTTTGTCGAGGGGGTGCGCACCGTGCCCCAAGACGCCTGCTACATCCAATTCTTCTCTAACCCCGCGGCCACCTTGGGCACAGCCATCGCCGCCTTCTACCTGCCTGTAGCCGTCATGTGCATTCTCTATCTCTACATCCTGCGCGCCAGCAGGTGCCGCGTGCAGCCGGGCGAGCGGCCTCAGCAGCGGCCACAGGGCCCAGTGAGACTCATGGCCTCGGCCAAGGTGCTGTTCCAATGGCCTGGAGATGGCCGCTCGCGCAGCGCTGGGAGCGCCGCGAGTGAACGGGACGCAGAGGGGGAGAGAGCAGCGCCGAGCGCGCGGCTGGAGCTACACGCGGCCGGGCACGACGGCGCCGCACAGATGGATTGCAGATCTCGTCGGGGAAGTTCCCTCCCCGAACTCAGCCCAGGCTCCGGAGACGAAGAAGTCGACGGCGGGAGCGGCCCGGGAGCGGCGCCTCGCGTCCCCCCCGCGCGGTGCCGCCGTGCGCGCCGCCGTCGTTTGTCGAGCGAGAACGGAGAGGCGAGCGGAGAGACGGCGAGTGGCGGCCCGCGGCTCCGAGTGGGTGGGGGAGGTGGTGCGGGCGCGGCGCGGCGTAGCGGGAGCTTCGGCGGCGCCCGGGCGCGGCGCGAGAGGAAGCTGACCCGCACCGTGGCCGCCGTGCTGCTTGCGTTCATCGTCACGTGGACGCCCTACAACGTGATGGTGCTGCTCGCCGTGTTTTGCACGGACTGCGTGCCCCACGCCGCCTGGGAGCTGGGCTACTGGCTCTGCTACGTCAACAGCGCCGTGAACCCCGCGTGCTACGCGCTCTGCATCCGCGAGTTCAAGCGCACATTCCTGCAGCTGATGCGCTGCCGTTGCGGGAGCCGAGCGCAGGTCCGGCGCCTCGCGACCGGGATAGCGCGGGGCAGGTGAAGCGAGGTGTGGAAGCCAGTGACGAAATATGTGGGGGGCAAGTGGAGAGAGATGTAGGGGACAATGATATGAGATGTGGGGTGGCGCAAGTGAAGCCAGGTGTAGGGGACAGTGATACAAGATCTGGCGGACAGGTGAAGCGGAGTGTGGGGGGCAGGTGAAGCGAGATGACCCCTCTGAATTGAGGAAGCAACACAAACCAAAATCGCGAGGGGCCTCAGGGTCACGATCATTTATCGTCTTCTGTAAGTTTCTATTCTAGAGCAGATATATGACTCTCCTCGCCCAATCCCACTTCCCCACTTAAACCCGCAACACTGCCACAGATGCCCCATGTACTCGGGTTTCTAGCTGGGCAGTGGTGGTGGCTATGCACGTGGCGGCCTGTAATCCCGCATTGTGGAGGTAAGTGAGGTTGGTGGAGCACACACGTTGCAAGACTCCCTTCCCGTGGGTGTAGAGGAGGTGGTCCCGCAAACATGTGGACTCCACCTGTTCCATTTGTACGGGACAGTGTTTCATTCTCGCACGTGTGGGGTTTCTCCGAGTGCTCCAGTTTTCTCCCACAAGTAAACACTCATTAATTGGTCGGTAACACCTTCATATATAGAGGAACGCAGACCATCTGTCCGTGGTTCATCCGCGTCCCTCTGAGTTGTCCTCTCTACGACAGCGAGCGAAATATGTGCGGCGGCGACGCAGTGTTACAAGGCGACATTGTTATTGCTACTACTGATAGTAGAGTCGTGCTGAAGGTGGCTTCCCGTCGGTGTTCTTGAGGCGGGAGTCAGGACACGGCGGCGGCGGCGAGCGCGGCTGAGCTGTAAACACGGCGTCGCTTTATTACAAACGCACGGCGCGCGGCCACGGACGCGCGCCGCCCACCGTAGAAATGCACTCCACGCGACGCCAGCCTCCATCATCACCGGTCAGAAATATATAAAATGTCGAGTTTAAAATCTCAAGAGGATGTTTCACACGCACAATATGCAAAACGAGCACGACCATCATTCCCTCGGTATGTACACACACTCGGCACTGGGGGGGGGGGGGTCACGCAAGGTCACGGAGTCATGCAGTCACGGCACGTGGCGCGGTGCGCCAGGAAGCACGGGGGAGGTGAGCGCTGTTGGCGGTAAGAGTCGGGGGTGGTGGGAGGGACGGGGGAGCAGGGTGAGGCAACGAGAGCACCACCAGGATGGTTACCTGGACGCACTCAGTAAAGATCATCTCCGTTTCATGGTCAGACCCAGGAGGGATCGAGATCGGGGTTCACGAATGTACAAGACACGGCGACACGGCGACATGGCCGGGAGAGGGGAGGGACGGGGGGAGTCAGGGAGAAGAAGCGGTGGGGAGGAGCGGGGCTGAGAAATCAACGTGAGATGAGCGGGCGGGCGGGAGTTTCACTGTCGCGGCGACTGGAGAAGAAGTCATCTCAGCTCCACGGAAGAACTCGCCCGCGGGGCTCGGTGCGGCACCCAACACCGGGCAAGTCCAGCGAGCAGCAGCGCGGGGCCACCGTGCCGAGCGGGTGGCACTGATGAAACCGGTGGTGTCACTGTTGGAGCTGGGTTATTGCTTGTGGAGTTTGTGGAGCTGGTGCTATCATTGCTGGTGCGCTCACGATGGTGATGGTTGCGCTAGTGTCGGCTGCTGGGGCCGCGAGGTGGTGGTGACGAAAAGTTTGGTGGTCAAGGTGATAGTTAATGTGGCGGTGATAGTGGTGGCGGTGGTTAGTGTCGGTAATTGTGGCAGTGGTGATGGTGGACGGTGGTCTTCACACGGCCGTCTCCTGGTCGTCGCGCGTGATCATCTGCTGGTGCTGCCGATTCTCAAGGAAGGCGGCGAGCTCCAGTTCCCCGGCTTCACGCGCCACATCTCCTGCCAGATCCCCCTGCAGCGGCACCGGCACAAGTGCCAGCAAATTCAAGCGATCGGTCGGGCAACCCAAATCCCTCTCTGTATTGTGCAACCATAATCTCCTGCGACTTCTTCGTCTAAATGCCCACGCGATGTAAATTCGGGGCGACAAATCGCAGAGCAGATTAATGCATCCAAGCTGAGTCTGTCTGTACTCTAAAACCAGATACCACCAGATGAAAGCAGAGTCTATCACTACTGTGAGCAAACGGTGGTTGGAGAGACGACCATAAAGGCGATTCAGTTGCAAGACGTCCGAGTTGCAAGCAACCACCAGCCGCTGCAGCCTCACAGGGTCACGCTTCCTGCTCAGGGTCAGTGCTTACCACAAAGCCAACTCTGAATGTGTCCGATCTTATTTGATATCTGAAGCTGAGCAGGGTTCAACCCAGTTAATACTTGAAAAATAAAACAGGTGTTAAGATGTTCAAACACCAAATATCTTCATTTTGCAATTAATCAAGTGTGCATTAACCACACGGACTTGCGGTGAAAATGCAAAGAAAACATGCTCTGATCATATATGAATCATATATGCATTGTCTTTGAAACTGATTGACCTACGCCAGAGACAGCTTTCTTTATGGCCTAGTCGCACCAGTATTAGACCAGAAAACACCAAAAGGCGACAGTACAGTGTTTTGTTTGCATGTTTCCCGCAAGTACGTGTGGTTAATGCAGACTTGCTTCCTTGGAAAATGAAGATATTTGGTGTTTGAACATCTTAACACCTGTTCTATTGCCAGAAAGGGTAAAACCTAGTCTTATTTGTCATACTTTGATACTGGCAAATAAAGGTCCCATGGTTAATAAATGGATGGGAGACTGTGTAGGGACGCCAGGTGAGGTGTTGTAGGCTTGAACTGTCAGCAATGTGTTGGATCTATCTGTGCTGAGCTTTAGTGTAACCCCCTCGCGTGGACGGGATATCTCTGAGTTCTTCTCACGTGAAGAGTACTCAGGCTCGATACGGCTTCCCTAGGAAAAGGAGATAATAAATACATGATAATTTCTGCTGAGGATGCCGATGATGATGAATAGGGATGTAATGATTCACCCTCTCTTCCTTGGTGATTCGTCGTTGCAGTCGGGATGACATTCTGCTGCAATAATCGATCATTTATTTCCCATCGTGGTGGATGTGTAGCATCTGTAGCGGCGGCAGGGGTCACGTGACATATAAATGAACAGCATCTACACCCGACAAGACCACCGATTCGCCCACTAGATCCCCCGCACAGACCGCGAGCATAAGAATCGGTTAACCTATGCATCACTTTATGATTAATGATGATGTGCCGTTTCTGTCTCCATTGGGCTACATCAGTGATTAATTGGCGATGAACATGAAGAGAGCTCCCAGAGGCACACCGTCCCAGGAGAAGGGAAGGGGAATGCTGGGGGTGGGGAGAGAGGGAGGGGATATGTTGGGGTAGGGTACTGGATTGGACCTTGGAGTTGATTTTGAGCAGCGAGGCCCCGGCCTCCACCAGGAAGTAACAGACGGTGCGGTGCCCCCCAGCAGCAGCACTGTGCAGAGCAGTGTTCCCTCTGCGCGACACATCGTCATCTTCATCATAGTCATCACTGTATACTCATCACGCCATCACGCATCACAACATTAAAGTACAATATAGCAACATCACGCATCACACCATCAGAACATCAAATGATACCATAACACCATTGCAATATCACAACATTACGTGTGCGTGTGTCTGTGTATACGTACGTGTCAGCCTCCGTTTCATCCAATAGCTCTAGGGGCCCTGTTGGAAACACAGCAGCGCATCAAAAACAGCACGCCCCAATTTCACCGCATCACGCAGACTCCCACCATACCACAACACCACGAACGCTCCGAGCACACCATGATCCTCCCACCACACTACAATACCACACCACCACCCCAGCACACACACTACTGCCACCCCACACACACTCCTGTCACACCCTTCAATGTCATTCTCAGCGTGCATCTCTCCGTGCTTCTCTGCACGATTCAGTTGTTGGACATTTCCGGTAAATTGTCGCGTCTCTCAACCACGTGGCACCTACAGATTAAACACCTCTAGGCTCACCGCTACTTAATTTTTCATTACCATGTTCAGCTTTCCAAAAGCAGTCAATAATGGTGACTGTCCCATGAAGAGACTCACCCCCCACCAAAGGAATGAGGAATTTCCAGAACTGCCTAAGGGTAGTGAACAGAAGTTGATCACCTCCTCGATGCTCATTTCAGTGACGGAAATCACTTTGGCCTTTGTTAGATTTTTCCAAAAGCCGGTTTCAGCACGAGCAAAGCAAAACACGGCCATGGTGAACCTTGGAAGAACGGACCGGTCTCAAGGATGTGCTTGACGAGGTCGCGGTGGCCCCCAGCAGCCGCGTGGTGGAGCACGCTGCGCCCCTCAGAGTCACGGGCCAGGAGGTCGGCCCCCCGCGAGTGGGCATCGATCAGCTGGCGGGACGCACGGGAGGAGACAGCGGGTAGTCTTTGAGCCATTGGCTGAAAACATGTCTAATCGGTACCACACAGGATGGCAAATGCTATAAATTATTTTGTCGAATAATATTATCTCTGGATCACAAATATGTGCGATAGAAATGTTATGGCGGTAGCTTTAAATAAACGAAATTGTTTATAGAAGCGTACCATCATGTGTCTGATAGAGATTATAGGTTTTGAAGGGAAAACAGGCTAATGCGATTGGAAACAAAAAAGAGACGACAGTGTCGCTCAGCCTCCTGCCCACGGCGGACACCGCCCAGCCCACTCCCTTGATAGCTGCGCCACTGTGCACTGCCTGGTCAAGGACCTAGGCCGCTTCGCCGCCCGCTCGCTCTGCAACTTACTTTCTAGGGAACTCCGCTTGTTCCCCCTCTCCGCTTTCTCTCCTCAACACGTTCCTCCTCCACGCCATGCTTTCACGAGTAGGTGAGTGTGCGGGTAAGTAAGTGGGTGCGTTAATGAGTAAGTGGGTGAATGAGTGAGTTAGCAACTGAGTGGGTGGGCGAGTGCGTGAGAGGGAAGGTGAGCAGATAGGCGAGTGATTGGGTGAGCGAGTGAGTAAGTTGAGTGTGTTTGCGAGTGGGAGAGTCGCTTCTTTTGGCTCGCTCCTTTGCTAACTCCCTCCCGTTTCCTCCTCGGGTGCATCACGCGTGCAAGTCGTCATCATCGTTATTGTTGGGGTCTCCGAGTCTTGGGCTCTTCCTCAGAATTATGACCGTGCCCCCGCCCACTGCGCAACCCATTCGCGTGGCGCAGGGCAGCGAGGGGGTGCAGTGTCCGGGGTGCGGTGACGGCGCTCCAGCGCTCACCTTCTCGAGCGACCCCTGCCGTGCAGCGTCCAGCAGAGCTGCGGGAGGGGAGGAGGAGGGAGGAGACATTCAGCCCAGAAAGCAAATGCACGCGCCAGGAAAACCTATCACAGTAACAGACACAGACAAGTGGAGTCCGGTTTTCTCCTTATTATGACTCATCAGTACAGTCACCGATGCTCACTGCTGCACAATCTGCCTCTAGTAACCGTGCATGAGGAGTCCCCACAGTGCTGATGAGTCCGAAGAGGAAGTTACCGGTCCACAGCTCTGTGTCCCTGTCTCACTGTTGTCCCTAGCAGTCGGTCAAATTTGCTCACATTTATATGATGGTGCCCTAGGACAAGAAGACCACAGTGGAGTTTTTGAAGAACTGCTGCATTTTGTATATTGCACAGAGGCCGAGTGTTCTGTGCACACACCCCTGTGTGGTTTGACACTAACGGATGCATGTGTGGTTCCACAGCAACGGAGCAACTATGCCGGCGCTGCTATCTCCTCGCAACCCCCACACGAACACACGCACACCCCCACGTAGGGCCTCGTGGGGGGTCACCTGGTACCCTGGGTTTTTACCCGAGGGCCCCCTCGTGGGGATTTCCCACGGTTTCTCAGTGCCAGGAGATTGCCCCTCCCCACCCCCAGGCCGAATTGCATTGCGGCCCCGTGGATTAACTTAAAATTGTATGGCCACGGCGAGCTCACTGAGCAACCGCGATGAGCACGCACCCAGCACAGGGGAATAGGGCCGTGGGGAGAGCAAGACACCTGGAAAGCGGGCTAGAGCTAAAAATACAGCAACAGCAGCGCGCGAGAGCAGGTGGGAGGGAAGTTCATGAATACAGAAAAAAGGGACACGCGTCGTCGGAGGGTGCGGAGCAGTAGCTTCGCGCATTAGTGACTCTCCATGGGGGGGGGGGGGGGCACGGGTAAGTGTCGATTGGCTGCGCAGATTAGGGATGATGCTGAGGGGCACAGGAAGGCGCCCCAATTGGCTGGGAGGGTAACAGAACTTGGCCAGGAATTTGTGAAGAGCGAGGATAAAAGGAAGGAAAAGAAAAAACGTGGCTTTCGTCTCCTCAAGTCAGCGAGGGAACCAGCCAGACTTCCAGCCGCTCGAGCGTCCGAGTGACGCTGGCGAGCGCAGCTAGGACACGACCCAGGCAGAGACCTCCTGGACCCTCGTCCATTCGCCTCCCAGCACGTCCTTGAGGAACCGTGAGTACGCCCGTGGGGTGAGGAATAGCGCGAGGATTCCCGGAGGGTTTGGGTACAGCTAGGTGGGACGCTGCTCGCTAGATGTTTTTTTTTGTTGCTCCGGGCCACGTAAGGCTTTTCTTCAGGAACCCCATTAATAAACTTTAGCAGAGCAACGATGCCGCGTGGTTTCTGTGTGTGTGGGGAGAGCGTAGGGATGGTGTGAGTACGTGCATACGTGTGACGATCGGCGAGTATTCAATCATAAACGATCGCTGACGTTCGCGTGCATGGTTGAGCAGCAGATTAACGCGCGAATATTATCATCGACACGATCGTCATTGTGCCCGGTGCTTGCGCTCGCCGCGCGTGTTTGCACGGCGAATTAACGCGCGAATATTATCATCAATGCGATCGTCATTTTGCCACGTGCGCGCGATCGCGTGCGGGTTTACTCAGCGCATTTTACGCAGTGTGTTTACGCAGCAACGACCGCATTGGGGGTTCAGTTCAGTTCAGTTTCAGTTCAGTTTATTTTGGTATAGCCCTGTGAGCCATTCGGCTCTTGAATCGGGTGCAACCACAACAAACAAAAAAAACACGAACAAGAAAAACATCTTAAAGTGACTATGTGACTGTGCAAACAGAACATCCATGGGAAAAAACAGCAAAAATATTCCTGAAAAAAGCACCGTACACCAACGCTGTGTGCAAAAAATCCCAGTGGGATGCAAGTCAAACAACAACCACAAAAACTTACATTAAGGCCATCAGTCTAACTCCGTACTACAACAAAACAACATGTCTAAACCAAAAAAGTTTTCCAAATCACTAAAAAATAAAGCCATAATTGCAACGTAACAGTGATCACAAGGACTGTGACTGAATTTTTACAATAAACTACATAAGTAACATGTAACACCAAATCCTAGAGCCATAGCTGGCTGCATGAGTTACTCCACAACAACAGAAGCATCGATCGGAGTATCAAATTTTTCAATGCAGCTTTAAGATCAGCACGCGTGGTACGTAATTCGAGCGTGTTTGGGTGTGAGGCCGTAGGGGCAGTAATTCATTAACAGCCCCGCAGCTGTGCCGCGTGCTTGCACTCGTCGTGCGTGTTGGCACAGCGGATTAAAGCCGATCCCACGGGAGGCGGGAGGGGCGCGTGCATATTCATACGGCTATTTTTAGCGCGAGTCGGGGCAAGCAACCCGAGCAGGCACGCGCGTGCACGCAGCCACCGCAACAGGTACGGGTGGCTGCGCGTGCACGTGGTGAGCAGCAGGTACGGTTGTGCGCGTCCACGCAGCCACCGCAGCGTGAGTGGTGGTTTACGCGGGGAAGGTGAGTCAACATAACGCGTGGCGGTGGAGAGCCAGCCACGTGTCATGCCCCACAGAGAGGACGCGGATGCGGCGAGGCCGATCACTTGATCGGCGGCTTCCCGGCAAAAAGGGGCGGAAGAGGGATAGGAGGGGGAGGGCATTAGCCCCCACACTTGCACCATATTTCTGCTATCGCGAGGTTCCTCCTCGTATCCGCACGTGTGTTGAGGTTTCTTAAAGGAAGTTGCCGGGCGCAAGTTCTGGCCACACCACCCCCTCGTGTGGTGTACTCACAAACAGCCCTTGCACCAATAGTCTGTCAAGGCTACACGGGGGATCGTTGTCTTCTGTGTGAGTGAGGAGCGCTTTACCTTTCGTGGCAGTCGACGTGGCCAACCTGGCAGAGATGAAAGACGCATTAGTCCCGGGTGTGTGTGATAGCGATGATGTATGTAATGGTGGTGGTGAGTGTATGGGGGGGGAGGGAAGCGGTGGCGCATTGGTTAGCACGTTGCGCCACGAACCTGGCGACCAGAGTTCAATTCCCGCTCAAATGAATACCTGGTGTGGTGTGTAAGCATCACCACTCGGGAGACAAAGGCAGCCGGGCGTGGTGCTGTGTGTGTGGTGAGTGTGTGCGTGTGGTGAGTGTATGTGGTGAGTGTATGTGGTGAGTGTATGTGGTGAGTGTATGTGGTGAGTGTATGTGGTGAGTGTGTGGTGACTGTGTGTGTGGTGAGTGTGTGGTGACTGTTTGTGTGTGGTGTGTGGTGACTGTTTGTGTGTGGTGTGTGGTGACTGTTTGTGTGTAAATTTCGATTTAAAGCTTTCGTGACTGCAAGGATTCATCTTCTTTGGTTCTTTCGGTAAAGTCACGTAGAATGAGTGTGTAAGCATCACCACTCGGGAGACAAAGGCAGCCGGGCGTGGTGCTGTGTGTGTGGTGAGTGTGTGCGTGTGGTGAGTGTGTGCGTGTGGTGAGTGTATGTGGTGAGTGTATGTGGTGAGTGTATGTGGTGAGTGTGTGGTGACTGTGTGTGTGTGGTGTGTGGTGACTGTTTGTGTGTGGTGTGTGGTGACTGTTTGTGTGTGGTGTGTGGTGACTGTTTGTGTGTAAATTTCGATTTAAAGCTTTCGTGACTGCAAGGATTCATCTTCTTTGGTTCTTTCGGTAAAGTCACGTAGAATGAGAATAAAATAATAAATTGATAAAATAAAATAAATCAATTTATTATTTTATTCTCATTCTACGTGACTTTACCGAAAGAACCAAATAAGATGTTTGTGTGTAGTGTGTGTGGTGACTGTTTGTGTGTGGTGTGTGGTGAGTGTGTGTGTGGTGACTGTTTGTGTGTGGTGTGTATGTGGTGAGCGGTGGCAGCACCTGGTGAGCGCCTTCATGGGCGCGGGGGGCGCACTGTGCTGCCGGGACAGTCGCTCCGTCACGCAGCAGCCGTCGCTGGACAGCCTGCGGCGTGCGCCGGGCACGTGGAACCCAACTGCCCTGTGGAGATGCAGTGGGGGGGGGGGGGGGGGGGGCAGGCAATGCCTGGTGCTGGAAATAACAATATATGTTTCCGGTATCCGGCACATCACATCCAGTATACATCCCTCTCATAGTTCATAGTTCATTTATTTGGTATAGCCCTGTGAGCCATTCGCCTCTTGAATCGGGTGCAAGAAAACATCTTAAAGTGATTATGTGACTGTGCAAACAGAAAATACAGGAAAAAAATATCAAAATATTCCTGAAATAGCACCGTACTCCAACGCTGTGTGCAAAAATCCCAGTGGGATGCAAGTCAAATAACAACAACAACCACAAGACAACTAAGATTAAAGCCATCAGTCTAACTCCGTACTACAATAAACAAAAACATGGCCAAAAACAAAAAAAAAATCTTTTCGAAATCACCAAAATAAAAGCCATAAATCCAATGTAACAGTGATCATACATAAATAAATTATAACACCAAAATCTAGAGCCATATTTTAGGCCACTGAATAGCCGTGGCAGCTAGGGTTGTACAACTCCTCTAGAGCAGTTTTGAGTGAAGATCTCATAGGTAGTGATTCAAGTTGCAGTTTATTGGCAATAGCATTCCAGACCCTGGGGGTATCAATAGTAAAGGCCCTTCCTCCAGTTTTTGTACGGCAATAGGGAATGTGAAGCTGGTAAATGAGCGAAGACCTGAGGTCAAATTTGTTCTTTGAAAACAGAGAGGAGATCCAGTAGGTAGTCTGCGGAATTTTTTGTAAGTACATCGTGAATAAATAAGATCTGGTGCAAAAGCCGTCGAACATTAAGAGATGTTAAGTTTGACCCAATGTAGAGATCACAGTGGTGAGTCCTATATGGGCAGTTCAATGCAAATCTTAAGGCCGAGTGATAGATGGAATCAAGCTTCTTCAGTACAGTACTTGGGGCTGATTTATACACGATGTCACAGTAGTCAAGTAGAGGCAGTATGGTAACTTTTATCAATTCCAAACGGAACATTGGGGGGAAGCAGTGCTTGTGTCGATACAAAAAACCAATTTTTTATTTTGTCTTTTTACCAATATAATCAATGTGATCTTCAAAACTAAGTTTTGAATCCAGGATGACCCCATGATACTTATAGATCTTGACTTGCTCTATTTGATAATTATTCAAGGAATGTAATTTGGGAAAAATAACTTCCTGCTTTAGTCCCGGAGAGAAGCATAGCACCTTGGTTTTGGAGGTATTCAGGACTAGTTTAAGAGAAACTAGCTGATGTTGTAGTTTGTTGAAATCACCCTGGAGCTTAGCAATCACGTCATCCGGAGAGCGGCCAGCAGTAATCAGTATCGTGTCATCTGCAAAAAAGATTTACCCTGGAATTATCCAGTTCATTCCAGGGTAAATCTTACGACCACTACTCCTATAAGTTGCTCCCCAACTATCCTGGGCTACCAGCGGCCCGGAACACGGCGAGAAATGAAGCCGCGTGCACAGCTCCGCGCAGGAGCGCCCCTGCCTCCCCTCCCTGTCTCTCCATGGCATCCTGCCCCAATTAACCAGCCCCTCGCTCTGAACACCAACCCAGGACTAGAGACGGATGGAGATGGATAGGGATAGCACTCATCTTCATAGCGATGAAGATGAGCGCAGATGCAAATTAACGGAGGTATAGGTGGGTGGGGTAGAGATAAATGGATATGAATGTTGACAAAAGGGGAATAGAGGTGATTGGGATGCATAGAGACAGCTGAGTGGAGTTGAAGTGAGCGGAGATGTGGGGAGGTGAGCGGGGACGAGGGGGGTAGGGCCCCCCGCTGGAGCGCAGGTGGCGCTGCGCCGGTACCGGCGCCGCAGGGGGAAGTGCAATCCGCTCGGGGTCGCGGGGAAGAGCAGCGCAGGGCGGCACGAGGGCGCCGGCCTCCGCAGGAGCTCGCTGTCCGACATGGGGCTCGGCACCCTGGCCACACACGACAGAGGGCACAAAGGAGGGGTGAGGAGGAGGTGAGGAGCGAGGGACGCGAAATGGGAGGCAGCGAGGTGAGGGCTCTACCCGGGAGAGGGCTCCACGAGGTCGGGCATGCCCGGCGCGGCCCCGCTGGACAAGGACGCCGGGCGCGGGGTCTCCGGGTCCAGCACGAAGAGCTCCTCGGCCGACACGTCCGACAGGAAGTGCAGCTGCTCCTGCAGTCGCGAGGACGCAGGCGGAAATCACCATCAACATCATTAGCCATGAGGAATGCAACACACTGCTGACAATCTTCCTCCTCTCTCCCAGATCTGTCCCATCACACAAAACAAAACCACACTTTTTAAATTTCGATTTAAAGCTTTCGTGACTGCAAGGATTCATCTTCTTGGTTCTTTCGGTAAAGTCACGCAGAATGAGAATAAAACAATAAAACAAAACACAATACAATTCTCACGACGTTTCGGTCACAACACAAGTGGCCTTCTTCAGGTGAAGAAACAGGTCTATCCAGGAGACAGAGCTTGAATGGACGCTGTCACGCAAGGACCGAGTCTTTTTAAGGCTGTATGGGCGGAGTTGGATTAGCAGAGTTGGATTAGCATGTTATCAGCCGGGGTGGAGGAGGAAGGGGTGCTGGAAACAAACAATTTCAAAAGGTAAACAAGTGCCGCAGTCAAGGTGCGCTGCTGTGTGCTGAGTTGCATTATGACTATGCTATAAACAGGACTACTATGCAAAACAATATTATACCCTCCAATCTAAACTACATGGTATAACATAGACAAATTCCACCTTTGAATTATACAATGCGTTACTTTACACTACCCTATACCTAGACTATAAAATATTAGACTTGTAACATTATACTCTGTCTTATTCTATGAATCCAACTATATACCACAATACTGTATATTCACTATGCAATTACGATGCTATATATTGCCTTATGAATTATGTTAAACATTACAATGTTATACTATTAATTGTTATACTCATGTTATAAACTATACCATTAACCGTGGTGTGAGAGGTATTAAGAGGCTATGCCAGCGAAAGGGCTGCAGTCTGAAGGTCACCGTAAAATACAATTAAGAACCGAAATGGTTTAAAATATCTTTCTAATGGTTACTAAGCCAGAATCCATCTTCTCGGTTGAAGTTGTCTCTGTGCTTGTATATGTGGATGGCCTCATGAACGAATCTCTCATGGTAGCCGATTGGCTTGCAAAGAACCTCCGTCTTGGAGAAGTCAATGTCATGTGAGCCCACTGAATTACAACAGTGATCTGCCACGGCAGAGGAGTTCGTCCTACCGTGTTTCAAGTCTGCTTTATGTTCGCGGATGCGGTCCGAGATATGACGTTTGGTTTCTCCAATGTTTACACAACTCATCAGTCACACGGCTTTCTGGGAGTGCATCATTTAATCATCATAGGTTCAACACAAAAAACACTCTGGACCGGTTTCAACACGCAGTAACTCGTCGGCCGTCAGGCTTGGTTGAACCAAAGCTGAAGAAGTGCCACAAGTTGAAGAAGGAGGCGTCTTTCTGCCTGCTCAATAACAAAGCCGTTTGTGTTGTTCATCGTTCCTTTAAAAGTCTGTGACCTGAACTCCATGTTACTGATGAGTGTGAGGTCCACTTACGCAGGACGCACGCGTCGTACCTGCATGCGGTCGATGCGGAAGAATCGATCTGCTGATGTGGCTGCACACACGCACAGGCACACACGCGCACGATCCCCCGACACACGCACAACAACAACGGCCATTGGCCGCTAAGTGGCGGTGACGTCACCACGGCGCTTGTGCCAGGCTATGTGCATGTTAAGGCCACGTGAAGTGTCGAACGCCCGCTGGCACGATGTCATGAGACAGACCCAGGTGCCACGGGTCGACTGAGATAACTGGCCGATGCACCACCTCTGCCCCCCACTGTGCCAACTTGCTGTGATTTTATCCACCCGGCGCTCCGCTCGTTGTTGTGAGCGTCAGTCCTCTGCCCTACGTTGTTGCTGGAGGGCGACTGCCTCCAACTGCCCAGTAGCGTCCTTCACGTGCGTCCTCCACAGAGGCGGTTCTTGACATTGCTAGTACCAGTTATCGGAAAGTCCACTCAGCTCCACGTCCTCCTGTACCACATCACTCCATCTCTTCTCTAACCCGTGCCACGCCCGTTTAGCCCCCTCTATCCGGTCAAACAAAAGCTGTTTAGGCATGCGGTGGCTGGGCATGCGGGCTACATGACCCAGCCAACATAGCCTTGCCTGCCGAAGGAGCTCACCAACAGGACTTTGTCCAGATCTTTCAAGGATTTGTGAGCTCCTCACACAATCCAGCCTGGTTAAACCCAGGATGGATCGTAGGCAGGCCAGCCTAAATGTTTCTAACAGGCGAAGATGTTCCATTAGGGGGGCCCACGTTTCGCAAGCAAACAGAAGGGAGGGCATGACCGTGGCCGAGAAGACTCAAAACTTCGTGTGGAGCGACAGACCAGGTAGCTTCCACACAGCGTTGCGCAGCCGATGAGAATATAATGCCGCTCGACTGATTCGGAGTGAGACCTCTGCTGTCAAACCAGAGTCGGTCATGAGCACACTACCCATGTATGGAAAACTCTCCACAACTGCCCATCACCAATTGGGAGTTATGGGGGTGGAGTGTCTGATGGCACAACATACCCAGGTCGGTGCTTAGTTTTGATGGAGCTGATGATAACACACACGCGCAGGCACACCAACAGAGCCACACACCGCACAGTCAGCTGTGCTGAACGGGCAGTGCCCTCTCTGTTCGGTGTTTATTTCGAGTGTTTATTCAGGGTTGCTGCGTTTCCCACTCGAGTAATTTGCGGTATAATTTTAGAAATTTGGCAGATTTGTGCCATGACAACGGCAAACAATGACTTATTCCTCTTCTAATGGCATCACAGGGTCTTTGACGTCAACTGACATGCTGAGTTTTATGTTAACACACCACAATATTAACCGGGGCGGCCTGCGGGACCTCGAACCGCAAAACTCTCATACGGAGATTGGGGCGCTCGTCTGTTTTGAGACTGCATGGGTCCACGCAATCACCGCCCCGTGGTGGGAGTGAGCGAGCAAGTGCGAATGAGTGAGAGAGTGAGAGTGAATGTGTGTGAGATGAAGAGGCGTGAGAATGTGTGTGTGCGAGTGTGGAGAGCAGTGGTGCATGGTTAGCTCACTGCACTGCAAACCCGCTCATTTCCAAAAACTGGCGAATATTTGAACTGGTCCTGGGCTTCCTCTAGGTCAACTTAGCCTCAAATGAGTACCCTGGTGCGGTTTGTAAATATCAGCCCTGGGGAGACAAAGGCGGCCAGGCGTGGTGCTGGCCACCCACCCCCTCGTGTACCGTGCCAGCCTTCATAGGTGCTTGCTAACAGCACTTGTCCCAACAGCCTGTTAAGGTAATACAGGGGGTCTTTGTCTTTATGTGAGAGGGAGTGTGTGAGTGTTTGAGCGTGAGTGAGAGAATGAGTGTGCATGAGAGAGTGAATGAGAGTGAATGAGAGTGATTGAGATTGAGTGTGAATGAGTGTATGAGAGTGATAGTGTGAGAGTAAAAGAGTGCGTTAGTGACAGTGAGAGAGTGTGTGAGTGACAGTGAGAGAGTGTGAGAGAGTGTGAGTGAGTGAGTGTGTGAGCCAATGCTGTTCTCACAGTCCAGGAAGCACCACTTGGGGGAAAGTTTCTGCGAGGAGAGAATCCTCGTCCTGCCTTCCCCCTCCTGCGTGAACGCAAAAACAACAGCCTCTATTCGTCACCAACAACGACCTGACCGCCAGCGCCTGTGCCAGGCTAGGTGCGTTTTGAGTTCGCTGCTGACAGGAGGTCACGTGCCATGGGTTGACTGAGATGACTGGCAGGTCAACCAATGTGCTCCTCCCTGCATTTTAGCCGCCTGACACTCCACTCGTTGTAGGATGCATCTCATGAGACACACGTGAGGCATTCATGAGACTTGTGACACGTGAACCACACTTGACATACACAGTGACACTATTTAAACACACGACACAATGCGTCATGTGCATGGGGACACACAGCGACATGCGTGACGCTCGTGAAGTGCGTGGGAATCACACACGTGCTCGAGGAGCCTTGGCAGCCCCGCATCCGCAGCCGGGAGGTCCTGTGTGGGGAATCAGTGTCAATCGTCAACCCTCGCCACCATCACAGGGTCATTCCCAACATCACCACATCACCCCATAACAAGTTAAACACGCAGACACTACGACACCTCCATTCCATATCTGCCCCTCTTGATAAAATATAATTTATTTTGTACAAATCCCATCAGGAGGGGAGAGAGGAGCAGGAGAGAGGAGCTGACCTCCTGCAGACGCTCGATGTGCTCTCGGCAGGTGTCCAGATCACAGTCTCCTGGCACCACGATGACTCCCACAGGCACCGCTAAGTGTGAGACGCATCGCACGTGGGACAAGAGCAGGGATTCATTTGCACCCGGGGACGCGCGGGTATGCAGGTGTGTGGGTGTGAGCGCGGTGTGACCGAGGTGTGGGCGAGGTGGAAGGGAGGAGTCAGCGAGGTGCGAGCGAGGTGGGCGGAAGGAGTCAGCGAGGAGTCAGCGAGGTGTGAGCGAGGTGGGAGGGAGTAGCGAGCGAGGAGCGGGCGAGGAGCGGGCGAGGTGCGATCGAGGAATGAGCGAGGTGTGACTCCACCGATGCGTGTTGGGACGGTGATACTTACAGGCCTCGCGCAGGCGGTCCTTGTGGTAGCGCAGCTCCTCGTAGTCATGGAGACGGATGCGACTGATGCGAATCCGCAGCCTCTCCGGGGGGGTCGCCACGCAACTACAGCGGAACAACCACGAGCACACATGCACAGCACCGCTCGCCCTCACTGCCACCCGCACCGCCACCCGCACTGAAAAGACGCGCGGAGCGTCCCATCTTTGCTCCAGTATAATATGCATGTATGTTAAACTTCTTTCGCACCGTACGTAGCCAATCGTGCTAATCGGAGGTGCGGGGGAAGAACAATCAACTAAACACAAAAATAAGAAAAGACGCTGGTTGTAACACACAGGGAGTAGTGACATACCGACACGCCACGGGACATAGGGACACACACCGATACACTTCCACACCAGAGGGGTATTGACACAATGACACTGACACGTCACAGGGGATAGAGATACACACACACCAACATGCCATGGGAGATAGAGCAAATGGCGCATGCTACGCTGGCACACCATGGCGGATAGTGACACCATGACACTGGCACCCCACAGAGGATAGTGGCAGTGGGACCCCACGGGTATAGTGACACCATGACACTGGCACCCCACAGAGGATAGTGGCAGTGGGACTCCACGGGGATAGTGACACCATGATACTGGCACCCCACAGAGGATAGTGGCAGTGGGACTCCACGGGGATAGTGACACCATGACACTGGCACCCCACAGAGGATAGTGGCAGTGGGACCCCACGGGGATAGTGACACCATGATACTGGCACCCCACAGAGGATAGTGGCAGTGGGACTCCACGGGGATAGTGACACCATGACACTGGCACCCCACAGAGGATAGTGGCAGTGGGACCCCACGGGGATAGTGACACCATGACACTGGCACCCCACAGAAGATAGTGGCAGTGGGACCCCACGGGGATAGTGACACCATGATACTGGCACCCCACAGAGGATAGTGGCAGTGGGACCCCACGGGGATAGTGACACCATGATACTGGCACCCCACAGAGGATAGTGGCAGTGGGACTCCACATGGATAGTGACACCGTGACACTGGCACCCCACGCCGATACAGATGCAAGAGAGTGGCACACTGGCAAAAGAGCAGGAGTCCGCGTTGACGGACAATGACGAGTATCGACACGAATGCAGTGGCACGCATCACCCGCGCATGCCGGCATCAAGTGCCAGTGCTCCTGTCACTGGCACAAGAGGCCACTGCAGTCCACGATGCGCGCATGCCTTGGCTGTGGCACACGGAGCACACGGCGCTGTACACAAACACATGCAAGCACCATGCACATGCAAGGAGCACACGTGTCCACGTGCTCGTGCGTACGCCATGCGTGTGTCGACGTGTGGGCCACACGCGTGATTGTGGTGTTTATGGGGCAATGGTTACGGGTCCCATGATCACTCTGAACTCTTCCAAATGTTATCAGACATCAGAATCTCAGCAGGTTTGAGCCTGGTTAGTACTTGGACATCGGGCCAGGTGGTTCAGTGGCAGAATGAGCGGCTCGCGATCAATCATTGAGAGTTAAAATCCTGGTTGGGGGTTGACTCAGGCCATCATCCTCCTGGTATCGATAAATACGTACCATTTTGTGGGAAAGCCAACAGTGGTAATCTTATGGATATCCTCACTCCATCCATAAGAATGCGGGAATTCCACCACTGGTTCTTGGCTGTCAATAGGAGGTGACCATTGATGATGCCTAGCGCTTGTGTGAGTACGCAGGAGCTCGCTCGGAGGAGCTGGGGGGAGATGACGCTGGGCAGGCGCCCGTCGAGGCCATGGGCAGGGGAGGCCGCGTCTCGACGCAACCACACCTCGAGAGGCTTCACAGCTCTGGCTTATTGCATCTATCTGTGTGGAGCTTTGGGTGATGTCATCGAATCTCCGAAGCCAAATCTGCGCAGCGATGTGGACCGGCAGGTAGCACATCACCGCTTATCGCAGGGGTTCACGGACGAAATCCAGCGGCTGACCTCATTATTAACTTACATTTATTAACCATGCAACTAGGCACAATCCGCTTTGCACGTTGAAGATCCCGTCACGTCATTTGAAAGAGTAGGCCAATGTGTACCGGATCACAGTCTGAATTTTTTAAATTACCCCGTAAATGACTCCATTAGGATGAAACGCAGCAATCATCGCCCTCTCAAGCACAAACCAGGGTCAACGCGGGTTTTTTAGTTAATAAATTTCCGCCACACCCCCTCGGAGCCCGGAGATGATGACTGAAATTCAGTTCGGGGATGGGTAAATTCCCCCCCCCCCCCCCATAAAAGCACAGCCCCAGCCACCGCGCCCTGGGGCGGCCCGTGTGCGTGTGCGTGTAGGGAGCAGGCAGTGCTGGTGGTCACGTCACAGATAACGTCACTGGGGGGCTACTTACACGGGCGAACTAGCGGGGGGCGCCGAGACGCGCCGGGGCACACACACGGGCAGCTTTTGCACGCTGATGCACGCGCAGACACACGGACACACGCGCAAACACATGGATACACGCGCAGACACACGAACATAATCACAGACACATGGATACACGCGCAGACACACGGACACAATCACAGACACATGGATACACGCGCAGACACACGCACATAATCACAGACACATGGATACACGCGCAGACACACGGATATTATCACAGACATCAGCGACCAACACGGACCCGGGCAAATGCACCGACACAGACACGTAAAGAAACACGGACATATGGCACAATATACACAGATGCCTAACAAAGACAAAGATCCCCTGTAAAGCCTTAACAAACTGTTGGGGTAAGCACCTATGAAGTCCAGCACGACACACGAGGGGGTGGGTGGCCAGCACCACGCCCGATTACCTTTGTCTCCCTCGTGGTAATGTTTACACATTGCACCAGGTACACATTTGAGGCTGGGTCAACCAAGGGAAAGCCGAGGACTGGTTCAGAAAAGCATCACTGGTGTTAGTCGTGAGCGGGAAATGAACTCAGGTTACCGGATTCGTAGCGCAATTCCCTAACTGCTACATTACGGCTCCCCACACAACAACAACTGCCATTCGCCACTAAGTGGTGGTGACGTCACCACGACGCTTGTGCCAGGCTATGTGCACGTTGAGGCCACGTGAAGTGTCGAACGCCCGCTGGCAGGAGACCACGGGGCAGACTCAGGTGCCACGGGTCGACTGACTGAGATGACTGGCTGATGCATCACCTGTGCCCCCTACTGTGCCAACTTGCTGCGCTTTAGCCACCCGGCGCTCCGCTCGTGAGCGTCGCTCCTCCGCCCTCCGTTGTTGTTGGAGGGCGACTGCCTCCAACTGTCCAGTAGCGTCCTTCACGAGCCTCCTCCACAGAGGCCGATCTTGACACCGCTGGTACCAGTCATTGACAAGTCCACTCAGCTCCACATCCTCCTATACCATATCACTCCATCTCTTCTCTAGCCCGTTCCGCGCCTGTTCAGCCCCCTCTATCCGGCCGAACAAAAGCTGCTTAGGCATGCGGTGGTTGGGCATGCGGGCTACATGACCCAGCCAACGCAGCCTTGCCTGCCGAAGGAGCTCACCGATGGGACTTTGTCCAGATCTTTCAAGGATTTGTGAGCTCCTCACACAATCCAGCCTGGTCAAACCCAGAATGGATCGTAGGCAGGTCAGCCTAAATGTTTCTAACCGACAAAGATGTTCCATTAGTGGGGTCCACGTTTCGTAAGCGTAGAGAAGGGAGGGAATGACCGTGGCCGAGAAGACCTGAAGCTTCGTGCAGAGCGACAGACCAGGTAGCTTCCACACAGCGTTACGCAACTGATGAAAAGATAATGCCGCTCGACTGATTCGGAGTGAGACCTGTGCTGTCAAACCGGAGCCGGTCATGAGCACACTGCCCAGGTATGGGAAACTCGCCACTCTCTCCATCACTGCCCCATCACCAATTGGGAGTTGTGGGGGTGGAGTGTCCGATGGTACAAAATACCCAGGCAGGTGCTTAGTTTTGGTGGGGCTGATGGTAAAGCCCCACCTCTTAGTGGCAAGCTCCAGGTTCAGCAACAGCGCCTCCAACTCCTCCACTGAGTGAGCAGCAATTACCAGATCATCGGCATACATAACGTGGTTGACCAATAGGAAGCCATCCCTTGACCGCACCCGGGCATCGATCAGCCTCCCATTGTATCTGTACGAGATGGAAATTCCTCCGGTACAGCCATCGAAGGCTTCCCACACAAGCACTCACACACAACATCCGCCATTCGCCACTCAGTAGCGGTGACGTGATCACGGCGCTTTTGCCAGGCCAGGTGCATTTTAAGGCCACGTGAAGTGTCGAAGGCTCGCTGACAGGAGCTCACAGGACAGACCCAGCTGCCATGGGTTGACTGACTGAGATGACTGGCAGATGCATCAGCTGTGTCCCCTGCTGTGCCAATTTGCTTCATTTTAGCCGCCCGGCGCTCCACTTGTTGTTGTGAGCGTCACTCCTCTGGTCTCCGTTGTTGCTGGAGGGTGACTGCCCCCAACTGTCCAGCAGCGTCCTTCACGAGATTCCTTCATAGAGGGCGACCTTGACCCCGCTGGTACCAGTCTTCGGCAAGTTCACTCAGCTCCACTTTCTCATGTTCTGCATTAGTCCATCTCTTTTCCAGCCCGTTTCGTGCCCATTTAGCCCCTCTAGCCGGCCAGACAGCAGATTTTTGGGCATGCGGTGGTTGGGTATGCGGGCGACATGACCCAGCCAACGTAACCTTCTAAACATAGACAAGGGAGGGGATAATTGTGGAGCGCCAGGCCAGCCAGCTTCCACACTTTACTTAGCAGCTGATGAAAATATAATGCTGATCAACTGATTCAAAGTTAGACCTCTTCCAAACTGGACACGGCTATAAGCACACTACACAGGAATGAGAACTCCTCAACTCTCTCCACAACTACCACATTACCCATGGAGAGTTGATGGGCTCATGCAACTGCATGAGCCACAGTCATGAAGATGGCACATAAAGAAAAAAAACAAGCAGACACACAAATACACACGTGGACATACACACAGTGAAAGAGAGACATAATTTTGGACACAGAGAAACATGGACAAACAAAGGCTCACTCCACTAACATGTGGAAAAATGTACAACACGTACACACAATACACAGAGTTACACGACACATGGACACGCAAGGACATAGATATACAAATACAGTGAAAGAGAGACAAACATGGACACAGACACATGGACACAGGGACATCACTGCAACCCTCACTCAGCTCATCTCATGACAAACGGAGGAGAACCTTTGGGATTGGGACACCTGGATCATGCAGAGATTGTGTCTCTACAGGGTGGGTCCACCACAGGGCACGCGAATGAACACGCGAATGTGATGTGTATGAGATATAGTTAGAGATCCAGGTGCATATCAGCTGTGTGAAGTGTGTGCCAGGTGCATGTCAGCTGTGTTAGGTGAGTGCCAGGTGCTTGTCAGCTGTGTTAGGTGTCTGGCAGGTGCATGCCAGGTCTTTGCGAGGTGCACATGAGGTGAGCGCCGGCTCACTCGGTGAGCAGAGGCACGGACGCCCTCCGCTTGGACTTCTGCACCATGAGCGCCTGGTTGCGCAGGGAGATGCGGATGATGGAGGGCGCGAGGCGGCACGGCTCCCCGTCCACCTGCACGGGCGTCGTGCGCAGCGTGGCCAGTACCGCTTCGCGGCACTGGTGAAGGCGCTCGCCGTGGCCTCCCACCTGCAGCGCGGCCTGCGGCCGTAATCACGACAGACGCGGCACTGGGACTGGTGGTCGATTGCAGTGAAAGGTGGAGTCGCGAATTCACCGATTTGTGCGAATGAGCGAATGTACAAACCGCACGGTAAAGATGGTAAAGCAAGATGCAGGCGCAGCCCTGCAAGTGCTAGCTCACGCTATTGCTGGCATAAAGGCCTCAACTCGGGGTAGCTTGGGAAGGTACTTGGTCTTCTCTTCTACATGGACCGGCGTGTTGCAGCAGGCGGGCATACCCATACTTTACCCATCACACATGACGTTCAACTAACTGCGGTAGACCTATTTATACAGCGGGGTGAACAGAGGAGGCGGAGATTTAAGAAACTCGCCCCCATTGTTTCAACTGCCGCACCGGGAGATGGAATCGAACCGGCAACCTCTGGATCGCATGTCCAGTGCGTTGACCACTACCACCACCTTGGCCGCTCAATTAAACGCCAACACATCTCCCTTTCTACACATTCAGAAATCCCGTGGTAAGTTCTACTGAACGAGTCATTATCCCAGAGCGCATCGTGTAACAGGCGCTGATGGTGTGACGCGCTGCCTCAGTGAGTGTTAGGTGGGGGGGGGGGTCAGATCGTGTCATGGTGGCAGATATTCACGACTACCGATGCAGTTCGAGTTCATGTTAGTTCATTTAGCGCGCGTCCATCTTGGTCCGATCATCGAGCACCGTTCAGGGAGATCTAACGTCCGCCGCGGCAGGACGCTCTGCCCATGGGACGCGTCCCCCAGTCACCGTTTTGCACGGTCAGCGTCAATGCAAACAAATCGATATGAACTGCCCGGTCTTTACCAGGGACGCCATGGTGAAGCCGATGACCTCGATGTAGCCGTCGTCGTGGCGCTGCGGCTCAAAGTCGTGGTGATCGGCCGGGTTACCCCAGGGCACGGTGCCTGCACAGTACCTGGCGGGGCGGTCACAATCAACTAACAACGTCGACACAACAACCATCAACGGCAATGTTACACGGGGCTGGAAGCACCGCGGCTCCTCCCGTCACATTTAACAGTGATGGTCTTCGTCCATAGTGAAACCATCAACATGCCTGGTACAGCAATCGCGTCCCAGCTGTCGGTTTCAATGCCAAAGCCTTCATCAACTCCGAGACATGATTACTCTCGTACGAAGAAAATCCATGGTACGCTAACACTCGGATGGACAGGTACTGCACGCAGAGACACGCGGATACCTAGGGGTCGTAGGGCGAGGGAGCGAGCGGGCAAGTGGCGCGCGTCTCACCGGGGGATGTTGAGGAACACGATGCACTGCAGCTTCAGCTCCTGGATCTTGGGCGTGAGGTCCACGCCGTCGCACTGCGCGCAGAAGGGGGCGGGGGGGGGGGCCGTCAGTGCACGACTGCAAGGGTCTCAAAAGTGAACGACGGACTGGGGGAAGACGGCGATAACAAAACACACTCATTGTGACACTCACCACGGCACACACACTGACATCGATACACACTCACCGTGACACCAATGCGACACTTACCACGGTACACACTCACCATTACACGCACGTGCTTTGCAAGATCTCGGGAACTCCTCTGCAAAAAGTCAGAGAAGGCGGCCTAGACAGCACAGATCGCAGCACGCACATCAGCACAGACCGCAGTGCGCAGACCGCAGCATAGAGAGCATCTCAGTGTCCACCGAGCCCCACCCGGCTCTCTGCACTCTCCCGTCCGCGCGCTCTCAAAGCCCCCTCACCCCGGCGTAGAACATCTTGTTTCGGAAGCGGCTGTTGAACTTCTCTGGGTTGGCCTCTGTAACGGAAACGCACGGGAAGCACGCGGTGAGCTCCCAAGAGACACGATGCGACGTGGACCCAGATGCGGAGGGGAAACGCCGGGCGACGGGGGTCTGGGGCTCTCCCCACCTCGGGACTCGTGGAACTCCAGGGTAACCCGCGCGTCGAAGCCGAGGCTGAAGTAGTTGTTGAAGACGTCCAGGGGCAGCTGGTTCGGGTTAGGGGACGGCAGAAAGGAGGAGCTCAAGGAGGCGCCTGCTGGGAACGAGTTTGTCCAGCGATGCACAGGCGTGCGCCAGCCTCCTGCAGCAGCTCTCACGTGGCTCAACGTAATGTTTTTTTTCAGCACGGCTTGGTGAACTTTAAAGCAGGGCTCTTTGTGCACTCTTGTTAAGGAAACTAATTTCTTTAAAACTGCTTTTTGCGTTTAGTTGTCTTTCTCCCGCACCTCCGATTGGCACAGTTGGCTATGTATGGTGCGAAAGAAGTTCAACATACATAGTACAAGAACACAGGTTTGCAAACAGTATCACCATCAGCAGCAGCCATCGGTAACTTCAGCTGAGTTACTTAACCATGGAATACGCCGTGGGCAATGCACGCTCTCTCCCATCAGTCAGGTAGGCCTGCTTCATATGTAATCAACTCTAGCCCGATTTGATGCACCTGCTCTGAATTGGGGAAATCCCTCCCAAGGCTGGGAATTTCAAGCGGCGGCAGAGAGTTGAGGGCTTACAAGAGGCGATGCATTTCTATTTAATTATGTGGCGCTCCTGCTGCATGCTTCATGAGGTTCACGTCGCTCGACCAGGCTGGGCCGCACCTTGGAGGTGCCCTGCTCCTGCTCGTCTCGCCCCACGTCCGGGTTGGGCCTCACGTCCAGGTTCCAGCGGTCGAGCTGCACCGTGGCCCCCTCCTCCACGTGGGACAGAACCTTGGAGATCGGCTCGTCCGTGTAACCCTGGCGCGCGGGGCATGCACGGCGTTCAGAACATTTATCAAAGGAACGGACACTCGGACTCGCGGACTCGCAGACTCGTGGACACTCGGACGTGCGGACACTTAGACGCACCCCTCCCCAGTTCAGAGTGCGCGCCAGGTCATTCCCCGTGCCCAGGGGGAGGATGGCGACAGGAGGAGGTGGCACGATCTGCAGCTGGTCCAACACAGACAGGATCCATCCCACCTGGAGACACGTGTAGAGACAGAATTAGAGACAAGGAGAGGGAGATGTAGTCGCACGATGAGACACCCGTAGAGATTCACATAGATCCGCATGTACAGTGAGATAAACACCGAGCCACATGCACTTCGACGCACATAGAGACGCGCGTCTCACCGTGCCGTCCCCACCGCACGCCAGCACGCGGAGGTTGGGCACCTTCCTGTAGAGCTCCAACCTGAACGGAAACGCACCGTCGAGTCGAATTCAACACACAGCATTTGATCACCTTACACATTACAGCACCGCACTGCAGTACATGGCACCACACCGCACAACAACGCACCGGTCACACGCAACCACGTCGCATCACACTGCGCCAGATTGCAATCTACCGCACTACAGAGCAACACTTCACGCCACAGCCGCGCAAGCTGCACGCTACCACTTTACTCACAGCCAAACCACCACACCACCACGCAGCTCCATGTCCCACAGCCGTACGCCACACAGCCCCACACTACACATTACCACACAGCCCCACGTATCATCATACCACATGTCAGCACCACACAATCACACTACACCACACGCCACCACATCGCGAACCACCACCCAGCTCCACGTAGCGTGGCCCTTGCGGTGTGGAGCTTTGATGTGCGCCGTGCTCTCTCTGTACTCACGCCTCCTGCGGGCCGCCCGCCCCCAGATCAAACACCTGGCGCGGGTTGAGGAGCCACATGAGGCTCTGCATGATCTTGTTACCCTGCGGGGGGCCGGGGGGGCGGAGAGCGGGCCGTGAGTGTGGCCAACAACAAATCTCGCAGCGAGCTTCTCCTGCTGCTGCTGCTGACCGAATCGGCGTCGGGGTGTCGGTGCTCATGGCTCCTGTCTACAGCCCGGGACCTATGACGGGGGTGAGTCTTATCATAGGACAACTACTGGTGACTTTCCCACAAATAGATGGTGGGCTGAGTCAACCCCTAAACAAGCTTTGAACTCGTAACCTTCTGGCCGGCATTGCCATTTCCACTTGGGCCTTAAAAGGGAAATATACATCATACTTGACTTAAAGCTTTCGTGACTGCAGGAATTGATATTCTTTGGGTCTTTCGGTAAAGTCACAAGTGCCTCAGCAGTTCTCCTGCTGTATTTTTTCACCTGAAGACGATTGCTTGTGTTGCGATCATAACGTCGTGATTTTTACAAATATTTTTCTATCTACGTAACTTTACAGAAAGACCCAAAGAGTATACATAATAGTATGTATATATATAAAAACCAGGTGGCGTTTCGGGCAATGACCCTCCTTCACAGTACATAGCCCAGATACATGGAATGAATAACAGTTGAATACTGCACTGTACCCCATATACATGATGGGGCGCTGATAAAAGGCATGGTGAGAATGGTTTCCAGGTGAACGGTCTTAATTCGACATGTGAGACCTGGTTCCCCCCGCTCTTGGGGTTGATGAAGACGACGAGCGGCTTCACGAGCGGCGACGCCACCGCTTTGACGGCAAACGGCCGCCATTTGCATTCCTGCACGCGGAGCCAACGGACGCACGGAGCAAGGTCAACTCGGTGACCTCTGCTCCGCCAGCATCGTGGGGCCAGCCAAGGTGGCCATGCAGTGCCGTGCGGTATGGGTCGCGGTCCTTGCCTCTGAGCCCTTCTTGCTGGATTTACGCTTGAGGGAAGACCGCTTCTTCCTCCTACTCGACTTGAGAGAGGCCTGCGCACCGCACGGTGCCACCATCACCACCTTCGCCATCATCACAACCACTACCATCACCACAATCACCACCACTGTGCTGGGCAGTGATAGACCGAGGTGGGCAGTGACGGGCCATGATAGGCCGTGATGGCCTGTGACAACCCGTAACCCCCCTCATGATGACCCGTCACTCACCTGCGGTCGCTTGACCCGAATGATCCACGTGGGAGGCACGATGACTGCGGCGTGGACCCCGAGCGAGCACGGCTCCTCGATTTGCTGCAGCATGAAGCACGACACCTTGTTGTGGTACTGTGGGGGGAGGGTCGGCCGCCAGTCGTCAAGTCAGCCACCCGGCCAGTTAGTCACTCAGCCATACATTCACTTAGCCGTCAATTCAGGCAGTCAGCCAATTAGTCACTCAGTCATCAATTCAGCCACTTATCAAATTAGTCACGCAACAATCCAACTAGTCAGTCATCAAGAGGTGGGAACAAGAGAAGCCCCCGCCCAGAGTGACCGGTGGCAAGGGCCAAGTTTGATTGTGCGGGCGACGTGAGCGCACGAGTGTGGGCGCGCAAGTGGAGGCACAACGCACGGCCTGCTTGCACCACGAGCAGCTGATCGCCACGATCTCCTTGCTGTGGAAGGTAAACTTCTGCTGGAAACCCTGAGACGGGGAGGATGGGGGCACGGGGGGCACAGACGTCAGTATTATGGGCAGGGTCAGGATCTTGCACATCCGATCATCACGGTTGGCTATGTACGGTGCGAAAGAAGTAAAACATAATACAGGGTCGACGTTCGGGTTTATGGTCAGGGTTAATATTCGGGTCTGGATCAGTATTAGGAACAATGTTAGGGTCATCATCAGTCTTAGGGCCAAGGTGAAAGTTTCAAAGTAAGAGTCAGATTTGGGGTTCTGGCTGTTCTGGCTGCTCCCCGCACCTCCAAATAAGTTCAACATACATACACGTAAGAGAGGGAAGTTAATTCCTAAACGTAGCCCATGCCTTGCATGGGCTACGTTTAGGTCGCTCACCTTGCCACACTGGCGACAACGGCCCTCCTGCCTGTGACGGTGAACCCAGTGGTGCCGCACAGCCGAGGCCTGCGCACGTACGGTTACACGGAACACACACGAGAATCCACATGGCCATGGCCGGGCAGCACACATGCGGGCATGGGAACCCACGTGGGCATGCGCACGGCAACACACACGGCCACGGCAACACACACGGGCACGGGAACACACACGCGCACGTGAACAAACACGGGCACGGCAACACACACGGGCACGGCAACACACACGGGCACACGCACGGTCAGTAGAATCCCGCGGCCCACGAATCCGGAATTCACTCCGTGTTCTCCGCTGCGTGGCTCTCAGAGGATCAAGGCGGCGTGGATTCCACCCTTTCATCTCGCGCGAGTGCGTGAGTGCACGTGTGTGTATGTGTGCGTGCGTATAATTGCTCCTGTGTGTACCTGTTTGTGCGTGTGTTTATATTACCCGCGTGTCCACGTACGCATGAGTTTGTGTGTTGCCTGATGGGTCTGTTTGATGGGGACTGTAATGGGGTCTGTGTAATGGGGTTTGTGTGACGGGGTCTGTGCCATGGGGTCTGTGCGATGCGTACTGTTATGAGGCCTGTGTGATGGGGTCTGTGCGATGGGGACTGTGATGGGTTATGTGTAATAGGGTCTGTGTGATGGGGTCTGTGCGATTGGTACTGTGTGATTCACCTCCCTCGCGCTTCTGGTTCCTGCTTCGCGAAATGTTGGCTTGCAGCGAAAATTAATCTGTGGAGAGATTTGAGGCATACGGAGCTGTGGGAATCCCACGAGAATCTCAAGAGAGGAGTGAGAGTGCCGTGAGTGCCTGAGAATCCCACGAGAATCCCAAGAGAGGAGTGAGAGTGCCGTGGTAGTCCCACGAGAATCTCAAGAGAGGAGTGAGAGTGCCGTGAGAATCCCACGAGAATCCCAAGAGAGGAATGAGAGTGTCGTGGGAGTCCCACGAGAGTCCCACGAGAATCTCAAGAGAGGAGTGAGAGTGCCGTGAGTGCCGTGAGAATCCCACGAAAATCCCAAGAGAGGAGTGAGAGCGCTATGAAGCCCGTGGGAGTCCCGTGAGAGCGGTACCTGCTCGAGTTGAGGGATGCACGCCACGTGCACCACGATGCGACACGACGCGCACTTCTTCCGCGACATCGACTTCTGCAGAGCAGGGCGGAGGAGACGAACCGTGATGTGTGGACACGAGAGAACACGTCGGGATACGTAGGGACACGAGGAGATACGTGAGGATTCGTGGGAACACGAGGGGACACTTGGGGGACATGAGGCGACACGTGGAGAGGCACGCACCACCGTACGCACGACGCAGCCGTCCTCGCCCAGGTAGCAGCAGCCGTCCCCCGAGTCCCCCGAGTCGAACCACACGTGGTCCCCGGGCACCGCTGCCTCCTGCACCCCCACGGACACACGGGGCGCACACGCGTGGGGAGATTGCACGGGTGTGCGCAGGGTAATGAGAGTGCAGGGAAAGTGCACGACGGTGCAGTGGGGAGTGTAGGAGAGTAGGCAGCGTGCAGGCGAGTAGGTAGAGTGCAGGAGAGGAGAGTGAACGAGAGTAGGGAGAGTGAAGGAGAGTGCATAAGAATGGGGTCACGCACGCTCCAGTCCACGGTCCCGCGCGCCGGGATCCTCTCTCCGCCGTTGATGAAGGCGCCGAGCGCCTCGTCCTGAGCCAGGAGATGCTGCAGCCCTGAGCGGGAGATGGCCTTCCTGGGGGCACGGTGAGCCAGGACATGGGCTTGCGACACTCACTCTCACTCGGTAACACTCTCAGCGACACTCACTCTTCCCCCGCCCTCGCACACTGAGCGTGGCAGTGGAGACTATTCACACAGCAGCATAGACACCATCCCTCTCATATTGGTTTTCGTACGCAAACAATACTTGTTTTACACATCTCTTCAGCCACACATCCTTCTGAAAGTGCAGATATACAAAGATACATTCATTAACAAACTGGTGGGGCGAGTGTGCTGTTAGCAAGCACCCAGCACGACGGAGTGGGTCGTGCTGCCTTTGATGTTTACACACCACACGAGGTACTCATTCCAGGGAAGGCGCAGGACCGGTTAAAATATTCATTGCCACATATTGGTCGTAAGCGGGAATTGAACTCGGGTCGCCGGATTCGTAGTGCAGCGCGCTAAGTGCACACATAGACACGCTAACCGCTACACTGCCGCTCCCATAGACAACAACAACAACCGCCATTCGCCACTAAGCGGCGGTGACGTCACCACGACGCTTGTGCCAGGCTATGTGCACCCTGAGGCCACGTGAAGTGTCGAACGCCCGCTGGCAGGAGGTCACGGGGCAGACCCAGGTGCCACGGGTCGACTGACTGAGATGACTGGCTGATGCACCACCTGTGCCCCCTACTGTGGCAACCTGCTGTGCTTTAGCCACCCGGCGCTCCGCTCGTTGTTGTGAGCGTCGCTCCTCCGCCCTCCGTTGTTGTTGGAGGGCGACTGCCTCCAACTGCCCAGTAGCGTCCTTCACGAGCCTCCTCCACAGAGATCGATCTTGACACCGCTGGTACCAGTCATCGGCAAGTCCAATCAACTCCACGTCCTCCTGTACCACATCACTCCATCTCTTCTCTAGCCCGTGCCGCGCCCGCTTAGCCTCCTCAATCCGGTCGAACAAAAGCTGTTTCGCCATGCGGTGGCTGGGCATGCGGGCTACATGACCCAGCCAACGCAGCCTTGCCTGCCGGAGGAGCTCACCGATGGGACCTTGCCCAGATCTTTCAAGGATTTGTGAGCTCCTCACATAATCCAGCCTGGTTAAACCCAGGATGGATCGTAGGCAGGCTAGCCTAAATGTTTATAACCGGCGAAGATGATCCATTAAGGGGGTCCACGTTTCGCAAGCGTAGAGAAGGGAGGGAATGACCGTGGCCGAGAAGACCTGAAGCTTAGTGCGGAGCGACAGACCAGGTAGCTTCCACACAGCGTTACGCAACCGATGAAAAGATATTGCCGCTAGACTGATTCGGAGTGAGACCTCTGCTGTTAAACTGGAGCTGGTCATAAGCACACTGCCCAGGTATGGGAAACTCTCCACTCTCTCCACAACTGCCCCATCACCGATTGAGAGTTGTGGGGGTGGAGTGTCCGATGGTACAAAATACCCAGGCAGGTGCTTAGTTTTGGTGGGGCTGATGGTAAGGCCCCATCTCTTAGTGGCACGCTCCAGTCTCAGCAGCAGCGTCTCCCACTCCTCCTCGGAATGAGCAGATATTACCAAAACAGGTCCCTGCAGGGTGGGCTGGTAGGAACATTGGAATTTTTTTTTACACCCAACAGCACGAGATTTCACTTCGTTAAAGTATTGAAAGGGGACAGACGGATGGACACATTAATTTATTGCAGGCTGGTACACTCAGTTTACAACTTCGTTCCTACCAGTATGACTTCCAAATGTTGGGTGCAAACAGGTCCCTGCAGGGTGGGCTGGTAGGAACATTGGACATTTTTTTACACCCAACAGCACGAAATTTCACTTCGTTAAAGTATTGAAAGGGGACGGACGGACGAACGGACGGACACATTAATCTATTGCAGGCTGGTACACTCAGTTTACAACTTCGTTCCTACCAGTATAAGACATATCAAGTCTCCACGCTGTCTATTGCTGATTTTACACCCAACAGCACGAGATTTCACTTCGTTAAAGTATTGAAAGGGGACGGACGGACACATTAATCTATTGCAGGCTGGTACACTCAGTTTACAACTTCGTTCCTACCAGTATTATCGGCATACATAACATAGTTGAGCAATAGGGAGCCATCCCTTGACCGCACCCGGGCATCGATCAGCCTCCCATTATATCTGTACCAAAAGGAGAATCCCCCGGTACAGCTATTGAAGGCTTCACGAACTACGTGGTCAAAATAGATGTTAAATAATGTGGGAGCCAGAGGACATCCCTGTCGCACCCCAAGGTGTACAGGGAATGGCTCTGACTCCCGGCCACGTAGTTTTGCCCGGGCCCGCTCACCATCATGAAGGTCCTTAATGATCACGAGCAGAGGGTCAGGGACTCCAAAAGCCAGAAGAACAACCCAGAGCCCAGGCCCATTGATGGTATCATAGGCCTTGACCAGGTCAATAAAGCAGAGATGTAGGTCTTGTTGGAATTCCCTACACCTCTGCTGTAGCAGACAGACAGAAAATACGGCATCTGTGCAGAACCGACCTTTCCTGAAACCGCATTGGGGCTCCGCAAGCCTCTCCTCAACGTGCCTGGCAAGGCGATGTTGAATAATCCTTGCCAGGACCTTTCTCGGCACACTGAGGAGTGAGATGCCCCTGTAGTTGTTACAGTTTGTGCGGTCGCCCTTCTTAAAGAGGGGGGCCACCAGGGCATCCTTTCAATCCTGCGGAACCCGTCCAGTGGTCCAGACTGTTGTTATGATGTCATATAGGGCAGTCTATGCACAAACGCCACCCTCCCTCAGCATTTCGTTTGGGAGATCATCTCTGCCCTGTGCCTTTCCTGGTCTCAGACTCCGGATCGCCTTCAGTACTTCCTCAACAGATGGCACCTCAGCCAGCCACTCACAGGGGGTGACTTCTTCCAATATTTGAGGCACCGCAGCCTCAGCAGGGTCATCCCCACTTTGTGCCACGATGTTTTCCTGGCTGAGGGGTTTCCCCTCCCCCAGGGCTTCACAGAAATGCTCAGCAAATCTGCAAACCTGTTCCTGGGGGTCGGAGATTGGAACACCGTTTTTTCCCCTAATGATGGTAATAGGTGTGGCGCTGCAGGTTACTTTTTTGATGGAGTTAAATAGAGATTTGTGATCCGGGCCACTGAGGTACACTCCATCTCCTCAGCAACCCGCGACCACCACGCTTGCAGCGCCTCACGGCTCTCCGAACCTCCGAGTGAAGGCTGCGGTAAGCCTCCTCATTCTCTGACGTGGGATTCTGTAGCCGATGACAGTGGGCCTGTTGCTTTTTCTCAACTATCCTGAACACCTCCTCTGTCAGCCATGGTCTCTGGGGAGGTCTGGACCGCGTACCCAAAGCAGCCATTGCAGCTGCATGAGTCACAGTCCTAAACCTCGCCCATTTACCCTCGACATCAGGAGGAGTGGGGGACGATGCCAACCCCAGCTGCAAGGGATAATGAAATTCTCGCTTGCAACTTTCATCAGCTAACTGAGACCAGGCCACTTTAGGTTGGAAGGGGGTCCTGGGTGTACACTCACCACCGGAGTGGAAGAATGGCAGGCGCATCTTACAGATGACTAGTCGATGGTCAGAGGGCAGATCAGCTCCACGGTAGGTCCTGGTGTCAAGGACATGGGCTCGCATCCGCTGGTCCGTCACTATGTAGTCCAGCAGATGTTCTTGCTTGGACCCGGCATGCATCCATGATGTTGTGTGGATGCACCGATGCCGGAACAGCGTGTTGGTAATTATAAGCCCATGGGCTGCACAAAAATCTAGCAGCCTCCTACCGTTGTTATTGAGCTGATCTGGCCCATGCCCTCCAATCACTCCAGACCAGGTGCCAGCATCATGACCAACTCGGGCAGTGAAGTCACCCAACAAGATGACTCTATCCCGAGGGGCCACTTTAGCCAGCACCTGTGACAGGAGGTCATAGACGGGTGCGAGGGGCTGGTAACCCCTCCACCTTCAAAAAATAACCACGAAACCACGACACATAGACACTACCGCACACACACATAGACACTACCGCACACACATAGACACTACCGCACACACACATAGACAATACCGCACACACACACATAGACACTACTACACACATAGACACTACCACACACATAGACACTACCGCACACACACACAGACCCTACCGCACACACACACATAGATACTACAGCACACACACACATAGACACTACCGCACACGCACACACATAGACACTACCGCACACACACACACACATAGACACTACCACACACACACACACATAGACACTACTGCACACACACACACAGAGACACTACCGCACACACACACATAGACACTACCGCACACACACATAGACACTACCCCACACACACATAGACACTACCACACACACACATAGACACTACCACACACACACATAGACACTACCACACACACATAGACACTACTACATACACATAGACACTACCACACACACATAGACACTACCGCACACACACACATAGACACTACTGCACACACATAGACACTACCGCACACACACACATAGACACTACCACACACACACATAGACACTACCGCACACACACACACATAGACACTACCGCACACACACATAGACACTACCACACACACACACATAGACACTACCGCACACACACACATAGACACTACCGCACACACACACATAGACACTACCACACACACACAGATAGACACTACCACACACACACATAGACACTACCGCACACACACACATAGACACTACCGCACACACATGGACACTACCGCACACACACACATAGACACTACCACACACACATAGACACTACCGCACACACACATAGACACTACCACACACACATAGACACTACCGCACACACACATAGACACTACCGCACACACACATAGACACTACCGCACACACACACATAGACACTACCGCACACACACATAGACACTACCACACACACATAGACACTATCGCACACACACACATAGACACTACCGCACACACATAGACACTACCGCACACACACATAGACACTACCACACACACACATAGACACTACCACACACACACACATAGACACTACCGCACACACATAGACACTACAGCACACACACACATAGACACTACCACACACATAGACACTACCGCACACACATAGACACTACCGCACACACACATAGACACTACCGCACACACATAGACACTACCGCACACACACATAGACACTACCACACACACATAGACACTACCGCACACACACATAGACACTACCACACACACACACATAGAGACTACCGCACACACACACATAGACACTACCGCACACACACACATAGACACTACCGCACACACACACATAGACACTACCGCACACACACATAGACACTACCACACACACATATACACTACCGCACACACACACATAGACACTACCACACACACATAGACACTACCACACACACATAGACACTACCGCACACACACACATAGACACTACCGCACATACACACATAGACACTACCACACACACATAGATACTACCGCACACACACGCACATAGACACTACCACACACATAGACACTACCGCACACACATAGACACTACCGCACACACACATAGACACTACCACACACACACATAGACACTACCGCACACACATAGATACTACCGCACACACACGCACATAGACACTACCACACACATAGACACTACCGCACACACACATAGACACTACCGCACACACACATAGACACTACCACACACACACATAGACACTAACACACACACATAGACACTACCACACACACATATACACCACCGCACACACACATAGACACTACCACACACACATAGACACTACCACCCACATAGACACTGCCACACACACACATAGACACTACTACACTGGCTTCCCATTCAACTCCAACTCTGCCGTTACGGAAATTCGCCGCGTCTCCCGCCCCTCCTCACGCACCCCCGCAGAGTTTCCGCTGCGTGGCCCCTCCAGGTGGCCCTGCCGGAGCCCCCCGCACTGGTCACGCGCTTCGCGTTGCAAACCCCCGCAATGTTCCCCATGGGGGCACGGCGCGCCCCGGTATGGGCCCCGCACGGGCTCTCAGGCCCCTGTAGGGACGAGTGCCGGCGGAGACACGGGGGTGGCCTCAAGTAGCGGCCGTGTCTGCGCGCCCCGCCGCGGGGAGCTTCGCGAGGGGGCGCAGGGGCCTCGACGCGAGACTCCTCTCCACGAGGACCCCCCACGGACATCGTTCCCCCGCTCGGCTTAATCGAAGCGGCGTGGTTGTCGCCCCCTCCGCTCGCAGTTTCCTCGACGACGATAACGAGGTCGGCCCTGTCCTCGCTGCCTGCCGGGAGTGGCAGGAATCCCGCCCCGGACTCCTGCTCCAGTCCTCTCCGAACGCGCTCGGGGAAGCCGAGGCCCGGCGGCAAGAGCAGCTGCATCCAGTCGACCCGCGGCGCGGAGCTTCCCCAGGCAACGTCGACGCGGTCCGGGCCGTGCGATCTCCAGGCGCGGCTCCCCTGGCCCCGGTTAGGGAGCAGGGCTCCGTGCTGAGCCAGCACCCAAAGCGCGCGGCTCACGGCTCCGCGTGGGTTTGCGGCTCCGCGCTTCGCCTTCGAGACGCTGCTCCTCCTGCACGGCGCCGGCTCTGCCGCGCTCGGTTGCCTCGCCGCGTTCCGCGGACCCGGGGTCTGCTGCTGCTGCGCGGACACGCGGCGCCGCGCTCTTGGCGGCTCCGAGAGGGGGTGCGCGGGGAGTACCACGACCCCACGCCGGCGGACCAGGGGACTCTGCGCGGGCGTCGCCGCCCCAGCCGCCGCCACGAGGGTCGGGCCCGGGCGGCGCTGCGTGGAGGAGGAAGAAGGAGAGGAGGAGGAGGGGGGCGCGACCCCCGCGAGAGATTTGCGCCGCGCGGAGAGAGACGCAGAGGGGAGACCCGCGCTGGAGCGGCGCCGCGCTCTGCTGCTCACGAGGAGCGCGGGGCGATTCTCCGTGCCGCCGCCCCCGACACTGGGCGGACCCCATCTGCTCGGGCCCTTGAAATGTCTCTTGAACTTTTCCATCACTCGCTATGAGCCGGGGACTGAACGCCGCCCGCTCGCTAACGCGCGGGCACTCACTGCCTCTCTCCGTGCTTGAGTGAAGTCGGGGGCGCAGGAGACCGCCTCTTTGTTCCACCGCTCCGGGTCCCTCGTCACCGAAGCGCGAGAGGGGGAGGTGATCGCGGAGAGAATAGAAAGCGAGGGAGGCGGCTAGGGGGGAGGGAGCAGCATGACGGCAGAAGGACGAGGAGTACCGAGGGCGATTGGAGGAGGCGCACCTCTTCACACCTCTTCACATATACTTGCACATACTCCTGTGCACACTCACTCACATTTATAGATAGACATCCTTCCACCGACACCTGCTCACACTCTCACCCATTCGTTGCAAGAAGCGAGAGTTTGTGAGTGGCCGCACCCACACTCTACCCCATCACACACCAACTATGCTGCGCCCATGTAGACTGCTGAGTGGACAGCGGCGTGGGAGGCTGGGAAGGAGTGAGGAACGTTTGACCCATCGCTTCAACTGTCTAGCCGGGAGATGAAATCGAACCGTCGACCTGTACGTTGAAAGTCCAGAGTACGAACCATGAGGCTGCGGCTGCTTGGGTAAGTAAATGAAGTGCACGATAATGAATGGATCATTGTTTTCACGAGAGTGAGACTCCGTGTCGCCTTCATTATACCCGCTTCGTGCGTGAGACCCATTTGAAGTCGCAGATCCCGCGTCGCCGCTCCCCTCTCGATCCGAATTTGCATCGCGTCTCATTAGCACCTCAAAGACATCAATGGCGATGAGAGAGGAACGGAAGCGCGAGTGAGGGAGGGCACGACGCAGTTCGCGACGCGCGTCGCGACCAGAGCACGACAGAAATCGGCAGGAAGAGGAGAAACTGTTCGGATAGATTCGGTCGAAATTAGAATCGTGCTGCTATCACATCTGGGGTGAAGTACTCAGTTCCTGCCTCACTGCACAGGATAGAGTTCACAGATGGATGATCCAGCACTCGTCAAATTCACTCCAGTCACTCGCTCACCCGCGGTTAGTTGCCTCCATATCACCCCTCTATCGCTACTACCATTGATTCCTTCACACATGTTGAGAAGGTCTATGAGACTGACTGTTCGATCTCATCCACAGTGTTCACATTCACTCCCTCTCCCACCCACACTGAAGGACAAAACACTTCTCTCTCTCTCTGCTCCTTCCCTCGCACCGCTCCACTTCGGCATTACCTCCTCCCAGTGTCTCTGTTCCCCAAGCTCTTACAATAAATAACCTCTCTTAATTCGAGCAACGTGTTCACTTTTATCTATAACAGCTTTGATCGTATTATTGGTTCTTTCGGTAAAGTCACGTAGAAGGGAAATAATAAAATAATAAAAATAAAACATAATAAAATAAAATTATCATGACGTTTCGGCCACAACGCAAGCAGCCGTCCTCAGGTGAAGAAACAGAGCTTAACGCAGGGTTAGACACGTCGGTAATTCAAGAGGGCACCGTGCTAGCTCATGCGTCGCTCATGCTTCACGAAGGAAGCATCGTTGGCAGTGTAGGGGCCGTGTCAAATACGCGGCCGCAAAAGGATTCTGATGAGAGGTGGACGGATACGGTTTGTTCTGAAAATGCGGAATTGTCCGAGTCCCAGAGGGGGGAGTTGAGGGTGCTCTTGCGTGAATTCTCTGATGTATTTAGCAAGAGCAAATTTTACATCGGTCGCACTATGCTTTTGAGTAACCACATCGATACGGGCGACGCCGCTGCCATCCGGCAAAATCCCTACCGGCTGAGCCCTACGGAAAAAAGAACACGTACGGCTGATGGTTGATTAAATGTTAGCCGCAGATATAATTTCGCCATCCACCAGCCCGTGGGGAGCCCCGATTGTTATTGGTAAAAATCAGGATGGTAGTTTGCGTTTCTGTGTTGACTTCTGTAAGCTTAACAAGATATCTGTTGCTGACGTGACCCTCTCCCTCGGATGGACGATTCCCTGGATGCTCTGGCAGGAGCACATTACTTTTCCACTCTTGACCTCCTATTCGGATTTTGGCAGTTGCCACGAGATGAAGCCTCTAAGCCCAAAACAGCCTTTCGTACACCACAAGGCTTATTCGAATTGAATCAGCCTCCGATGGGCCTTCATTCCACGCCGGCTACGTTCCAGCGATTGATGGAACTGGTTCTAGCTGGTCTCCAGTGGGACTCGTGCTTGATATATCTCGACGATGTTATCGTTTTCAACCGTACGTTTAAATAACATATGGAATGGTTATGTGCTGTCTTTCTTAAAATGCATGCGGCCAACCTCAAATTTAAACCACAGAAGTGTCACCTCTAAAAATCTGTTCAGTATCTTGGCCACATAGTAAGTAAATCAGGTATTGTGACAGACCCGGACAAAACCGCGTGTGTTCGTACTTAGCCGACCCCCACGTCGGTGGGGGAGGTGCGGAGTTTCATAGGATTTGCGTCCTATTACCGCCGTTTTGTCGCCGACTTCGCTACTATTGCCAAACCGCTCCACGCCTTGATGGCAAAAAGTCAGAAGTTCTATTCGGGGGAGGAGGAGGCCGCATTTGTTGTGCCCCGGGATGGCTTGGTGAACGCCCCTCCACACCGCTACCCCGACTTTTCCTTGCCGTTCGTCCTTGATAAAGACGCTAGTAACAGCGGAATTGGAGCTGTTCTGTCTCAAGTTGTTAATGGCGTCGAGAGTGTTGTCACATTTGGAAGCAGAGTGTTGTCTCTGACCGAACAACGGTACTGTGTCACACGCCGGGAACTTTTGGCTATTGTTTTATTCGTGCAACAGTATCGCCCCTATCTGTATGGCAGACACTTTGAGGTGTGCTCTGACCATGCAGCGCTACAGTACGCACTGCATATTGAACAGCCGTCTGGCCAACTTTCACGTTGGTTGGAAGTCCTCTAGGACTATTCCTTTACTGTTTCTTATAGCAAAGGCACCCGCCACACGAACGAAGACGACCTGTCGCGACTACCAACGAGCGACGGGTGCGTGTGTTTTTGGGGCTCGGGGCACTGTAAGAAGCCCACCGAGGACTCGCCCCCTCCCCTGGTGGCGTCGGCCGAGGTTGGAACCTCTGAGGTAGCCGAGGGTCCTGTGGCGCGTGATGCCGTCATTGGGTTGGACCATGCAGAATGGGGGCGCCTCCAGGTTGAGGATACTTCCCTGCTTAAATTGCGACGCCGTGTCAAGGAGGCTGATGGGGGCGGGGATTGCCGGGGTGTTGCCTCTGTCATTGTCAGAGGCGGATTGCTTATGCATTGGGACAGAGGGTTGTGCCGTTACAACACTGTTGTGTCCACTGCCCTGCGGAGTGAAGTCATTTGGGCGGTGCACGAGCGACTGTTGCACCTGGGTGTGCATAAAACGTTGGCCACATTTAAGCTGGACTTTTTCTAGTCTGGCATGGCGGAAGATGTTGCTAATTTGTTGAAAGGATGTGTGCAGTGCACACAGCGGAAACCGCCTTCTAAACCCTGTTGTCCACCGTTGCAATCTATTCAGGTATCCCGCATAAATGAGTTGGTTGCTCTGGATACCCTTGGTCCATTTCCCACTACCCTTCGTGGTAATAAGTATTTGCTAGTGGGAGTCGAGTATTTTTCACGATGGCCTGTGGCCTGGCCGCTCCCCAACCAGTCAGCGGCGACGATCATTGAGGCATTCCTAAATGGCTATGTGATGGACAAGGGTGCCCCCGTGCGTCTTCTGACCGATAAGGGCAAAAATGTTTCTTAAAAATTGTTGCGTAAGGTATGCGATCTGTTGGGAACAAAGAAAGTATGTATGTCACCATACCATCCACAGATGGATGGATTGGTAGAGCGGCTGCACAGGACTCTGACCTCCATGTTGAGCCATCAGGTCAGCGAGTCCCAACGTGACTGGGACTTGCATGTTCCCGGAGTCCTGGCTGCCTATAGAATGGCCCCTCACGCATCCACCGGCTACTCACCATTTTTTTAAATGTACAGAAGAGAACACGACCCCCCCAATTGATGTCCAATTACGAGGCGCGCCAAACAAGGCTAAATAAAACATTTCTGACTCCATGCGCTTAACCGTTCAGAAGCTTTCAGAAGCGCAAGAGGCTTCCAGAGAAAATTTCAATTCGCGACAATTGGCAAATGAGCGGCTGATGGGTTCCCATCCTTCCGGACATGACTGGGTCCCAGGTGACAGAACCTGGCTGCGCTGTCCACAGGTGCCAGTGGGTACGTCGCCCAAATTGTTTAAACCCTGGAGGGAGCCGGTTGATGTGATTGGGATCGTTCGGCCCCAGTTTGTTCAGATTCGCTTGGGTCGGCGGAGTTGGTTTGTACATCTATTGCGCCTCAAGCCTTTCATCGCACCGCGTGAATTAATTCCATCTCCACTACGCAGGGGCCGAGTGTCAGATGTGTCCGGTGAGCTGAGGTGTGTACACGTTGAGGTTAGTCCACAGCGGAGTCATGTGATCTCGTCCTCAGGTGCCGCGCGTCTAATGTCCCCCAAGCCACCACCTGCGCGGTCTCCGCTAAATTCGGGAGAGGAGAGCCCGTCCACCTGGCCGACTGCTCTTCGTGAGGAGCCTGGTTCGACGGGACATTTGCAAATTCCCCCCGGGACCTCCAGGGAGAGTGAGCCCACCTCCCCTGGGGGCCCGGCCACAAGAGCTCGAACAAAGACTCTTCGGTTTTCGTGATCCCCATATACACACGCTCCCACACCGTCAGTTGGTTGTCGCACTCGGCAAGCCATATTGGTTATTGGCTGAAACTATCCTTATTGTGCTTGCGGGTGTTGTTACACAGTGCAGGTGGGAGATGCTGGTGATGGAGGGGGTCCCGAGCGTTCGCATTTTACTGCGGTTTATTTTTTCCCTCTCTTCCTTTGTTGCCCATTGTTGTTCTGTACTTTAGTCCCCTTTCCCCGTTAGTTACTGTATGTTTGTAGATAGTGTACATATTGTATAGGTGGGTTGTGGTATTTATTTGTTGAGCCACACATTGGGGTTTTGTTCACTTTATTCATTTTGTTCGTTGCTAAAGGGGGAGTTGACAGCCGGGACGGCTGAGTGCTACGAAGGGGGGGCGGGGGGGGGGTGATGTAGTGACATTGCAGAATGTCACTGGGTAATGCCGGCCCTAGAAAGGCACGGCGTGCGGTGTATTGACACAGGAGGCCCCTTCTGCAATATCAGTGCCTCACGTTGTGCCTGGGTGATGGACGCTGGAGCCGTTTTGCGCAGGAGGAACATTCCAAGACATGCCGACCGTTTTGTGGCTGTCTTGTCAAACGGGCTGAATAAGCGCAGGAATGTGGAATGCCGTCGTCTTGCCGCGTTACGCTGACATTTACGGTTGCAGCGAGTGAACATATCTCCAGATGGTATAAGAAAGGAATACATCCCGACGTATATTACAGCCTGTAGGTGTCTGGAAGCAGGGAACCAACGAGGGTGCGTGTCAGGCGGGCAAGAGGAGACCGATAAGGCGGTGGTCCAAGCGAACCTCCCGGGTTGGGAGTGCGAGGGGACAGCGCACGACGGGAACACGAGCGTGGCGCCCACGCGAAGCGGAGCCGGGTGTCGTTCGTGATGTCAGTCTCTGGGCGAATGTGCGACTACGTGAAGAAGATGAGGCAGTGACCTTGAACATAAATCCACGCCATGACTGGGTGTGCGTTATGAGGTGGTGATAAGGCACAAACCTGCCACTGTAGAACACATCATGCTGTGTATGCGTCTGGGTCATGAGGGCACGATAAATACGAACTACCCCCACTCTGCACATTCTGCTCTCTCTTCCCGTGGGATACCTTCCTGTTAATTTCTGCGTGAGACGTTATTCCTCCGATAAAAAAAGCAGGTGTTGCTGTGACTCCACGTATGATTGCTACTGAAGTATTGTTGGGGTGTTCATTAATTATTATAGTTGGGGGTTGGGTGACTCAGATCAAAATCTTAAAACCTGCAGCACGTGTGAGAATGCTCTGGATACGCACCCACATGCACCCGTGGGTGACAGTGAACAGAGCAGTCTCCAGCTGTGATCCACCCAGACTTAGGCCTACTGTGAAGAAGGGCCATTTCCCAAAGCGTTGCCTATTACAATTATTTTCTTCTGTATGTCATGTTGTTATTGACACGGAATGTGTTGAGTTGTTGTTGGAATGTGTGCTTGTCCACCACTGCCAATGCGGTGTCACCAAATGGCACGAGTGGCCAACATCACCGAGGGGACGAGAAGCCATCCCACGGAGGCGGCGCTCGCCTCGTCCCTCAGCCGCTCGCCCACGCCGCTGTCGTCCGCCTGCGATTCTCCCGAAAGCAGGAGGCGATGCTCACGCCCGAGTCCACAGCCCCTGTCACGATGCCTCTGCACCATATCGCGATCAACAAGCTTATACGGTTAATGGTGTGACCATCAACCGCATAAGAACATCAACCGGCTGATGCACACATCCCCTTTATAAATGGAAAATTAAAAGTCACAGTAGTGCCATTGTGGCCATGCAACCCACGCAACCCAAACTAAGTCTGCCCTCCTTCGGTTGAGGAGGATCAGCAAAACTACACAAATTCTACCTTGAAGCCCTCTCGTGGCCAGCAGACCTCGACATTGACATTTAGCTCGTGAACATATTTCCATCATACGCCAGAATAGAAGGGATCATCCAGGTGAAACATTGTAAAAATAACTTTCAATATCCGTTGACACTTTGTGTGCGTTTCGTAATTAGCGCACTGCACTGAGTAGCGTCATGTAGAGGTGACGTCATATCCAGACGAACACGGCTGACCTAATGCCAGATAGTGGTGGGGGAGACGGTCAGGGCAGATCATGGAGATCGCTGCGATTCTCTACTGTGCAGCAGCAGCAGCAGCTGCGGCATCTGGCGGAGGGCAGAACGCGGTGGTAGAGGGGAGGTGGTGGTGGTGGCATCATCAACGGTTTTGATGTCTCGATCGTTCGATTTCTGTGTACAGACACTGTGTGCAACTTTGTTACAGTGCGCTATTTCACAGTGACACTGATACAGCGACGTTGTAATATCATACCGAAGTGAATATTTCATCATTTCTAATATCCAGCACACAAGATGTATACAGAATATCAATGTAATGCTCTGCGCAAAGCTCCATCACATGGGATGTAAATTTAGATTATGTGCTGTCTGCTGTGACGAGGTCCCCGGCTACTCCGCACTGCACCCTGTATTCGGATTGTAAAACGATAACCCGTAAACCGGTAACCGTTTTCATAATCAATTACCGGTTCAGAAAGTCAGGAACCAGTGGTCGATTGCATTAAAAATGGAGTCGCGAATCCACCGATTTCTGCAAGCGAGCGAACGTTCAAACTGCACGGCAAAGAAGGCAATGCAAGGTACAGGCGCAACCCTGAAAGTGCTCGCGCACGCCACTGCTGGCAGAAGGGCCTCCACTCGGATCAGCTCAAGAGGGTACTTGGTATCTCTTCCGCACTGACTGGCGTGTTGAAAGAGGTGGGGGCACCCACACTTTACCCCACCACGCGACCTGCCAAGTGAATTCACTGTGGTATGGACAAAGGCGAAATGGAAGCGAACCGGTGACCCCTGCATTGCAAGTACAGTGCGCTGGCCATCACACCACGACAGGTCAAACACATTACGTACATCGGGATATTTGCATATGTGCGGCAAAGCAGTTTCTTGTCATGCAGTTACCGGTAAGGCAAAGCAAGCGATTCGACCTACACACCCCACCTCGTGTCGCCCCCCTTCCCTCGTCGCAGCAGCGTCAGCTGCTCTCCGTGATGGAAACATCACCGCAGCCGCTGTCCCTATTGATTTTATTCTCCTAAGTGCTGAAGAGCCCCCCACCCCTCGACACCATCCCTTCGCACCCCCCAGCACCCCCCCGGCTGCGTAACCACATCTCCACGTGTACGCGAGCCCTCCACGCCACTTGCAGCGCAGCCAATGGAGGACAGCACAAGGGCTGAATGTATTTTTAGCCGGAGCATTAAACATGGGATATATTTTATTGGCAAATGCGCGTGGGAATCCACAGTCCACGGTATTGGATACCCCAGAGACACCCTGTGTGAGGGAAGGATCGACTGTGAAACCATTGTGAAACGTCATTTTGAAGATGCATCAGCACTCGGTGAAGGAGATGCATCATCACCCAATAAAGGAGATGCATCATCACCCAGTGAAGGAGATGCATCATCACCCAGTGAAGGAGATCCATCATCACCCAGTGAAGGAGATGTATCATCACCCAGTGAAGGAGATGCATCATCACCCAGTGAAGGAGATGCATCATCACCCAGTGAAGGAGATGCATCATCACCCAATGAAGGAGATGCATCATCACCCAGTAAAGGAGATGCATCATCACCCAATGAAGGAGATGCATCATCACCCAGTAAAGGAGATGCATCATCACCCAGTGAAGGAGATGCATCATCACCCAGTGAAGGAGATGCATCATCACCCAGTGAAGGAGATGCATCATCACCCAGTGAAGGAGATGCATCATCACCCAGTGAAGGAGATGCATCATCACCCAGTGAAGGAGATGCATCATCACCCAGTGAAGGAGATGCATCATCACCCAGTGAAGGAGATGCATCATCACCCAGTGAAGGAGATGCATCATCACCCAATGAAGGAGATGCATCATCACCCAGTGAAGGAGATGCATCATCACCCAGTGAAGGAGATGCATCATCACCCAGTGAAGGAGATGCATCATCACCCAATGAAGGAGATGCATCATCACCCAGTGAAGGAGATGCATCATCACCCAGTGAAGGAGATGCATTATCACCCAGTGAAAGAGATGCATCATCACCCAGTGAAGGAGATGCATCATCACCCAGTAAAGGAGATGCATCATCACCCAGTGAAGGAAATGCATCATCACCCAGTGAAGGAGATGCATCATCACCCAATGAAGGAGATGCATCATCACCTAGTGAAGGAGATGCATCATTGCACAGTGGAGGAGATGCATCATCACCCAATGAAGGAGATGCATCATCACCCAGTGAAGGAGATGCATCATCACCCAGTGAAGGAGATGCATCATCACCCAGTAAAGGAGATGCATCATCACCCAGTGAAGGAAATGCATCATCACCCAGTGAAGGAGATGCATCATCACCCAATGAAGGAGATGCATCATCACCTAGTGAAGGAGATGCATCATTGCACAGTGGAGGAGATGCATCATCACCCAATGAAGGAGATGCATCATCACCCAGTGAAGGAGATGCATCATCGCACAGTGGAGGAGATGCATCATCGCACAGTGGAGGATATGCATCATCACCCAGTGAAGGAGATGCATCATCACCCAGTGAAGGAGATGCATCATCACCCAGTGAAGGAGATGCATCATCACCCAGTGAAGGAGATGCATCATCACCCAGTGAAGGAGATGCATCATCACCCAGTGAAGGAGATGCATCATCACCCAATGAAGGAGATGCATCATCACCTAGTGAAGGAGATGCATCATTGCACAGGGGAGGAGATGCATCATCACCCAATGAAGGAGATGCATCATCACCCAGTGAAGGAGATGCATCATCGCACAGTGGAGGAGATGCATCATCGCACAGTGGAGGATATGCATCATCACCCAGTGAAGGAGATGCATCATCACCCAGTGAAGGAGATGCATCATCGCACAGTGGAGGAGATGCATCATCACCCAATGAAGGAGATGCATCATCACCCAGTGAAGGAGATGCATCATCACCCAATGAAGGAGATGTATCATCACCCAGTGAAGGAGATGCATCATCACCCAGTGAAGGAGATGCATCATCACCCAGTGAAGGAGATGCATCATCACCCAGTGGAGGAGATGCATCATCACCCAGTGAAGGAGATGCATCATCACCCAGTGAAGGAGATGCATCATCGCACAGTGGAGGAGATGTATCAGCGCCCAGTGAAGCGGGGCGCACAAGCTGCGAGTGTGAACGCAGCAGCTTGGTAGCAATGAGCATGGGACGCCTGACGGCGAGAGGGAAGGGACCCCTCCAGCGGCTGTTTAACCTCACATACGAACACACGTGCACACAAACACACGTGCACACGTGCACACGAACACACGTGTATAAATACATACACACATGTATGTATTTATACATGTGCACACGAACACACGTGCACACGAACACACGTGTATAAATACATACACACATGTGTAATTGTACATGCACGTCACAGTTCCCCCGTGTGCACATCATCGCAGCTCCGCCTGGGTCTGTATCGTCCGCGCGGGCTGTGATGCCTTCATTGGCTCTGCAGAATCTCAAGAGACTCGCAACGCTCAGCCGAGGCTGTCCATGCGGTCAGCGCCCCTAATGACATTACGCGCGCCGACGCCCGGCGCTCGGGCAAGGATGCGATGCACCCCCCGGGGTCTCGCTTAAAGGTGGATGGGTGGGGAAGAGCGCTGATTCGCAGTGAAGGCAAAAACCATAACCCAGCTCCATCCAATAATAGAACCGACGCTGAGAGCACGAAGCTTAATTAAGCGCGTAACGAGCACTGTACGAATGAAAGACGCCACGTCACACAGATACACAGACAAATGTCCCCCGTATAGCCGTTAACAGACTGTCAGCAAACACCTATAACGGCCGGCACGGCACACGAGTCGGTGGGTGGCCAATACCAAGCCCGCCACCTTTGTCTCCCCAATGCTGATCTTCACACACGGGTACTCATTTAAGGCTAAGTCGACCTACAGAAGGCCCACGACCGGTTCAAATATTCGCCAGTTATTGGTCGTGAATGGGAATCGAACTCTGGTCGCCGAGTTTTTATAGCGCAGTGCGCTAATACACGGCCGTTCCCCACGTAAAGACACGCACATATATACACACAGACACACACACAAGACAATGATCCCTTGTGTATTCTGAAGACCACAGCACGCCCGGCCACCTTTGTCTCCCTAGTGGCTATGTTTAAACATCGCACCAGCTACTCATTTGAGGCTGAGTCGACCTAGGGAAGGCCCTAGACTGGTATTGGCCATGAGCTGGAATCGAACTGGAATTCTTAGCACAGCAACGCTAACCAACCGCTCCACACAAACACGGGGGGGGGGGGGGGTGCTGACGCCTCCTCGTTTGTACACGCGGCCCACAAGGACGAGTGATAGTAAGCCTTGTCAGTCGCCCGTGTCATAGTAAGCCATGCCAGTCGCCCTTGGTGATTGAATATAAGCCATGCCAGTCGCCCTTGGTGATTGGTGACAGTAAACCCTGTTGGTCGCCCGTGTGGTAGTAAGTCTTGTGAGTCGCCCGTGTGATAGTAAGCCCTGTCAGTCGCCCTTGGTGAAATTAATCCCTGTTTGGTCGCCCGTGTGGTAGCAAGCGCTGCCGTGCATTGCAGGGGAAGGGTTGCGAAATCAGCATCCCGGGTGGACGACAGCTCCTTGAGGCCGCGCCGTGGCTTTGTTCAGCACCCACCGCGCGGACAGTTCCCGGATCTCACCGATACGAGATCTGTTTGCGGATGGCGAGATGCGGGAAGCGGCTCTCCAGGGACGTCCCGGCCTCCTCCCCCGCGCTCGGACCGCCCGCAGCCGCGGCGGCGGCCACCCTCATCACCGCGTCCGCCTCTCCTCGATCGGCGGGCGCGGCCGACGCCGAGTCTCTGCCCCGTGCCTCAGCCATGGCTGTCGGGGCCTCGCCTTGCCGCGCTGCAGTCGGCTCGCCCAGCGAGGCGGCGTAACGGGCGGATTGCGTGGCTGCGCAGTGGCGAGCTCTCACGTCCCCTCTCTGGCTACGCCTCTCTCTCGCCGCGCGCGCATGGTGACGGAGCTGCGCGCTGCCGCCGCCAGCTGACACCGAGGATCCGCGTCCGCGGCGAGGCGTACGACGCGCATGCGCCTCCCCCCGCCGCGTCGCCCCGCCGCTCCTGGTCTTGAGGGCGACTTCGTGAGTGGGGCGGGGGGGGGGCACCGAGATGACGCTCGACAAAGGACGGGGAAGTTTGGTGCGAGGTGTCAAAGTAGGGGACGGTGAATATGCGAGCGACTGGCCAATGCGTGAGCGATCCCATAATTCTGCCTGCAAGACAGTTGTTCACCCCATAAGTACCAAATATTTCGCCCCAATCAGCGTGGGCATCCCCAGTCGGAAACTGAAGGCACCGGAATAAGCGAACCCAGCGGCACGGTATACTACTGCCTCGTGGCAGAAAACTCATGAATGAAACCCTCCAATGTATCCCTCGTCTTCGTATGGCAGCACATCCTATGCTCACGCCTGTACGTGGTCCTGAGACGTGGCAGCACATCCTATGCTCACGCCTGTACGTGGTCCTGAGACGTGGCCACATTAGGACTGTGATAGCGAGGTCGCGACGTCACCATGGCCAAAGACACCGCACCTCCTCGCCACCAATGCTCTCCACTCTCCGCCAGAACCCACGGCTGCTGCTGCACAGGAAGACACGCAGCGACCGCCAATATCTGCCATGACAGTCTCACACCATCTTCCCTTAGGTCTTCTCTTCCACTTGGTCGTCCAGCTCGTGGAGACTTCTCAAATGCCGTTCTCGGAAACCGGCCCTCCTCGCATCTTGCACACGCGTCCCACTCAGGGCAGCCGTTCCTGCCTCATCACATCCACACCACTCACCTTGTCACGTTCTCTTGTGGACTTCTCCATTGCTGGATGTTGAACTTGTCACACTGTACGTAGTCAACCGTGGAAATCTCATACAACTGGGTTCGAATGCCATCAATTTATCTTGAAGCTGCCGAGTTGAGGTTCAGATCTCTGATCGGTACATTCAGATCGCACTCATTATATTCGTGAAGCCCTCTGCATATCTCTATTAGCTACATGGACAGTCCGTTTGTCAATCCACTGCTGGATAATGACCTCCCCGCACCGTGAGGGTAATATGGCCATACTTGACCATGCCAAAAAGAGCGGGTTGAGGGATGCAAGGCCCGGGATTTTGCTGCACTGCCCTCTACTGCCCGAAACGCTCACTACAACTGCAACATCGCTTTATGCACGGTACTCACCAATCTAAGCACGATCCAGGCTTAACTTTGCTGAGCTTGCGAAATTTGACGGGATCGAACACATTCCGGATGATTTGTGGGGAAGTCAACACTGGTATAGCATCACCCCCGACATAGAAATGAGGAATTTCCACGAATGGCTCAGGGCTATACAAAGTTATCATGGCTACGATCCTCACTCCACGACACCTGTCATGACGCAACAACGGCATTGCTTACCCAGTGCCAACCAACAGCGGCGCACTGGGGACTGGGTTTCAAGGTTACTCACGTACCCACGAAAACTCTTTATTCAGGAGGGTCCAGCATTGAGACGTTATGGCCAAATATCAGTTTACATTTTAACTGGTATAACACCTCCGATTAGCACGGTTGGCTGTGTACGGTGCAAAAGAAGTTCAACATACATATGTGCAGTTTTGTTGCAACGGGAGGAAATCGGAGAACGCAGAAGAAACTCATGAAAAGCAGGTGGAGAACATACAAACTCCATACAGAAGGCGCCCGAGTCTGGATTCGAACTTATGTCCTTCCTGGTGGTGAGGCAAGAGTGTCCCACTGATCCACCCTGATGCCCCGATTTATGTGCCACATTAACCGGGATTGTTGTGTATCCATACTTCACACTGGTCAGTGCAGGTTAGCTAGTCAGGTCCTGAATAGGGTTGGTGGTGCAAGGTTGTAATCTCCATCGCCGTGGAGGCAACAGCGAACGTTGGAGGATCTCACGGATGTCGCGAAACTCCCTTCCAGTGGGCATCAAGAAGTCTCCGTACCCTCGCTCGCCAGGAGATGGCGGTACAACACAAATTGTGTCTCCACTGGCTCCGTCTGTATGAGATAGTGTTTCCCCCTTGCATGCGTGGGGTTTCTCCGAGTACTCCGGTTCCCTCGCACAAGTAAACACTACTGTAATTTATTGGCCGATAACACCTTCGTATATAGAGGACCGCAGAGCTTGGGTGGAAATTGTTGGTAGCACCAGCTCCTCAGCGCGTGGCTGCTGCTGCCTTCCTGCTCATATGTGGTTCCTCCTCCTCGCGCCTCTGAGTCCTCTCGCTCTAAGAGAGCGAGGAGCGGCTACCGTGCGCTGCATTACAAGCCGAGATGAGAATGTAAATCAGCGTTGGCCGTTATTGGCGACTGCACCGTACATTGCGGTAAATCCCCTGCACCCGTGCTCCGGACATGGACACGAGTAGCAAGGGACACAACTCAAACACCCTTCTCCCTTCACACGCACACTCAGCGTTCTCCGTTTCCAGGGCGGTTTGCAGAGCCCATCCAAAAGTCTGCCCGGCGAACGCCTCCTCCTTCTCATCACAACCCCCCAGCCCCCCGTGACGGACATCACTCCCGACGGACACGAAACGCTCCTCTGAGCGAGCCATCTCTGTCGAGTCAACCAGCGCACGAGGCTATCGCTTTGCGACGTGACGCGGCGTCGATTGCAGGGTACCGTTCGCGTTGCATTGAGCTCGTTACGTGAGCGAGAGTGAAGAAGGACTGAAGGGAAGGAGGGAGCGAGGTGAACGAACCCGATTTCTGGGCGCGGCACTTCCCCGAGTCTCGCTCCATGAGGAGGTTTCGCCTCTGTTTTGGCAACGCGACTCGGCGCGACGCCCACATCCCAGGCAGTTCCTTACCCCCCCCCCGTTCCCCTTCCTTCCCGGAGCCGTGATTACGAAGATGGACGTGGGCACAGACAGCGAGGGCGCCTTGCTCCTTGCGGAGGAGGAGGACGAGGACGAGGCGGTGAGGCGGGCGGGCGAGGAGACGCTGCCGGGCCCGGGCGAGGTGGAGGCGGCGCTCGTCACGGCCGCCTTCGTGGCCACGTTTGACGCGCGGACAGGTGCGGGGCCACGGCGGTGACAGAAGTCACACGGGGCCACTCGGCGCCTGTCCCGTGCTGTGTGTGTCGGTGGTGTCGCCGGGCGCGCCCTGCGGATTGAGAACCGCTGGGTTAGGGCCACGAGGAGGCGGAAGGGGGCAGTAGAGATCTGGCGAACAGAGCGGAATAACGCGAACGTCCAGAATACTGTAAACGCCTCCTTCCTGGCTTTGACATTCCTCCTCGCATTGAGCTCCTAACCATATCGCCAAACGCAAGAATATAATTACATCTAACGGAATGAGGCTTGGAGTGTAGTGCGGGGTGTAGCCGTGAAGAGTGTTTTGTGTTGACAGGGAACGGGCTGGAGTGGTGCGCGCCTCACGATGCAGCCCTGGTCGGTATTGAGTTCAAGGCCATCGCGAGTGGAGCTCACAACATCACTTCTGACTTCACGTGCGGCTCCCTCACTCCTCACAGTCACTTCTAACTCCTAAGTCACGCACATCGCATTTTCACCTGCACGATATCCAGTCTGCGCGTCCCCACTGAAAGGCTTTGGGTCGAGGCCCGCTGGTGTAAATGAGTGTATTGCTCACAGCCGTGTGTGTCCGGGAGTCTTTGTGCATGACAGTGAGGGAGCGGTAGTGCAGCGGTTAACACAGTGCTATACGGACCTTGCGACCCAAGTTAAATTCCCGGCTACAGCCAATATCGAATATCTGAACCGAATTTGGGCTTCTTCGAGATTGATTTAGCCTTAAATTAGTATCTGATGTGTGTAGCTACACCAGTGGGAAGACAAAGGCGGCTAGGCGTGGTACTGGCCACCCACCTGCTCGTGTGTCATGCCGGCCTTCATTGGCGCTCACTAACAGCACATTACCCCAATATCCTTTTAAAACCTACACGGAGGATCTTTGTATTTCTTTGTATGTCCGTGTGTCTGTGTGCGCAGGTATTTCCGAACGGACAGCGCCTTTGGGTTGGCTCACTTCCACAGCCGGCGCGTGGACAGTGGCCCAGAGCGTGGCGTCCGTGTCAAGTCTGTGGGGGCCCTGTCCCCCAGCTACGCCACCCTCGCCTTGCACTCGGCCTTCCTCCAGGAGCAAGTCAGGTGAGAAAACAACCCAGCAGTTGCCCCGCTTGTTAGGGTAATGGCACAGCCCCGTGAGTGCGTGCTCATTCCACTGCTGACAGAAGGGTCTTCACTAGAGGGAGTTCTAGAGGAAGTTCTAGAGAGCCCAATGGGCTCTTTGGTCTACTCTTCCACGCTGGCCAGACGTCTTGGAAGAGGTGGGGGTACTCACACACAAGCTGCAGTGGGGAACTGAGTTACCCTGCTGCCAGGGGGACAGTGGTGAGCGGCAATCGAGAAAATTGCGCAATTCTTTCTGCCATGGCATAAGATGGAAGTGAACCGGAGACCTCTGGTTTGCAAGTCCATTCCCCACGAACCATTTCACTACTGCTGCGGCAGCTACCTTCATCTCTCGGTGAATAAGGGAAACAGGAAAATCCGACGTGTGTGTTGCTAGATACATTCTCTATTTGTGTGCGGCAAGCTCGTGACTGATTTGTCTAAAATAAAGCCCGTAATTGATTATGGCTGATGGTGATGCTGATAATGCTGATAATGTTCGTGATGTGTGGAACAGGAGGCAGCTTGACGAGCCAGGGCAATACGAAGCGCTCTCAGAGTTCTATGAGCAATACCGAGCAGTGCTGCCCTTCACCACCGAGCTCCCCACCACCCAGCTCCCCTCAAGCCAGCTCCCCTCAACCCGCACGCCACTCTCCTGGGATCGTCCTCTACTGCAGGTCCAACATGAACATCTTGGCCAGCCCCTTTCTTTAGACCAACTCAAGCTCGAAACGTCACCATGGCCAAAACCGTTGATGATGCCACCACCACGACCTCCACCCCACCACCGCGTTCTCCCCTCTGCCACATCCCACAGCTGCTGCTGCTACTGCACAGTAGAGAAGCACATTGACCTCCACAATCCTCTCTGGCCGTCTCCCCCACCACTCTCTGGCCTCATGTTTTCTCTTCCCCTTGGTCGCCCAACTCGTGGAGACCACTCCAATACCAGACTCAGAAACCGTCCCTCTTCCCGAGTCCTCCATGCGCGTCCTACCCAGTGCAGCCGTTTTTCTCTGGATATGACATCACCTCTACATGATGCTACTCAGTGCAGTTGTTTCTGCCTGATCATATCTACACCACTCAGCTTGCTCCATTGCTTATCCTGTCTCACCATAAAACTCCCAACATCCTTCTCAGGCAGCTGAGCTCAAATGCCGGCAATTTCTCTTCAGGCTGCCAACTTAGTCCAGCTCCCTGAGCACTCCTGCCTCAAACGCCCTTCTGTTTACACTCATTCATCTCCTCTTTACAGCCCCGAGCCTGCCGGTGTTAGTGCCGATGTTAGTGCTGGGGTGCTGGACAGTGTGCAAATGTGAGTGTCGGTGTGAGTGCTGGCGAGTGGCGCAAGTGAGATACGAGTGTTATGCGTGGTGACGTTTGCACTGCGTGCAGGGCCACCATGCAGGGTGCCTCTCCCGGCTTGTGAGCTGCTTCGGGCCAAGCGTGTTCTGCCTCTGGAAGTTGGCTCTCCTGCGCAAGAGGATGCTGCTCTACTCGCCGCCCCCGGTGGGCGGCACGTGCCTCCACGGTGGGCGGCGCCTGCTCCTCCACACACGCACCACAAACGCCTTGCCCATTACAACTGGGGTTTTGTTAACATTGATTACACAACTCTTTGGGTTTTTTCGGTAAAGTCACGTGGGTAAAAAATAATCAATAAAATAAAATAAATGCAAAATAAATTAATTAAATCACGACGTTTCGGAGGCAACACAAGCTTCCGTTCTTCAGGTGGAAACCGTCACAGCAAAAATTGCTGTATCTCACTTGATAAAATTGCCAACAATCGCCGGCTAAATCGCACCCGCAAGCGCTCCATAAATCGTGGTGTGTGCTCCACACAGTGCTCTGTAATAGTCGTGGTGTGTGCTCCACAGTGCTATGTAACAGTCGTGGTGTGTGCTCCACAGTGCTCCGTAATAGTCGTGGTGTGTGCTCCGCACAATGCTTTGTAATAGTTGTGTTGTGTGCTCCACACAGTGCTCCGTAATAGTCGTGGTGTGTGCTCCACAGTGCTCTGTAATAGTCGTGGTGTGTGCTCCGCTCAGTGCTCTGTAATAGTCGTTGTGTGCTCCACTCAGTGCTCTGTAATAGTCGTGGTGTGCTCCACTCAGTGCTCTGTAATAGTCGTGGTGTGTGCTCCGCTCAGTGCTCTGTAATAGTCGTGGTGTGCTCCACTCAGTGCTCTGTAATAGTCGTGGTGTGCTCCACTCAGTGCTCTGTAATAGTCGTGGTGTGTGCTCCACAGTGCTCTGCTGCTGCTGCCTGGGGAGCCACGGCCAGGCTGGGCTGGGCGCCGTGCCGCCCCTCAAGCCGCTCTTCTACGTCAGCGTGGCCGACATCGGTTCGCTGGAGTCGGAGGTTACCTACATCGCGTGTGAGTGAACGCACGTGCACAACAGCGTCTACATGGGGGGATGGGGGTATTTCCCGAGCTCTGCTCGTTTCGTCCCCGGGACTACACTCAGTTGCCATCCCTGGGTAGGATAAAAGATTCATAATTGACACCACTAGCAGGGTTGAGCCTGGTTAATGCTGAGTGGAAGACTGCTTGGGAATAGCAGGTACTGTAGGGTCGGGGCTGGCTGCGAGGTGGCCAAGAGATGGAAGGACGGCAATGGATTCTTGAATGTATCTGTGGGGAGCTTTGAGTGTCGCCCCCTCTGATGTGCCGGGTGTTTTCTTCGGGTTCGCCAGTTTTCTCCCACAAGAAGCCAAACTCTCATTAAAGAAATGGCCAAACATCCCAAAAGAGCTTAGTTTAAAACAGAGCTTGGTCAATTTTGAGATCAAGTGGGTTTTCTCCAAGTACTTTGACTTCCTACTACACTGATTCATGGAGTTTTTAAAACATCCTTATATAGGGCGACAGAGCATGGGCAATTGTTCCCGCTTATTTGTGGTTTCCTGCGCATTTGTGCAAAGAATGCAGATTAAAATTCGTACAGTATTGAGAGCCAATTTGCATAAACGATAGTGTAAAATAAAATTACTCTGAATGCACCAGATGTGTCCTGGATGGATGGTGAGTTGTGCTTACAAACGCTTGGCTGCTACTCTCAACAGGCACGACAGAGAAGGTGTTTGAAGACAAGACGGCACTGTACGACGTGTACGTTGACCGGCAGAGCCTCCGCTCGCACCACAGTCACCTGCAGGGCCTGCTAGCACCTACACGTGCCGACCAAAGCCGCTACCAACAGCTGGTGATGCAGAGGTGCTTACACCACAGCACACATCACGAGCATCACCACCACGAGCATCATTGTCACGACCATCACTGCCGGTCACTACAGTGCTCCGTGCACAGAGGCCACGTGGAGTCTACCCTTGGGACAACCAATGCTGACAATTACTAATTACAAGGTAGTACTCATTTAAAGACCCCCAACCAGGATTTGAGCTTGCCACTTTCCGATTGTGAGCTGCCCGCTCTATAGCTGGGCCACCTGGCCAGCAGCTAAATTCAAACAGCATACATCATCGTCACGAGACGGTGGCCCCATGGCAGAGCACATTTGAGCACGGTTTACTTACCTGTACGTGCGCTTGACTGTGTGGGGTGCGCGTGCGTAATCCAGGGAGGTGGTCTCGACGGGTCGGGATGGAAGCCAGAACCTCGACAACGGATTCTTTCTAACGTACGTCGGTGTCATCACGATAGCGAAGTGGAATCCTTCATCCCTTCCCACTTGTTGCGTCTCCTCGAGAAACCCGCCATGCCCTGCTGTGGCACGTGTCTGTATTGCACGTGAGCGAGTGGAGGTTTTATTTGCGGGTCACACGGACACGCGTATCTGGTGCCACCCAGTGGCTAAATCTGAAAAAGAAAAATATCCCACAAGGACCAAGGTAATAATAGGGGTTTTCCCCTTTTTTCTGGTAACAAAACTGAAATTTTTACAAGGATTCATGTCTGCATTAACCACAATACCTGCAGTCAAAATGCAAACAAAAAACATGCTATGATAATATATGCATTGTCCTTGAAACTGATTGGTCCACACCAAGGGACGGCTTTCTTTTGAGCCTCGACCCAATTGGTGCTCGACCAAAAAAATGGGGAAAACCCTATTATTACATTTTGGTACTGGAAAAGGTCTAATGATGTAGATGCTCACCCCGAGCCCTCATTACTTTGATAGTGCATTGTCTTTGAGCTGTACGCCTTCTGGCGTCATCTGGTCGAGCACCAATTGGGTCGAGGCTCAAAAGAAAGCCGTCCCTTGGTGTGGACCAATCAGTTTCAAGTACAATGCATATATTATCATAGTATGTTTTTTTGTTTGCATTTTGACTGCATGTATTGTGGTTAATGCAGACATGAATCCTTGTAAAAAAAGTTTCAGTTTTTTTGCCAGAAAAAAGGGGAAAACCCTATTATTACATTTTGGTCCTGGCAAAGGAGGTCTAATGATGAAGGACCAAGGTCTTTACCCCCGAGTGTTACCAACATCAAATTGGGCCACTCCCACCTTCACCCACATCATGAACACCAAAGACATTTGTCCGAGCCTACTTTTGTGGTGGAGTTTTAAATGAAGGAACATTTACATATGGTTGTGCAGTATATTAGATTTATTCTACAATGTGGTTGTTTTTCATTCGTAATTTCTATTTGCTGCACCGTTTCACTGTTTGATGCTGTTGCTCGTCATTGTGGTGACCCCAGGTCACTCTTGCAAATGAGTCTCACGTGGCTAGACAAGCACGAGAAACTCGACTGCAGTTGAAAAACGTATGGCTGCAGAAGGGGGTCTTTAAATAAGTTTCATGGTAACCTTGTGCTTGTGAGACTGTCAGATAGGCTACATTAGGCGTGGGTGGCTGCACTGCACAGCGATTCACACCAAGCTTGTGGGCGTTCTCTTTATCGGAGCGGTAATGCAGTGGTTTACCCGGTGTGCTATGTATGAACTTCTTTCGCACCGTACGTAGCCAACCGCGCTAATCGTAGGTGCGAAAACGGAGATATTTGAGGACAAGACGGCACTGTACGATGTGTTATGAACCTGGCGACGCGAGTTCGATTTATACTCACGGCCAACACCGTTTACGATGATCTCAACGAATTTCAACCTGCCCTGGGCCTCCTTTAGATCGACTAAGCCTTGATTGAGTACCTGGTGCGGTGTGGAAAACAAAGACGGCCGGGCGTGGTGCTGGCCACCCACCTCCCTCTGCGTCAGGCCGGCCTTCAAAGGTGCTGCTTGCTAACAGTACGTGACGCAACAATCTATTAAGGCAACATGGGGAATCTTTGGTGTCGTGCTGAGCAGATTCTTCCGGGAGCTGAATTCACGCGTGCTGGGCTCGCTGGTGCGCCTGGCGGTCAGCGGTGTCCGCGAAGTCACCGAGTCGGACGTGTGCCACATGGGCCTCGACCCCGTGGCTGACCGACTCTTCTTGGCCGATCTCATCGACCTCTACGCTATCAATGTCACCATCTCCGCCGACAACCCCTGCTGCCCCTAGGCCTGCGTGTGCTGCACCAGACAACGGATGTCGCATAGGTTCGATTCCCAATTCGTCTTCGTGTGGAGTTTGTATGTTCTCCCCTTACTCTGCATGGGTTTCCTCTGGATTCAGTTTCCTCCCATCGCAAAAAAAACATACAATGTAACTATTGGCCAATTGCCTAATGCTGAAAAATTACCTGCAGGTTATCACATTGAGATTGTGCATAGCAACATCACCCCCTACTTCAAAAACTTGTCAGAATGGTCCTGAAAGTATTGAGACTCAGTGAGGCATAAATACAAAATAGGCTCAAGCATGTGCAGTCGGAGTCTCCACACGCAACCAACGGTTGTGTGGCCCAAACGGCGAGGTCCCTGCCTAGTACTTGATTTTTATGATTAACACAGCAGCTGAGCACAGGCCCAGTGACTTAGATTGTCCAGTGGCCTAGCACACTCAGCTGCTCAGCCCCCCCCCACCCCCCCGAGTCCCTGCTCTGGCGGCCGGGAAGATGAGTGACGGGACGAATCGCTCCATTCCAGATGTCCAAGTGGCCTCGACATCGCAGGTGGCATCCGTCTGCACGTCTAGAGTGTGGAGGGGAAGGGTCTTCAGGACGCCTCGCTCTGCGGGGTACGGGCCGGGAGGCAGGGAAGGCAGGTCCAAGGCACCTGGATGCCTTGCCAACGAGATGTTCCATCGTAAGAGATTACCTGCGTGAAATATTTTATTTAACGAAAAATCAAAGGCAGCTAGTGTTTCAAAGGCAGCTTACAGAGTTTCTACTTTTCACTTGGTGCTTATTGTAGAGATTCACAATGAAATATAATTTAGATTTTCACACACGCACCCAGCTCATTACCCCAACGCAGAAGTTGGCAGTGCTCTGAGCCCAGTGTATTACTCCCAATGACCTCCTCTCCACGTATTTAAATGCTGCCCCGAGCACGAACCACCAAGGTGTTTTCTGATGCGGCAGATGTCACGTCAGTTCTCAAGACTTAAAGATAAGGGGCTCTGTACACCGCTACACCGTTCCATGCACTTGCGAGCGCTGATTCAGATTCAGCACGAGTTTTGGATTGAAATATTTCAGATTTAAAGTTTTCTCGGAAGTTCTCGGATGGTTCTGGATTATGTTAAGGTCTGTATTTACGTGTCACAATGGCGATATCACTTGATGCCACGTGCCACCAGTTTTAGCAGGAAAACAGCGGAAGTGACGCTGTGATACCGGCATTGTCACTTTCCTTTCAGAATAATCCGAATCGACGTTTTTTTTTGGATCGTCTCAAGTATCACATCTTGGCCTGATCCTGAGATATTTTTGATTCATCTGAAAATCTGGAGCTCACGACTGGTTTGGATGCTCTGGCTGAGCATGCACACTGTGCAGCTGGCAGAGGCTGCGGCACTCGGGTGACCGTAATCACCAAGTGTTGTGCTCGACTGACAGCTCCCGTGCCGTAATTACCCGCCCTGCCACTGCTGGAACATGCATTAGCACCAAACCAATTTGCACTCTCTAAACCACGACCTTGCTCAAGCAATTAAATCTTTAAATATTCATACATTTATTTTCTTGATACAAATTGTACATTTTATTTCACGGAAACCTTCGTTTAGATAAAGTATTTGGTGACACCGCATTAGCAGTGGTGCACAAGCACAAATAACAACACTTTACCACCCACTCAGTACAGAATCTTAACAGTTTTATACAGCAAGGTGGCCTCACACGTGCAGTTTCCTGACACGGACAAAGACGTGTCAAGCATCATGCTGTTGCATCAATCATGACCTTAAAAGGAATGGAGCTGAATTCACACCAGCTGCACGGTTTGTCACCTTTTACCCGTGTCGTGTTTCTAAACACTGGGTCATGCAACCACCGTCCTTCGATATGCTGCACATGAGTTTCAGAAATGACGTCATTCCCTGTAATTTCCCAAAATAAAATGCTGCACGACCTCATTCCTCTCAATTAAAACTGCTTCTTTTCCAAGGAAACACATTCCTGCGGAGGGAGCTGGTAGGAACGTTGGGTTGCTCGGTCAATGGCCAGGGTCAACGGCGGCGTCCTGTATTCTGCAAATATGCCTGAGGGCGGACACAAGCCGGCGTGAGTAGGTTAAACGTTGAGTTTTATAAGGGCACCACGGGGTGACCAGCCCCTCCCCTCCCAGCCCCACCCCGCCCCACCCCTCCCACCCAGCCCCACCCAGCCCCACCCCTCCCACCCAGCCCCACCCCTCCCACCCAGCCCCACCCCTCCCACCCAGCCCCACCCCTCCCACCCAGCCCCACCCCTCCCACCCAGCCCCACCCCTCCCACCCAGCCCCACCCTCCCCACCCAGCCCCACCCTCCCCACCCAGCCCCACCCTCCCCACCCAGCCCCTCCCTACCCTCCCCTCTCCACCCAGCCCCACCCCTCCCATTTTTTATATCCGAATGTCCGGATACACGTGGACAGACATCCACAGACATACACAATTAATCCCCTGCCTCCTGTGAGAATTAATTCCGGTTGGGCTTCCAGTCCACTACGTTTCCTACCAGTAATGCCCACTAGGAGCGCATTTGTTATATATCCAGGTGTCCGGATACATGTGGACAGACATCCACAGACATACAAAATTAATCCCCTGCCTCCTGTGAGAATTAATCCTGGTTGGGCTTCCAGTCCACTACGTTTCCTACCAGTACCAGTATAAATGGGCGCTAGGTGGCGATGTTTTTATATATCCGGGTGTCCGGACACACGTGGACAGACATCCACAGACATACACAATTAATCCCCTGACTCCTGTGAGAATCCCGGTTGGGCTTCCAGTCCACTACATTTCCTACCAGTAATGCCCACTAGGAGCACATTTGTTATATATCCGGGTGTCCAGATACACGTGGACAGACATCCACAGACATACACAATTAATCCCCTGCCTCCTGTGAATAAATCCCGGTTGGGCTTCCAGTCCACTACATTTCCTACCAGTATAAACGTGCTACTGCTGTTGCTTGCGAATGCCTTGTGGATCAATTGCCAGTGGTATGTCCAGACATTTGGATGTTACATGGACCAGCACAACGGTGGCTGAAAGTACAAGCATTGGTCCTCGCTGTCATACGGATTTGGGGCGGTCATGTGGCCCAGTGGTAGCGCGTTCGCCACTTGGTTATTACTTTGGGTGCATTTACGTGCCATCTGCGTTGCTCACAGCGGATATTAAGATCCCACAACGTCCTTTGAGACGAGCAGGAAATTACATGGCAACATCGCCCCCTACTGTGAGACTATTGCACTGTGCCTGTGAAACAGTCGTGCCTTCATTCGTGATCGCCCTGCACTGATTATTATGTTTTCTACAGATATAATACTTCAAGAAAATCCATTGATAGCATTAGCCATCCTGGGTCGTATGGGTAATTAATTTGTGGACCAGTGGCACAAGGACAATGCGTCACCTGCCCATACCTGTTAACCCATATGGCTTACCCATATTCTTGAACAGGGAAATGTAGTTTTCAGGTCCATATGGCGTACAGCCATTTCAATACGTGCAAAAAAATTTCTATTTGTGTTTCTCCCTTGTGATGGGACTTTGCAGGATTAGCGTTGAGATTTATAAGGGCACGACGGTGACCAATAAGGTTGAATTGGTCTGTAATAAGATAGGCACTGATAAGGGGTTGACAGGTATGCCTCCCTGAAAAGACATACATACATTACCACAAAGGATACAGCCAATGGGAGGGGAAGGCCAGAGCAGGTTGCCGGCTAGCCAGGGGGTCCGGTGGTCTGAGCACTGGCAGGGTCGTCCGCTCGCACCTCCGCCGCAAACCGGGCCAGGGCCTCCCGCTGGGTTGGCCGGATGAGAACGTGCTGCCGCAGAGAGTGGAGGTGGTTGCAGGCCTCCTGCACATCCCAGCCATGCACCTGCGCAAAGCCCGCACGGGCATCACCTGCCGCTTCACCGCTCGACTCAGTTGTGTTTTCGCTTTTGTCATTGTGGCACCCCAGCTCACGCTTGCAAACAAAGACTCTCCAAGTCTCTTGAGTTCTCTCCTGGTTAAACAAAATCAACTCGACCCCCTCGGCGCACGGCACTCAAGAGTGTACGTCGCAGTAGGAATTAACTTTACAACGCACCTCATGAGTAACTTTATTAAGCCATTAACGCGTGAGAATGCGAAGAGTGGGTGGTGCAGTGGTAACACATGCCTCAGAGCAAGGAGGACCTGGGTTAGATTCCCAACACGGTCGCCTTTCTGTGTTGCATTTGTTTATTCGGCCCCTGTTCTGCATGGGGTTTCCTCCAGGTTATCTGGTTTCCAACCACAGCTAAAACACGTACAGTGTAAGTGTTGTTGGCCAAACATCCCAAAGCTTAAGAGGTGCGGCGGACCACGTGCCTGGATAAGGTAGGCTGCCACCATGGTGGCGCTGCGCGACCGCCCGGCCTTGCAGTGCACGTAGACCGAGTGGCCGAGCGCCGCGTATTTCAGGGCGAAGGCCACGCCGTCGTGCAGCTGCTGTGGCGAGGGCACCCCCGTGAAGTCCACGGTGCTCAGCGTAAGCTGCTCCACGCCGGCGTCTCGCCACTCCTGCAGGCGCACACACCGGGCCCGGGTGCCCGGAGGAGGAGCTGCTTGCTTGCGTGAAGGGGCGCTCATTCATCAACGATTTTATTCGTGACCATGCACGTAATCATTCAAAAATACCAGAGTAGGTGGCACGTGATTGGCAGCCAAAGCCATAGCGATTGGTAATACTGGGTACGGTATGCCAGGCACGAATATATTTTCTGGGTCGCTGGTAGCCTGGAGTAGGTGGCACGTGACTAGCATCTACATTGATGGTGAAATGTCTAATGGATGTGGTGTGCCGGTGTTGGGCTTGAGTTGTCCTTAGAGACCTCGAGCGAGTTGCACAGGAGCCTCGTTTCGTACGGCTCGTTCATGGTGATGACGCCGCGTACGTTCTCCTGCTTCACCAGCTGTAAGCAGAGACGTAGGCAGCGTGAGCGGAGACACGGGGAGACACGGGGAGACATGGGCAGTCTGAGCGGAGACATGGGGAGACATGGGCAGTGTGAGCGGAGACACGGGGAGACATGGGCAGTGTGAGCGGAGACACGGGGAGACATGGGCAGTCTGAGCGGTGACACGGAGAGACATGGGCAGTGTGAGCGGAGACACGGGAAGACATGGGCAGTGAGAGCGGTGACACGGGGAGACATGGGCTGTGTGAGCGGAGACACAGGGAGACACGGGGAGACACGGGGAGACATGGGCAGTGTGAGCGGTGACACGGAGAGACATGGGCAGTGTGAGCGGAGACACGGGGAGACACGGAGAGACATGGGCAGTGTGAGCGGTGACACGGGGAGACATGGGCTGTATGAGCGGAGACACGGGTAGGCATGGGCAGTGTGAGTGAAGACACGGGGAGACATGGGCAGTGTGAGCGGTGACATGGGGAGACATGGGCAGTGTGAGTAGAGACACGGAGAGACATGGGCAGTGTGAGTAGAGACACGGGGAGACATGGGCAGTGTGAGCGGTGACACGGGGAGACATGGGCAGTGTGAGTAGAGACACGGGGAGAGATGAGGAGCGTGAGGGGAGACACGGGGAGACACGGGGAGCGTGAGGGGAGGGACAAGGGCCCATGCTAACCGCAACGACGGCACCCTCACGAGGCATGGTGAGTTCCTGTTCCGAAAAATGCATTGAATATGTGGTAACCTCCCGTTTACAGCCACCGAGTCAGTAATGAACATCCCGCATTCCTATGGCGGGAGCAAGTCTATCCAAAATACGATCATTGCTAACTTCCTCACAAATATTCTTAGTTTTTTCGGTAAAGTCACGTTGAAGAGAAACAACAAAATAATAAAATATATAAACTAAGAATATGAATTTCCTCACAAATGTTTACTCATTGGCACTAACTCTATCAAACCCGGCGGGATGATGGGCCGAGTCTATTTGAACTCGCGATCTTCCGATTGCGATCCGCTTGCTCTACTGCTGAGGCACCCGGCCAGACAGCCACGAGCAGAAAGGTGCACAAAGAGTGACGCGCGGCACCTTGCCTGCTCGGTCATGCCGCGTAGGGGCAGCGCGCCCAGCACCACGGTCGCGTCCACGCGGTCGAACCAGCGGCGGCGGCGCGGGCCCAGCACGTGGCACGCGAGCACCGTGTAGAGCAACGTGGGGTAGAAGAGCGTGCGGGCCGCGGCCCGGGAAAGGAATTCCTCGGCGAAGGGCGGCAGCAGCATCGCAGATGCGGCCTCGGCACAAGGCCCTGAGGTCGCGAGGCCCCGCCCACGCGCTCGAGACCCCGCCCACCTGGCCACCAGGCCCCGCCCGCCGGCTCTGATTGCGGATTTCACCGCTCCATCGACAGACGTCCTCGCAAACGCGTTCGCTCCATTTTGCTGCCGCTGCTGTTCGTCTCGACCACCTGGAAAGCGTATCACCTTGTCAAACTCCATGGGCATCAAGGTGCCATACCCTGGGCTTGCCAGAATGCGGTACGCCACCTGTTCCATCTGTATGGGAGTGTTGCCTCCTCGCACGCGTGGATCTTGTTGGTGCTGTGGTGTCCTCCCATTTTTATAAACGCTCATTTATTTACGACTATAATGAGCCAAGAATGTCTGCCTCGCGCGACGTCACTCCACGTGGGTACACCCCTTCGTCCTATCGTCTCCACCATTGACTCACCCACCTACAAACTGGCCCGATTTATGTCTGAGACCTTACAACCATTCACTTGTAAGACCACCTCAGCTGTACTTAGCTCACTTGGTATCGTTAATTAAGGACATCTCACTATCTCCAGGTGATTTGCTCGTTAATTTCGATGTAGTCTTTTTGTTTACCAAAGTTCCTGTGCCTGACACCATTGCAATCATTGAAGACTTGGTCCAACAAGGACTGAATGCTGATGTACCGGCCCTGGTTAAACACTGCCTCACCAACACTTACTTCACCTAGAATGGAACTGTCTACAAACAATTTGAAGGTACCCCAATGGGTTCTCCCTTATCTCCAGTTGTAGCCAATGATTTCATGGAAAAATTTGAGACAGATGCCATTCAGGCATCCACTCTACATCCGTCCTTGTGGAAGAGGTACGTAAATGACACGTTCGTCATCTGGCCACATGGCCGACCAGCTCTGAACCAATTCCTCAACCACAAATTATATACACCCAGCCATCAAATTCACCATGGAGGTGGAAAAGGATGGCAAGCTACCATCCTTGGATGTTTTAATCGAAAGGAGATCAGATGGCTCAATGGGACACTGTCTACAGTAAAGCCACCCATACGGACGCATATCTAAAACCTGACTCCCACCACCATCCTTCCCAGAAGAATTCCCTCATCAAAATTCTACACAATAGAGCTCAATGTATTTCCGACCATCATCACCTAGCCAGTGAACTGGAACACGTACACCAAGCCCTCAAGATGAATGGATATTCAGACTACACAATCCGTAAAGCTATCACCCCAATCGTTGGGAAAGAACCATCTGAGAACCCAATCAAAACCATCATCTTGCAGGAGTCACCAAAAATATCTCCAAAATCATAAGCAAACAAGATCCAGGCTCGATTTAACACAGTTCATACAATTCGTGTTCTGGTCCCATCTGTGAAGGATGTGATCCCTGACATGCAATACTCTGGCGTCTACAAACTAAGCTGTGTCTGCAGAAGTAGTTACATTGGGGAAACTAAGCGACATGTCTCGGACCGTGTTCGTGAACATAAGGCAGATCTGAAACATGGTAGGACCAATACCTCGGCCGTGGCTGATCATTGTTTTAATGCGGTGGGCTCACACGAAATGTATTTTTATAAGACGAAATTACTTATCAAACCCACTGGCTATCTTTCGATTTAAAGCTTTCGTGACTGCAAGGATTCATCTTCTTTGGTTGTTTCGTAAGGTCACGTAGAATGAGAAAATAATGAAATAATAAAATTCTCACGACGTTTCGGCCACAACGCAAGCGGCCGTCTTCAGGTGAAAGGTACAGACCTGTCGTCCCGACCTGTCGTCCCGACAGGTCTGTTACCTTTCACCTGAAGACGGCCGTCCCGACCTGTCGTCCCGACAGGTCTGTACCTTTCACCTGAAGACGGCCGCTTGCGTTGTGGCCGAAACGTCGTGATAATTTTATTGTGTTATTTTATTATTTTATTCTCATTCCACGTGACCTTACCGAAAGAACCAAAGAAGACCACTGGCTATCAACAAAGATTCGTTCATGAAGCCATCCACATATAGAGAAAGACACAACTTCAATCGAGAATATGGGTATAAACTGAGCAATCATTGGAAGGGCCTTATCAACCAGTTGAAGTCATAACTGGCTGTGATGTTCCCATCCTACCACCTTCCGATGTTAGTTGTTATTTTCAGCTCTCTGATTTTACATGAAAAGGTAAAATTTCCCCACACTAACACAGCCACCTCGCTCGCCAAGCTCGACGTTGCTACTCTCCGATCTCCCATTAACATGCTAATCTCTCAGTCACATAGCCACCTCCACGCCCTCGTGGACGCCGCTCTCCGATATAACAATAACATGCTAATTTTGTCACATTAACATAGCCACCTCCACGCCCTCGTGGAGGCCGCTCTCCAATCTTCCATTAACATGCTAATCTCTCAGTCATTAAAATGCAAATCAATTTATAACATTTTTGACATGCGTTTTTCTGGATTTTGTTGTTGTTATTCTCTCTCACTGTTCAAATAAACCTACCATTAAAATTATAGACTGATCATTTCTTTGTTCGTGGGCAAACGTACAAAATCAGCAGGGGATCAAATACTTTTTTCCCTCATTGTACGTGACTTTACTGAAAGACCCAACGAATATGGTTTCGCCTCTATATATATATTTTTTAATATTCTCAATCTTACAGAACTTTAGCATTACACTCATTACCAATAAATTATAGATGCATAAGCACATACATAAATACCGCACTTCACTTCATAGTAATTACAATGGTAGATATCTGGTTGCAAGTTAAAATCCTGGTTGGGGGTTGACTCAGCTCATCATCCCTCCGGGGTTGTTGAAATGAGTAACAACTTTGTGGGATAGTCAATAGTGGTTGTCCTATGGATACACTTGCCCCCACCAGAGGAATGCAGATTTTCCACCACTGGAACTGCAGGGCTGGAAACATGAGATGAGCACCAATGCCTCAATGTATATTTGATCAGCAGGAATTTACTCTTGATTTTTGTAACAAGGCTTTATTTCAGATTCATGAAATATCGATGCAAAACTAGCACGAGGTTGCAGTGATATAGAAACCACACTCGCACGCTTCAGTGTGTCATCCAAACATTAATTTGCCACTGCGTTTGGCAGAGAATGTAATCTCGTTACGTGAAACGTGGGAGCACACGACAGGAACTCTTCACTCTTTAATATCCGCCGCCCCAGCGTAATGGAACACACAAGTCACACCAGAGACGAGAGCTACACTGCATCCTCACAATAAAACACATCACTTCCCGTCGCAGCTTGGGTGTAGCCTCTATATGATCTCGTGCCACGAACCAGGAGATAATGCGACACCATTCGCAATGCAGCCTGATTATATCAATACCTCACAGTTTATACAGTACATTCTTACAATTTAGTTACAAAAAGCAGGGAAGACATGCTTTTGATTATAAAGGCTGCTCTCACAGGCTGTAGGCACATGGGTATGTTAACAAACGAATATCTGGCACGAACAGAAAATGACAATAAAAAATAATGTCTTAGAGAGCCCGCATGTCATCTGCAAATGGAGGTGGAGACTGAGCGGCATAAGTCGTAATCCAGTTGACTCCAGCTAAAATCCCGAGTTGGACTTGTAAAGTACCTGAATGTGGTGACATCTGAAGACCCTGCTGAGGAACTGTGCATATTTATTTTGCAGTGACATTCATAGGCCGAGGAAAATCCTTGTGGGAAGTGTTTTCAGATATATAATTGATTTCTTTGGGTCAGATCACGTAAATAAAATGTGTGTCGTATCTGTTTGCAGATACTCGGATTTAGAATAGATATTTATATTTATTGGTGCATGGTGGTCTGTGGGGTTGACAGTGATTCACAAACCACAGGTTTGGAACCACTGCTTTGGTGGATACATTTAAAACTCGGGGTGACCAATTACAATAATATTTGGGTGGCATGGTAAGACTTGAGAACAGCAAGAAGTGCCTGGGTTCGATTCCCGACACGGGTGCCTTTCTGTATAGAATGTGTTTGTCTTCCCATTTTTTGCATGGGTTTCCTCTTGGTTCTCCGGCTTACTCTCACAGCAAAAAAACCCCGATGTAACTGGTGTTGGCCACATGCTGAAAAATGACCTGCAAATTGCTCAATTGGGATGACACATGAAAACATCGCACCCTCCTGTAAAAACTTGGCAAGACCCTCCTGAAAAAGTGTCTCGAGACTCAGTTTTCCTGGGTAAAAAAAAAACATAATTATAACAAAAAAATAATTACGACTGACATTCTGGTTGTGTTAAACTCTCCACTCTGCTCATCCCATGGAATGTGGAACATTCTCGGGCTGATTTGGGGGCCGTGGGGGGTCCTCGAGCAGTAGGCCTTGCTGCTGCAACCCTCCCGGACCCAGCGTCGTCACCACCTCACAGCGCACCACTAGGCAGTCATCGCGCAGGTAAGAGCGGTGGTGCAGGGTGTTGATATCCATGAAATTCATGTAGCCAAAACCCTTGGGGTTGCGGTGCACGGAGGGGCGCTGGAAGGCACTCAGCTGCGGATCGGCATCCATCATTTCTGTCACGTGCACGCTATCGCGCTCACACTGGTCCACCACCGAGATGCGGATGCGACCTTTGAAGGGCCATGGCAGGCGGTGGTCATAGTCGCCTTGCAGCAGGTGAACAAACAAGGCCAGATGAGGTTGGCGCCCGGCGAGCAGCACGCTGGGAGAAGCCGCGCCCGCCGGAACCTCGCGGCCGCTCAGCACCTGCAGGCGAAGGCACAGGCGGTAGCCGGGGACTCCCGTGTAGAATCCCGAGCTGTGCATGACAGCCGGAGCGTCTGGGTGCATTCCGTCGGAAGCAAAGCCGGAAGCGAGGCCCCCAGGGAGGAGTCGTGAGAACCTCTCCACGCGCCACGTGAAGATGCCCGCGCACAGGCGCGACTCGGACTCGGCCACGCGAGCCTCCAGTGAGCGCACGAGGCGCGTGGCCTCGGCAAGCAAGCCCTGCTGGTTGTCCGTCTTGGCGCTCAGCTCCCGGATCTGGTGCAGCTGCAGGACGACGCGCTCCTCTAACGTCCGCGTGATTTCGCGCAGCCGGTCCAGCTCCTGAGCGCAGTCGCATGCGGCGCGGTCGCGCGAACCCTGGCTCCGACTGGCGCCGGCAGTCTGGACGTCCCCGCCGCTCGTGCTGCTGAGCCAAGAGAGGCTGTTAGGCGGAGCAGAGGACCCGGCCGCCGAGGACGGTTGGGCACCCTGGCCAACCTGGATACGCAGGATCTTAAGGCCATTGGCCAGGAGACGCATGTGCACCTGCGTGTGCTCATGCATGTGAGCGGCCAGCAGCGACCGCACCATCTGCAAGAGAGCAACATGCCACACACACATGCGAGAGTTCACACGTATAATGAGACGACTTCCGAGACACGACTTATAGAGGGTTTCTTATTTATTTCTTAATACTTTAATGACAGGGTCACAGAGTAACATAAGCACTGACTGACTTATAGCTTAGCCATCCATACAGCGACATCGGGAACACATAACTATATAGCTGGCTAACTATATAGTGTTGACGGCGATGAAGACTGTATAATTGGCTGGCTATGCAGCGACGACGACGAAGATATGGTAGCGATGACGGCGATGACAGCCAGGATCCAAACCCCTACGACAGCCCCGAACCCCCGTTTGCCTTTCCCTTATATTCACCCAGTGTGGCCAAGCCCCACCCTTGGCCACGCTCCTCTTCCGTAACTCTCTCGCGGGTTCCAGGAGCTTCCAGTTCGATCCCGCACCCATACCCGTAGTTAGCACTCCTGGCCACCAGATGGCATACCCTACAATCAGGCAGCATGTTCTATTTCGTTTAAAAATGCAGTGACATCCTATGCGACTTAATTATTATTCTTATTAGAATACTTATCTACTCAGGAAAGCCTCGCTGAGTGTCAAGGTTCTTTTTCAGGAGGGTGCTGTTAAGTTTTCACATTAGTGGGCGATGCTGCTGCTGCGCGTAATTCCATTTGAGTAATTTGCAGGTAAACTTTCAGCATTGGGATCTTTTGTTAAAAAGTTACATTGTATGTGATATAGCTATGGGAGGAAACCAGTGAACCCAGATGAAACCCATGCAGAACAGGAGATAACATACAAATTTCACACACTATCACTTACAATGAGGAAAAAAAGTATTTGATCCCCTGCTGATTTTGTATGTTTGCCCACTGACAAAGAAATGATCAGTCTATAATTTTAATGGTAGGTTTATTTGAACAGTGAGAGACAGAATAACAATAAAATCGATAAAAACGCATGTCAAAATTTTTATAAATTGATTTGCATTTTAATGAGGGAAATAAGTATTTGACCCCCTCTCAATCAGAAAGATTTCTGGCTCCCAGGTGTCTTTTATACAGGTAACGAGCTGAGATTGGGAGCACTCTTAAAGGGAGTGCTCCTAATCTCAGGTGTCTGTATAAAAGACACCTGTCCACAGAAGCAATCAATCAATCAGATTCCAAACTCTCCACCATGGCCAAGACCAAAGAGCTCTCCAAGGATGTCAGGGACAAGATTGTAGACCTACACAAGGCTGGAATGGGCTACAAGACCATTGCCAAGCAGCTTGGTGAGAAGGTGACAACAGTTGGTGCGATTATTCGCAAATGGAAGAAACACAAAAGAACTGTCAATCTCCCTCGGCCTGGGGCTCCATGCAAGATCTCACCTCGTAGAGTTGCAATGATCATGCGAACGGTGAGGAATCAGCCCAGAATTACACGGGAGAATCTTGTCAATGATCTCAAGGCATCTGGGACCATAGTCACCAAGAAAACAATTGGTAACACACTACGCCATGAAGGACTGAAATCCTGCAGCGCCCGCAATGTTCCCCTGCTCAAAAAAGCACATATACATGCCCGTCTGAATTTTGCCAATGAACATCTGAATAATTCAGAGGACAACTGGGTGAAAGTGTTGTGGTCAGATGAGACCAAAATGGAGCTCTTTGGCATCAACTCAACTCGCCGTGTTTGGAGGAGGAGGAGGAATGCTGCCTATGACCCCAAGTAAACCATCCCCACCGTCAAACATGGAGGTGGAAACATTATGCTTTGGGGGTGTTTTTCTGCTAAGGGGATAGGACAACTTCACCGCATCAAAGGGACGATGGACGGGGCCATGTACCGTCAAATCTTGGGTGAGAACCTCCTTCCCTTAGCCAGGGCATTGAAAATGGGTCGTGGATGGGTATTCCAGCATGACAATGACCCAAAACACACGGCCAAGGCAACAAAGGAGTGGTTCAAGAAGAAGCACATTAAGGTCCTGGAGTGGCCTAGCCAGTCTCCAGACCTTAATCCCATAGAAAATCTGTGGAGGGAGCTGAAGGTTCGAGTTGCCAAATGTCAGCCTCAAAACCTTGACTTGGAGAAGATCTGCAAAGAGGAGTGGGACAAAATCCCTCCTGAGATGTGTGCAAACCTGGTGGCCAACTACAAGAAACGTCTGACCTCTGTGATTGCCAACAAGGGTTTTGCCATCAAGTACTAAGTCATGTTTTGCAAAGGGGTCAAATACTTATTTCCCTCATTAAAATGCAAATCAATTTATAATATTTTTGACATGCGTTTTTCTGGATTTTTTTGTTGTTATTCTGTCTCTCACTGTTCAAATAAAGCTATCATTAAAATTATAGACTGATCATTTCTTTGTCAGTGGGCAAATGTACAAAATCAGCAGGGGATCAAATACTTTTTTCCCTCACTGTACCACCACTCACACACACACATGCACACACTCTGCAAAACTGGGAAAGAACATACAAATTCCACATATAAAGGCAATCGAGTCGCTAATCCCTTCTTGCTGTGAGGCACAAGTGTTACCACTACACCCCCCTGCCACCACTTAATGCACTATTTATCTCTGCAGCTATGTACCGAAGAGTTACCTGATTTATGCCTGGAATTTTTGAGAAAAGACATGACTCGGCACAGGATATGAAGCCCCAAAATTGTTACCTGAGCCTCACAGCCGAGCGGGCTGAAGGTGCAGGGCACCTGGGCTTGCTGACAGTCGACCTCCAGATGCGGCCCCAGCTGTTGTAAAGACAAACATAGCCATTGATCACAGAATGTTACATCGCCAAAAACTCATGTCAGGGAATCATCACCCATAATCAATCTACTGCTGGATTAAGGCCTCCTCAAGCCACTGCTGCTTCTCATGATCCTGCTTTTTTATATTTTTGCACATTTTTATTGACGCTGACATGTTTGCTGCAATAGTTGCGTAAGAGTTTATTGCTATGCCCATTACACCTTCAGGACGCAAAGTCTTCAGAATGTAGCTACCACGTGCGCTTACAATAATTAATGTACTTAATTTATACTGCGTCATTCATGCAATGCGCATTGTAAAACGCTGTCCAAGTCGTAATGTGCAGTTTTCGCACAGAGGTGCAGGAATTTACATGCAAGTGTGAAGGCAGCCAGAACCAGCAATACCTGGAGAAAATCCACGTGTGCGGGGGGGGGTAACGCTTAATCCTCACCCAGGTGGAACAGAGAAAAATGTATCTACTGGCTCTACAACCATATTCTGGACAACCCAAGAGATGGCAGTGATGGAACAGATGACTCACCTGTTCCCGGATCAGCTCCTGTTGGCAGTGTTTGCAATTCACCACGACGAGTGGACACATCTGTTCATGGTTCTGCAGAAAAACAAAGCAAACAGAACCCACACAGCAATGTGTTAGTCACTGACAGAAGCAAATATTTTAGATTACTTAACTAGTTGCTAAATATTCATGCTCTTTTAATTATATACATTCTTACATTTATAGCCAAATATTATAATGGGAATATATATTATGCTTTTTGACCCAGCCCGAGAATGGGCCACATTCATTGGGTTGAGCAGGGTGGAGAGTTTAACACCACCAGGATCGCACTTGTCATTAGTTTACTATTATACTTTTTAACCTAGGGAAGCCTCACCGAGTCTTAAGACTGTTTTCAGGAGGGTCCTGCCAAGTATTTGGAGTAGGGAGCAATGTTGAAATGTTTAATCCCAATTGAGTCATTTGCAGGTAATTTTTCAGCAATGGTAATTTGGCCAGTTCCAGTTACACTGTGAGGTGTTTTTTTAGCTGTGGGAGGAAACCAGGGAACCCGAAGGAAGCCCATGCAGAACACACAGAGAACATACAAACTTCACACAGTAAGGCGCCCGAGTTGGAAATCGAACCCAAGTCCTTCTTGCTGTGAGGCACAAGTGTTACCACTCTACGACCCTACTGGCCAGAATATAATCGGAATATATTGCAGCCACAGTCCAACCTTTGAGTCTTTGTATGCCATCTTCTCACAGCAGTGGAGACAAGTGACAATGCGTCTCATGCACTCCTGCTCCTCATGCTTTGCCAGGTCCCGCCGGCACACAGGCATCTCACAGCGCACACATGGCACCTGCGCGTACTCACAACGCAACTGGTGTTCCTGCACACACGCATACACGAAGGGAATTATAAAACATTCAGTCAAAGTGTAAGTGATGTCTTGGTCAGATAAGCAGTGCATCAATGAGGTGGCTCGGTGGTAGAGTGAAATCACGTTCTGGTTGGGGGTTGACTCAACCCATCATACCGCATTTCAGGGTCAATAAAAAAGTACCAGTTTGTGGGAAAGTCGACAGTGGTTCTTTGGAAAGATTTGCCTCCACCATAATAACGTGGAATATCCATCACTGGCTTATGGCTGTAAACCGGAGAGGAAGACTGCCTAAATGTAAATTTGAGCTTGTGTTATGCCATGGGAATGAGTCGGGATGCGGTGTAGAAAATGGCTGGGGCTTCTCACCTGTAGGGCACGCAGCTCGCCGCGGTGACCACATGGCTTGTTGGGACATCGCACGGTGAGCGATAGGATCTCGCGCTTGGCAAAGTTATCGGGGAAGAGTTGTCCCTCATGGAGCACGGCGTTATCCACGGGGCACTTGGGACCGGCGTCCCTAAGTCGGTAACATGGAACGCATATTTTAACCTGAAGTTGTAAAAGTGTGAACACACACTCAAAAAATTGTCTACACAGTTTACATAATCATTACAGAAGCAGCCAGACAAAGAGGCATCGTGTACAGGGGGGGATGCAGGGATACCCCTGGCTCTGCTTGTTTTATCCCTGGGACTGCACTTTCACTTGCCATCCCAGGCAGTGGGGGAGGGGTCGGGGGGGATAATGCGCAATGCCAGGGTTAAGCCTGGTTGGTGGGGGGCTGCTTGGGAATCACAGGTGCTGTAGGGGCGGGGGGCTGGCTGCGAGATGGCCAGGAGATAGCAGCACAGCAATAGATTCTTGAATATATTTGTGCGGAGCTTTGGGCGTGAACCCCTCCTATGCGCCAGGTGTTTTATCCGGGCTCTCCAGTTTACTCCCACAAGAAGCCAAACTCTCATTAATGGAATTGGCCAAACCTAATAATGTAGCAGGACCCTACTGAAAAAGTCTTGAGACTCAGTGAGGCTTCCCAAGGTAAAACACATGGTTATGTCAAAGTGCATGCATAGTGTAAAAGCGCCGACTGCTGCCCAGCAGCGGCAACTGCGGTGGACAAACAGTACACACGCCGGTGAGCATATACACGGGTGTGTCGGCAGGGCGGAGGAACTGGGGCAAGGGTCATGGAAGACCCCATCTGGAAGCTCCTGGAACCTGCTAGTGGGTTCCAGAAGGAAGGCACGGCCAGTGCGGATCCAGGCCGCGCTGGGTAGCATAAAAGCAGCTGAGAGCGGGAGCTCGGGGCTGCCGGTTCTGGGAGTGGACTCATCTCGTCATCGCTGTCGTCTTCGCCGCCTTCACTAGATATTGCACGACCGGAGAGTTGTTGGCTTTCTCGGTCAGCGCCATCAGTGCCACACAGTCAGGATTGTGTTTAGGTTAGGCTAGACGACTAGGGAGAGTGCGAGGGCGAACCTGTGAAGGGTGAAGGTGTTAATAAAAAAGGTGCCTCCTGGAAACCCTTGTCTCCGAATCGCTGACATTACACATGTAACATGCGTTGGCAATATCATCTGCTGTTGCTGCTGTGTGTGCAGGTGTCATAAATTTCACTGACTTGTCACAATCTCGTATTTCATGAAGGCCTCCTCATTGTGTCGGTCAGAAATATTGTTTGACCATTCTTTAACCTGATCAGTATTCCCTGTTGGTGGAATTTCCGTAAAAAAATTGTAGATAGTCTGTGAAAATGTTGAAATATTTTGGTGGCAGGATGGTAGTGCAGTGGTAACACTTGTACCTCAAAGTAAGAATCGCCTCGGTTCAATTCCCAAATTGGGTGCTTTTCCGTGAAGAGGTTGTATATTTTCCTCTTATTCTGCATTAGTTTCCTCTGCGTTCTCTAGTTTCCTCCCATTACATACAAAAAAACACACTGAAACCAGTATTGGCCAAAACATCCCAAAGCTAAAAAATTACCTGCAAATGTCTCCATTGAGATTACACATCGGATCATCGCTACTTACTGCAATTTGTAAAGACGCTCCTGAAATAGACATGAGACTATGTGAGGCTTTCCTGCGTAAACAAGCGCAATAATAATGACATTTTACAGATAACGCTCCCCTCCGCTCCCATCATCTGTAAAACATCCTGGCTGAAACTGGCAGGGTCAGACAACTTCATGACACTGAAAGCAGTTCTATTGAAGCCATGTGTGTGGGAATTTCCAGTGTGTGTGGGAAGGCCCAGCGCACCTCATGGAGTGCAGGATGCATGCTCTGCAGAAGCGGTGTCCGCAGGGAGTCTGCACGGGCTCCCTCAGTGCCATCAGGCAGATGGGGCACTCGTACTTGCTCTCAAGGGGCGGCTCAAAGTCAGCCTCGTAGCCTTGAGCCTCGGTGGCCGAGTCATCGCCAGACACCGAATGGAAGGAGAGGCCGCTCTCTGAATAATCGGTTGTGTCTCCTGGCGTGCGCAACCCCCGTGCGCTGCAGCATGCCTCATTGTCCACTTCGCGACCACTGCCACAGCTCATTGTGCAACGCGGCCCCACGGCCCGGATGGGGCCTGCACAGAACCTAGTGGTACACGTGGGGGGAAGTAGTTACCATGGCGTGAGTACAAAAGATCACAGGAGTGGTGAAAGCAAGTTAGACTCCCATCGCTGACCCCATCACACAGACCCCAGTCTACCTTGGTATGCACACACACAACCGGCAGGAAATTTGCACACAGGCATGGCGCGCACACATATAGATATAAGTTATTTGCATCAGCCCAACTTTGCTGATAAATGTCGAATCTGGTCCATAGTTTGATGGTATTGAACCAATGCTGCTGAAAATATTCACTCTCCGAAAGGCTGTGTGGCCAATGGGAAGTGTATATGTTTTTGTGGAGAGATATGTGAAGGTGGATTTCGGACTAGCTTCAGGAGTGACATGTCCCGGTTTTCTTAACATAAACCTGTTACCTCCATGAAGTCTGAAACCTGGCCTGTATACAGTTTGTGATGTTATTTATATTGCTTAAAACAAATTTTTTACGTAAAGCTACAGCCCTGCAATTGCTCAAGCCAATTTCGGCGCGAGGGTGTTCACAAGAGGAACCTCTGGGGGGAGTATTTGGTTTACTCTTCCACAATGACCAGACGTGTTGGAGGAGGTGGGCATAACCCACTCTTCATCCCATCACACGCGACCTGCCGATCAATGAAGTTGCGGTGACCCCATTTACACTATACTCTTTTGTTCTATTGGGTAAAGTCACGTAGGTGAAAATAAAATAACAAAAAAATAACAAAAAATCACGACGTTTCGGCCACAACACAAGCGGCCTTCATCAGGTGAAGGGACGAGACTGTCTGGAGGACAGCGCTGGAGTGAGAAAAGCCACGCTTAGATCACGACCTTTAAGCTGTGTGAGAAGAAAACAAAGCACCTTGACAAAGGAATTAGCATATAATTTAGCATTGAAATGGCTCATTGAAATAGCTAAGTTAAAGTATACACATCCGCAGAGGCACCCCCTTGCCAAAGGAATTAGCATAGAATTTAACAAAGGAATTAGCATAGAATTTAGCATCTATGCTAATTCCTTTGTCAAGGGGTGCCTCTGCGGATGTGTATACTTTAACTTAGCTATTTCAATGAGCCATTTCAATGCTAAATTATATGCTAATTTCTTTGTCAAGGCGCTTTGTTTTCTTCTCACACAGCTTAAAGGTCGTAATCTAAGCGTGGCTTTTCTCACTCCAGCACTGTCCTCCAGACAGTCTCGTCCCTTCACCTGATGAAGGCCGCTTGTGTTGTGGCCGAAACGTCGTGATTTTTTGTTATTTTATTTTCACCTACGTGACTTTACCCAATAGAACCAAAGAGTATGGATCCTAGCAGTCACGAAAGCTTTAAATCTAGAACCCATTTACACTGTTGCTGGATGACCAGGGGCGGCGGAGTAAACTTTCCCGATTGTGTTCGCAGTCACGCCGGGAGATGGAATTACACCGGTACGACTGGAATGCAAGTCCAGTGTGTGCTGTTACATTACGGCAGCTACCTATAAACATACACAATGCGGCGAAAACACAGTCACGGCAAAATCTCACGAACCACCCGGCTTCGACGCTGTTCGGCCTGGCGCCCGCAGCAGCGGCCAGGCGAGCAGGGGGCACTGCCCTGTGCGGCCTCTGGGCCTCACATGAGCGACTCATCACATTTATATTAATACATCTCCAATGGTGTAACGCATTAATCTAAATATATCTTCCAATGCTGTTTGGTTCTTTCGGTAAAGTTACGTATAAAGAAAATAAATAATACGACGTTTCGATTGCAACACAAGCAGTCGTCATCAGGTAGAACTAAATTTGATAGACAAAACACAGACACACACAGAGAGAGACATACAACATACAGATACTCTGTGTTGTCTCTCTGCTTGTCTCCGTGCCTGTGTTTTGTCTCTCTCAAATTTAGTTCTACCTGATGACGACTGCTTGTGTTGCAATCGAAACGTCGTCTTCTATTATTTAATTTATTTTCTTTCTACGTGACTTTACCGAAGGAACCAAAGAGTAATTCCTGCAGTCACAAAAGCTTCAAATCAAATATCTTCCAATGGTTTAGCGCAATATATGCGGGCGAATGTGTATCTGGTCACGTTATTTGGAGCACACTGTAAACACGCAAGAGACACACGCCGCTCACAGCACGACACCCCGGCGTTCAGACCCCAGAGCTCGGATCTCGGCAGTGAACGAACCCCGGTTACCTAGGCCGAGGACTCGGAGCTCACCGGTGCGCGGACCCCATTGCAAAAAGACTGGCACTCGGACTCCAGAGCTCGAATCTCGGGTACCACTGTTTAGTAATCAGGGTGGTCAGACCCTGGTGCTCGGACTCAGGAATTTCATTCTCATACCTCGGACCCGGTTGCTCGAACCTCTGTACTCGGACCTCAGATCCCAGTTCTCGGCGCACTTTGAACCCCGACGCTCCCCCTGAAGTCGGCCCACCGAAATTCAACCTCGGCCCCCGGGTGCTGCCCCCGGTATCTCGCTTCCTTCATCCGGGGACTCAGCCCCCACGTCACGTGACCTCGGGGAAGCCCCGTGACGTCACGATTGGGTGTGCGGGGGGGGCGTTATCTCCACCCAGGCTCTATCCGCTGCTGAATGGCTGCGGCCATCCAACAGTGGAGAGCCCTGGCGTCCATCCATGCAACGGCGATACATGCATCTCTATCCCGCAGGCAAGCCGCTCTCACATCTGCGGCGGACGTCCCCAAGGGCGAGATTCCCTCTGAGGCTGCGACTCCCTCACGGTCTCGACCGTCTCCCCTCGCCATGCGTCCTGCCTAAGCCCCCTCGCTTTCCTTGCGCTGTGAACAAGAGCCATGCTCGAAAAAAATCGCCTGTTTTACATGTTCATATGTACGCGTACATATAAACGCACCCACAATGTTGTACACAACCAATAAAACATTCCGATTACGTGAGGGTTTTCACATTTGAATTGTCAGTAATGTGCAAAATGGGTTTCCATTTAATTTCAGAGGAAGTCTGGTTTGACGGGTCATTGCCCATACTTGTTTATATCTATTAATGAGGAAGGTGTTGAGTTACTGTCACCCTTCTGCGGAGTGAACGCGGAACTCCTCGCCCTTCAAGCGAAGCTCACATCACTGACCGATGGAGCGAGGAGGCTCTGCCGCCACATCACGAGACTTTGTAACCGGCAAATGTGCACACTGGGACACCATCGCTCCCTGCTGGCAGCACACGAAGTCGCAGCATTTTGTATCTGCCTTGTGATCGCAATATGGTCCAGGAGCTCAATGCCCTGTCTGGTGATAGCCGCGAGAGGGCTTCAAGACAGAACGTGAAGGAGAAAATACGACTGTGGTTTACAATACGGTCCATGGTTTGGGTTGCATGACCACGATCACACACTATGGCTTGTCTTTAATGTATCGGTGGGCTTACTATATGGGTCGTAGTTTCGGTTGCAAATGACAACATCCTGGTCTCTGGAGTTCTCACCCGGTGAACACAAAATCGACGGGAACACTTGAAAAACCACGCGTGGTGCGGCGGTAGGGTTGGCAACTCTTGAGACTTCAAAAAAAACGAATTTCCTTAAAATGTCAAATTAAAATCACTCGGAGGGTTGGCAACTCGATGCGGCGGGGACACTTTCAGCGCGGCGGGGGCCTCGAAAGACGCCGAGCGCGGGGCCGTGACGCGCGCTGATGACGTCACCGCCCAGGCGCGAGCCGTAGGAGCGAGCCGCAGGAGCGGCACAGGAGGCGCCATGGCGGGACGCGAGGAGGCCGAGCCGGGCGCCCCGAGCCGGAGTCCGATCTGCACCCAGGGGTTCATAGGCGCCGCGGCGCTGTGGGTCGCGGCGACGTTGTTCGCACTGCCCGGGCCAAGCGCGGCCACCACGCACTGGGTCGTGACGGAGGACGGACGCATTCAGCAGCAGGTGAGAGACAGAGGGGTACAGGTAAGGCCCACTTCCTGTTCCCTTTCTCAACGTACCCCTGTCCCCGCGTACCTCTGTTTACAAGGGTTCCTGCCTCCACGTACCCGAGTCTCCACGTTTCCCTGTTAACACGGGCCCCTATCTCCACCTGCTATCTGTTCTTGTCTCCATGTACATGTCTCCACGTACCCATGTCTTCACGTACTGCTGGTTTCACGTAACCATGTCTTCACGTATTCTCTCCGCATACCCGTCTCCGCGTACCCCCGTCTCCACCTACCTCTATCTTCACACACCCTGAGCTGTATCGGTGCTGCTCCTAAAGTACAGCAGAACCCCAATAATCCGTGTTGATTTGGGAGGTGAGTATTGTGCGTCCTATAATCCGCCGTTGTGATGTTTTGGTCTTGATCCGTGTCATATCTCTCGTATGCTGCATGAACAGGTGGATTCCCAGTTGAACTTGAAGCACCCCCATGATCTCGTGTTGTTCATGCGCCAGGAGGCGCGTCTGGAGGCCCTCAAGGAGCTCGAGGTGAGTGACCGCGTGTAACCTATGAGAATATGTAGCTTGTAAGAAACATATCGTCATAACCGCGCGGCTGTCAACTCGTGAGAGCGTTCTGGTTGGGGGGCGCACACGGCGGCAAGGATACCATCATCGTGCCACCATCTTCATTTAGTCTCGTTGTAAGCGTTTGCTGTTCTTTTCGATTATTCTGATCATCAAGGTGCACATGCTAGCTCTATCTAGCTTTAGTAATTATGCAGTAGTAATCTTACCATTTATATGGTGCTCAATGCTTCGGAAACCCAAAATGCCTTGCGTCACATACATCTCAACCACTCGAAGGGCAGCTGTCCTTGTGCAGCACAAGGCGACTCAGCACCGGCCTCCAAATGTGTATTAGATTGCCAGTAACAACATTTTTAAAAAATATTTTTTATTGCCAAATATACACGATTCCTCACAGTGTATACGAAATGTAGGTTACTGTGTTTATTATCGATATAATGCTGTGGTTGTCCCACCTGATGGCGGACGCTTGTGTTGCGCCCGAAACATCGTGATTTAATTAATTTTGTTTTATACCTACGTGGCTTTACCGAAAGAACCAAAGAGTATGGATATAATGCTTGTTAATCCAGAAAAACTGCAACGAGTCTCAATACTTTTGCAGGAGGGTCCTGCCAAGTTTTCACAGAAACGGACGATGTTCCATTCTGTGTCCCAATTGAGTAGTTTTTAGGTAATTTTACAAACTCCACACATTGGTGCCACTTTCTCGAATAGTCTATTAGGCTATACAGGGGATCTTTGTTTTGTGCGTGGGTGCAGCTGGTTCTTATGGAGCATAAAATTCACATCGAGGAGAATGAAGACAAGGACACGCGCCTGGAGGAGCGGCACTATGCCGAGGAGCCGGCCTGCACACACGCCCGCGTCCCCCTCGGTGACCTGGATCTCTATCATGGCACCTACATCGCCCTTGAGACCAAGAACATCCGGTGAGTACCTTGCGACAATCGTGGGATGGTGTCTTCCTAGCGGTGGCGCGTTAGCTGCTCGTTGCAGAAGTTGGTTTATGTCCAGCAGGGCACCCTGTTTGTACGTCATTATCGCTGCTGTTTTCGTTGTGTGGATGCTCTGCATGAACCACCTTTGTTGTGTGTAGGCCAGAAGATCACATAGATGTAAAGCACAAGCCAAGTGGTGACTTACTGAGTCCGGACTGCATGCGTATCCTGGAGCTCGCCTACAGCATACACGCGTTTCAGCACCTGCGGGTCAGTCTGCTCACACGCATGCATTCCCCTCTTGCACAGCTGTAGGGCACAACCAGGTTCACACATAAAATGCACACGCAAACACGCTTGCTGCATTTGTACAAATATGGCAACGGTGCAGAGAGTCAAGACCATGATGTGGAGCGGAGCCTTGCAGGAAGCCAGAAATGTGGACACTGACACAGCACAGCGTGAGACGGTGGGGAGTGTTTTCAACATGGATATGGAGGAGGATGCAGATAGCTACACTGATAAGAAGAAATCTTAAATGGTATCAACGAACGAAGGTGAGAGAAGACCGGATTGGACGCATTTCAGGAGGGGATGAATCGTTGAGTGAGGACGTTATAGAAGCACAGAAGGAAAATAATGGAGGAACAACAATTCGGATGCTGGAGGAGCTGAAGAGGAGAGCAGAGAACAGAAAGAGAAGATGGCAGCCGAGGACCTGCCATGAAGGCAGATCACCAAATAAGAAGCAAAGCGAAGCCCTGCAAGTGCTTGCTCACGGTCCTGCTGGCAGAAAGGCCTTCCCTCGAGGTGGTGGTACTGTATTTGGTCGATACTTTCCATGTTGACCAGACGTGTTTGAAAAGGTGAGCCTATCCACACTTTTATGCTGCCTCACCCATTCATACTGCTGGATGGATAGAGGTAGTCGGGAGATATGAGAAATTTGCACCATTGTTTTAACTGCCTCGCTGGAAGGTGGATTGCAACCATTGAAAAGATGTTCTAAATCGAACTAAACATTAAACTAATTTTCATTGGTACAGTATATTTTTTCAAGTAGTGGTACCCCAAACTTTCGCAGCACAGGCTGGTGCACTGCCGGTGCCGATCACTGTGGTACACCTTTCATCATGATAAGTCCGCCAATCAAATGCTAATTTTTAGACTAATTCCTTTGTCAAGGCACCTTAATCCCTCTCACACAGCTTAAAGGTGCACTGTCGTGTGCTACACCTTTCATCATGCTAAGTCCGCCAATCAAATGCTAATTTTTTATGCTAATTCATTTGTCGAGGCACCTTAATCCCTCTCACACAGCTTAAAGGTCGCGGTCTGAGCTTGGCTCTGTTTCACTCCAGCGCAGTCTTCGAGACAGGCTGGTCCCTTCACCTGATGAAGGCCGCTTGTGTTGTGGCCGAAACGTCGTGATTTTTGTTTTATTTTTTTACCTGCGTGACTTTACCGAATAGAACCAAAGAGTATGGATCCTTGTAGTCACGAAAGCTTCAAATCTAGAAAAGTCTGGTATGCTCACCATTACATTACAACAACTGCCATATGTGCAAGTAGCTACAAGTAATGGGGTTTTCATGTACATTCTTTAAAGTGCTTGCTGTTGATATTGTGGAGTGATTGTCACATGTGGTGCTTTCCAGGGTGTGCAGGAAAGAGGAAATCTGAGTGCTCCATTGCTGTCCCCAGAGGATCCTGTATTCCAAGCATTGCCGCTTCCCATGGGGACCGGCAGCCTCGATGAACTGGGGCATCTGATTCACCTGGCTTTGCAGCAGGTGTGTGCAATGTAGGGGCCACGTTCTTTGTCATAGCTCCGCTCTGGCTCAGTTTTCTTACGCGACTCGGCTCAAGCTTAAGCCACTCGGCTGCTTCCACACATGCAGGAGTGAATGCCTCAGCCATTGTTCAGCTTGGGCTCAGCTCAATGGAATCCTGAGCCTCGCTGGGACTGTGCTTCGAGCCGACTCAAGTTAAACGCAGTGGCTTTGAGCCAGCTGAAGCGAACCATCGCCAAGCCTGAAATAAGTTGTGACTAAGAATACGGTCCTTGGACATCGAGCATTTTACAGCTGTATGTTCATGGCACCTGTGTGAGTAACGGATTTGCAATGTTTGTATTATAGACATTGTATGAGTGGGTGTGTGAGTGGCCAACAAGTAAAGTGAGTAAGTGGGTAACCTATGGGTGAGTGTTTGATCGTGTGGGAGAGTTCATCTGTGAGTGAGTGAATGGGTGACAAGTGAAGGGAGTTGGTGGGTGAGTCAGTGTCTTCATAGGTGCTTGCTATTATCACTTGCCCCAGTAGTCTGTTCAGGCTATATGGGGAATTTTTGTGGGTGAGTGGGTGGGTGAGTGGATGTGTGGGTGAGAGTGTGACTCACAATTATAACAAGACTATTGTACACACACAATGTATGCTCCAGAACAAGACGTCCTGGGTGCTTTACAACATGGCCTCTTACTACTGGCGTCTCAAGAACAGTCCCACGCACGTGGCCGAGTGTGCTATGAGAGCCCTGCACCTGTCCCCCAGGTAATAATCACAATGCTAAACAAACTCTCTCCGGCGATGCTGCCATGTAGGCAGTGCTGCACGAGCATAAATTACCAACAACTCGTCACCTTCCTCAATCAGCACTGTGGCCTGAAAATGAAAAATAAATCAAGCAATCTTTTGATTTAAAGCTTTCGTGACTGCAGTAATTCATATTCTTAGTTTTTTCGGTAAAGTCACGTTGAAGAGAAACAACAAAATAACAAAATATATATATATATTTTGTTATTTTATATATATATTTTGTTATTTTGTTGTTTCTCTTCAACGTGACTTTACCGAAAAAACTAAGAATATGAATTACTGCAGTCACGAAAGCTTTAAATCAAAAGATTGCTTGATTTATTTTTTGAAGAGAAACAACAAAATAACAAAATATATATATTTGGTTATTTTGTTGTTTCTCTTCAACGTGACTTTACCTAAAAAACTAAGAATATCAAGCAATCTTCTTTGGTTCTTTCGGTAAAGTCACGTAGAATGAGAATAAAATAATAAATTGATAAAATAAAATAACACAATAATATTCTCACGACGTTTCGGCCACAACACAAGCGGCCTTCATCAGGTGAAGGGACGAGACTGTCTGGTAGGACAGCGCTGGAGTGAAAAAGCCACGATCAGATCACGACCTTTAAGCTGTGTGAGAAGAAAGGTCGTGATCTCAGCGTGACTTTCTGACTCCAGCGCTGTCCTCCAGACAGTCTCGTCCCCTTCGACTGATGAAGGCCGCTTGTGTTGTGGCCGAAACGTCGTGAGAATGTTATTGTGTTATTTTATTTTATCAATTTATTATTTTATTCTCATTCTACGTGACTTTACCGAAAGAACCAAAGAAGATGAATCCTTGCAGTCACGAAAGCTTTAAATCGAAAAATCAAGCAATGTTTCATGCACTGGCTCATATAGCAAATAGAGGTCAGAGAGACAGAGAGGATATTGGTTTTAGACTCCACAGTAGAACTGTGTGATAGCTCGGTTTACGATAATTCTCTTTGCAAGTCATAGAAAGATTATAAAATATAATTCTTACTGGTGTTGCATGGTGTATTGTGCTATTATTCATCAGCTTTCTCTGCCAAATTGAAACACTTCCCAGGAATTCATCTTCTTTGGTTCTTTCGGTAAAGTCACGTAGAATGAGAATAAAATAAAACAATAAAATTCTCACGACGTTTTGGCCACAACACAAGTAGCCTTCTTCAGGTGAAGGAACAAAACTGTCGGGACGACAGAGCTTTAATGAACGCTGCTAAGATTCGTAGCGTCTTTAAGCTGGTTGAGAGAAATAAGGCACCTTGAAAAAGGGGTTTCCATATCAAACAGGAGAATTTATCATTGATATAGCTGAGGGATTAGCTTGTGACTGGTCACAGAAATAGCTATGTTAAAGTCAAAGCCTACACATCCACAGAGGCACCTAGTACAAATCAAACAGGAGAATTTAGCATTGAAATAGCTGAGGGATTAGCTTGTGACTGGTCAAAGAAATAGCTATGTTAAAGTCAAAGCCTACACATCCACAGAGGCACCTCGTACAAGGACGCCAAAAGGGGGCTGCAACAACTCAAATATCATACAGTAAACCGATGTGAAAAAACCTGAGTCTAAATTACATCAATATAATAAATGTACTCAATATATTCTTCAATAAGCAGAGCTATTAACAGCAACTGGGTATACACTACACTATAATGAATACCATATAGTAAACAGATAAAAAACTAAAATATAAACTTCCTCAATGTTATCAATAAACTCTATATATTCTGCAATCAGCTGAGCTACCAACAATAAGTCGTTATATATCATGATGCTATATGGCGAAAAAATGGGTGGATTCTTACCCTCCACGTCAGCACCACGGACAGCTACGAGCCCCGTTCAGACGGACGAGTCCATCCACGGTCGGAATAGAGGAGGGAGGAGAGAAATAGCTGCGAGGTGCTGTTATAATCATGTTATAAACCATACCATTATCCGTGGTGTGAGGAGTATTAAGAGTCAATGCCAGCGAAAGAGCTGCGGTCCGAAGGTCACCATAAAATACAATTAATTAAGAACCGAAATGGTTTAAAACATCTTTCCAATGGTTACTAAGCCAGAATCCATCTTCTCGGTTGAAATTGTCTCTGTGCTTGTATATATGTATGGCCTCATAAACGAATCTCTCATGGTAGCCGGTTGGCTTGCAAAGAACCTCCGTCTTGGAGAAGTCAATGTCATGTGAGCCTACTGAATTATAATAGTGATCTGCCACTGCAGAGGAGTTCGTTCTACCGTGTTTCAAGTCTGCTTTATGTTTGCGGATGCGGTCCGAGATATGTCGTTTGGTTTCTCCAATGTAGCTACTACCACAGAGGCACTTTAGTTTGTAAACGCCCAGGTACTGTATGTCTGGAACAGTATATTTTACCTTGAAAGGACCAAAGAAGATGAATCCTTGCAGTCACGAAAGCTTTAAATCGAAATTTAACCGCCTCTACGGGGAGGGATTCCACACAACCTTAAGATCATTCAACAAACTCCGGGACAAGAAGGCTCAACTAATCGAGTCTCTCACCTTTCTGAAAAGATGCCGCCACTCTAAGGTAATACCAACCACATTTACACTATCCTCTGCTGCTGCTGCAACTTATTTCAATGCAAAACGAATTCTAGCTAGAACTAGCTTCGCTCTTATCTCAGAAAAAATCAGACTTACACGCACCGAACTAGATCAGTTAGACAAGACACTCTACAAATCACACTTAACATTGACAGCAACAATGTCTACATCGGATTGGGAACATGTAGACAATATGACTACCTCTTCGGCTGCCACTATGTAAACCAAATGTAGGGACAATTTGATTTCCAAATTCAATCACCTCTCCAACAAAAAAATCGGATCCACACACCGAAAAGATAGACGTTTACAAAGTCGTAATTAATTGCAGTAACAGTTCCATTTCTGATGGCCTGAAATCCGTTTTTTTGCTAAAGGTCTAAACTTTGCTGTCACACCAAGGCACATACCGGTTAATGATATCATTGCCCATGTCGACGTTGCACTCAAAGGCTTGAGTCACATCTCTGCAGACGTAGCAAGATCTGAAATCGCTGCAACCCTCAAGAACTAAAGTGCCTCTGTGGTAGTAGCTACATTGGAGAAACCAAACGACATATCTCGAACCGCATCCGCGAACATAAAGCAGACTTGAAACACGGTAGAATGAACTCCTCTGCCGTGGCAGATCACTGTTATTATTCAGTGAGCTCACATGACATTGACTTCTCCAAGACGGAGGTTCTTTGCAAGCCAACCGGCTACCATGAGAGATTCGTTCATGAGGCCATTCATATATACAAGCACTGAGACAATTTCAACCGAGAAGATGGATTCTGGCTTAGTCACCATTGGAAAGATGTTTTAAACCATTTCGGTTCTTAATTAATTGTATTTTATGGTGACCTTCAGACCGCAGCTCTTTCGCTAGCATTGACTCTTAATGCTTCTCACACCACGGTTAATGGTATGGTTTATAACATGATTACAACAGCGCCTCGCAGCCGTTTCTCTCCTCCCTCCTCTGTTCCGACCGTGGATGGACTCGTCCGTCTGAACGGGGCTCGTAACTGTCCGTGGTCCTGACGTGGAGGGTAAGAATCCACCCATTTTTTCGCCATATAGCATCGTGATATATAACGACTTATTGTTGGTAGCTCAGCTGATTGGAGAATATATAGAGTTTATTGATAACATTGAGGAAGTTTATATTTTAGTTTTTTATCTGTTTACTATATGGTATTCATTATAGTGTAGTGTATACCCAGTTGCTGTTAATAACTCTGCTTATTGAAGAATATATTGAGTACATTTATTATATTGATGTAATTTAGACTCAGGTTTTTTCACATCGGTTTACTGTATGATATTTGAGTTGCAGCCCCCTTTTGGCGTCCTTGTACGAGGTGCCTCTGTGGATGTGTTGGCTTTGACTTTAACATAGCTATTTCTTTGACCAGTCACAAGCTAATCCCTCAGCTATTTCAATGCTAAATTCTCCTGTTTGATTTGTACTAGGTGCCTCTGTGGATGTGTAGGCTTTGACTTTAACATAGCTATTTCTGTGAACAGTCACAGGCTAATCCCTCAGCTATTTCAATGATAAATTCTCCTGTTTGATATGTAAACCCCTTTGTCAAGGTGCCTCACTTCTCTCAACCAGCTTAAAAGACGCTACGAATCTTAGCAGCATTCATTAAAGCTCTGTCGTTCCGACAGTTTTGTTCCTTCACCTGAAGAAGGCTACTTGTGTTGTGGCCGAAACGTCGTGAGAATTTGATTGTTTTATTTTATTATTTTATTCTCATTCTATGTGACTTTACCGAAAGAACCAAAGAAGATGAATCCTTGCAGTCACGAAAGCTTTAAATCGAAACTTCCCAGGAAGTCTGGTAAATTGTGTGGTTCCACAGGATGAGGAATTAGATTGTACGTCATTTGGTGCTGACGGGCCCCCTTGTCCCCCGTGCAGGCCACACCATGACGTGGCGCTGGTGAACCTTGCCAGCGTGCTGCACCGTGCCCACTACTCGGCTGATGCCGCCGTGCTGCTGCATGCTGCGCTACCCATCTCCAGCGATCCGGCCACGGTTCACTACACCCTGGGCAACGTCTATGCCGTGAGTAGCAATCCGCTAACTGATGTCTTCTCTGTACTAAGCGACCAGTTCTCTGTACTAACCAACCAGAGCGGTGATGTGGCCCAGCAGTAAGGGGCTCTCCGCTTGATGCAGAGGTTGCGCTCATGACACACAAAGTGCTTGCCACAAATTAACCACAATACCTCGCTGATTTCGTCAAGGAGCATGAACCATCACGCGAACTACGGTCATCCTCACAGGAGCTTTTAGCCAGCCATCGAACAAAGACAGTCACTGCATCGCGCACGTTCAGATGTGCTTTCTGCGGCTGTCTGGAACGCTCTTCCGATATTAGGAAGCCACTGGAGTTATGCACTTTTAAATCTATATTGAAAACTAATTTCTTGAGAACTGTTTTTTGTGTTTGTTGTCATTGCCCTGCATCTCTGATTACCACAGTTGGCTATGTACTGTGCAAAATAAGTTCAACATACATCTGAACAGGTCCTGGGCCCCCTTAGGTCGACTCAGCCTCAAATGATTTCCTGCTATAATGTGTAAAACAACATCACTGGGGAGACAAAGGTGGCCAGGTGCGATACAGGCCACACCATCCCCTCGTGTGCCGTGTTGACCTTTGTAGATGCTCGCGAACAGCCCCAACAGCTTGTTTAGGATATTAGGGGATCTTTAGCTTAATGCATGACCACGTGTGCATGATGTCACGTGTTGCAGATGCTGGGAGAGTACAATCACTCGGTGCTCTTCTACGAGCAGGCGCTCGTGCTGCGGCCCGAGCTGGAGGCTGCGGGGAGGAGGCGCCACGCTGTGCTTTGCCAGCAGGGACTTGAGCGCAAGCTGGAGGCTCAGCACAGGTGGCTATCCAGTGCTGCTGTACACACACTAGCCCCCTTTCTGCTGTGTACACACTATATCCTGGCTGATATGTACACATAAACTACCCTGCGCTTTTGCATACAAACAACCCGTGCAGAACAGGCGTGGAACAAACAAGCTGCACGTAGAAAGGCGCTCAGGTCGCGAAATCGAACCCAGGCCCTTCTTGCTGTGAGGAACGAGTTTTAAAACTGCGCCACCACTCTGCGGCTTCATTATCACAGGTCCTTGCAGCAGACGTTGAGTGAGCTGAAGGAGTACCAGCGGCAGCACGAGCAGTACGTGCACCTGCAGGAGCAAGTGGAGCGGCACAAAGTCCCGGCTGACCAACAGCTGCTTCACACGATCCTGCACGAGGCTCATCTAGCCCGCGACACTCACTCCGGTACCCACACTCCTGCACTGATCTAGCCTGTGAATCTCACTCTGGTACCCACACTCCTGTACTTATATAGCCTGTGACATTCAGTCTGGTACCCACACTCCTGCATTGATAAAGCCTGTGACACTCACTCCGGTACCTACACTCCTGCACTGATCTATCCTGCGACACTCACTCTGGTACCCACACTCCTGCACTGATCAAGTCTATGACATTCACTCTGGTACCCACACTCCTGCACTAATAAAGCCTATGACACTCCAGTACCTACACTCCTGCACTAATCAAGTCTGTGACACTCACTCTGGTACCCACACTCCTGCACTGATCAAGTCTATGACATTCACTCTGGTACCCACACTCCTGTACTGATAAAGCCTGTCACACTCACTCCGCTACCCATACTCCCGCACTGATCAAGTCTGACAACAACAACAACAACAACAACCGCCATTCGCCACTAAGTGGCGGTGACGTCACCACGACGCTTGTGCCAGGCTATGTGCACCCTGAGGCCACGTGAAGTGTCGAACGCCCGCTGGCAGGAGGTCACGGGGCAGACCCAGGTGCCACGGGTCGACTGACTGAGATGACTGGCTGATGCACCACCTGTGCCCCCTACTGTGCCAACCTGCTGTGCTTTAGCCACCCGGCGCTCCGCTCGCTGTTGTGAGCGTCGCTCCTCCGCCCTCCGTTGTTGTTGGAGGGCGACTGCCTCCAACTGCCCAGTAGCATCCTTCACGAGCCTCCTCCACAGAGGCCGATCTTGACACCGCTGGTACCAGTCATCGGCAAGTCCACTCAGCTCCACGTCCTCCTGTACCACATCACTCCATCTCTTCTCTAGCCCGTGCCGCGCCCGCTTAGCCCCCTCAATCCGGCCAAACAAAAGCTGTTTCGGCATGCGGTGGCTGGGCATGCGGGCTACATGACCCAGCCATCGCAGCCTTGCCTGCCGGAGGAGCTCACCGATGGGACCCTGCCCAGATCTTTCAAGGATTTGTGAGCTCCTCACACAATCCAGTCTGGTTAAACCCAGGATGGATCGTAGGCAGGTCAGCCTAAATGTTTCTAACCGGCGAAGATGTTCCATTAGGGGGGTCCACGTTTCGCAAGCGTAGAGAAGGGAGGGAATGACCGTGGCCGAGAAGACCTGAAGCTTAGTGCGGAGCGACAGACCAGGTAGCTTCCACACAGCGTTACGCAACCGATGAAAAGATATTGCCGCTCGACTGATTCGGAGTGAGACCTCTGCTGTTAAACTGGAGCCAGTCATAAGCACACTGCCCAGGTATGGGAAACTCTCCACTCTCTCCACAACTGCCCCATCACCGATTGGGAGTTGTGGGGGTGGAGTGTCCGATGGTACAAAATACCCAGGCAGGTGCTTAGTTTTGGTGGGGCTGATGGTAAGGCCCCACCTCTTAGTGGCACGCTCCAGTCTCAGCAGCAGCGTCTCCAACTCCTCCTCTGACTGAGCAGCTATTACCAAGTCATCAGCATACATAACGTGGTTGAGCAATAGGGAGCCATCCCTTGACCGCACCCGGGCATCGATTAGCCTCCCATTATATCTGTACCATATGGAGATTCCCCCGGTACAGCTATTGAAGGCTTCACGAACTACGTGGTCAAAATAGATGTTAAATAATGTGGGAGCCAGAGGACATCCCTGTCGCACCCCAAGGTGTACAGGGAATGGCTCTGACTCCCGGCCACGTAGTTTTACCCGGGCCCGCTCACCATCATGAAGGTCCTTAATGATCGTGAGCAGAGGGTCAGGTACTCCAAAAGCACGAAGAACGACCCAGAGCCCAGGCCTACTGATGGTATCATAGGCCTTGACCAGGTCAATAAAGCAGAGATGTAGGTCTTGTTGGAATTCCCTACACCTCTGCTGTAGCAGACGGACAGAAAATATGGCATCTGTGCAGGACCGCCCTTTCCTGAAACCGCATTGGGGCTCCGCAAGCCTCTCCTCAGCGTGCCTGGCAAGGCGATGCTGAATAATCCTTGCCAGGACCTTTCCCGGCACACTGAGGAGTGAGATGCCCCTGTAGTTGTTACAGTCTGTGCGGTCCCCCTTCTTAAAAAGGGGGACCACCAGGGCATCCTTCCAATCCTGCGGAACCCGTCCAGTGGTCCAGACTGTTGTTATGATGTCATATAGGGCAGTCTGTGCACAAACGCCACCCTCCCTCAGCATTTCGCTTGGGAGATCATCTCTGCCCGCTGCCTTTCCTGGTCTCAGACTCCGTATCGCCTTCAATACTTCCTCAGCAGATGGCACCTCAGCCAGCCACTCACAGGGGGTGACTTCATCCAATATTTGAGGCACCGCAGCCTCAGCAGGGTCATCCTCACTTTGTGCCACGATGTTTTCCTGGCTGTGGGATTTTCCCTCCCCCAGGACCTCACAGAAATGCTCAGCAAATCTGCGAACCTGTTCCTGGGGGTCGGAAATTGGATCACCGTTTTTTCCCCTAATGATGGTAATAGGTGTGGCGCTGCAGGTTACTTTTTTGATGGAGTTAAATAGCGATTTGTGATCACGGGCCACTGAGGCAGACTCCATCTCCTCAGCAACCCGCGACCACCACCCATCCTTGCAGCGCCTCACGGCTCTCCGAACCTCCGAGCGAAGGCTGCGGTAAGCCTCCTCATTCTCTGACGTGGGATTCTGTAGCCGATGACAGTGGGCCTGTCGCTTTTTCTCAACCATCCTGAACAACTCCTCTGTCATCCAGGGTGTCTGGGGAGGTCTGGACCGCGTACCCAAAGCAGCCATTGCAGCTGCATGAGTCACAGTCCTAAACCTCGCCCATTTACCCTCGACATCAGGAGGAGTCGGGGACGATGCCAATCCCAGCCGCAAGCGATGATGAAATTCTCGCTTGCAACTTTCATCAGATAACTGAGACCAGGCCACTTTAGGTTGGAATGGGGTCCTGGGTGTACACCCACCACCGGAGTGGAAGAATGGCAGGCGCATCTTACAGATGACTAGTCGATGGTCAGAGGGCAGATCAGCTCCACGGTAGGTCCTGGTGTCAAGGACATGGGCTCGCATTCGCTGGTCCGTCACTATGTAGTCCAGCAGATGTTCTTGCTTGGACCCGGCATGCATCCATGATGTTGTGTGGATGCGCCGATGCCGGAACAGCGTGTTGGTAATTACAAGCCCATGGGCTGCACAAAAATCTAGCAGCCTCCTACCGTTGTTATTGAGCTGATCTGGCCCATGCCCTCCAATCACTCCAGACCAGGTGCCAGTATCATGACCAACTCGGGCATTGAAGTCACCCAACATGATGACTCTATCCCGAGGGGCCACTTTAGCCAGCACCTGTGACAGGAGGTCATAGAAGGCATCTGACTCATCGGCTTTGCCTGCATCCCTCCACGGATGTTCATCTTCGGTGGGGGCATAAGTAACCACGACCACCATTCCTCGCCTCCGGTTGATGGGAAGGCGAGCCCAAAGTAGCCTGGGGCTTACAGCTTCCCACACCTCACCGCCACGCTCCCACGCCCCCTTCATTCTTTTGTTCAAAAGAAGACCCACACCCTGTTGTTTGGCAGTCTGCTGCCCCGAGTAGAGGACTGTCCACCCCTCATGGTGGCAGGAGCCAGAGCCGGTCCACCGGACCTCCTGAATGCCGCATAGATCCATGCGGTACCGGTCCAGCTCCCGACAGAGGAGTGGCAGCCTCTCCTCTGCAGTGAGCGTTCGAACATTCCACGTGGCCACCCGTAGTGGCTTTTCGTTGTTTCTGGAGTAGCCCCGAGGGTAGGTATTCAATCTCCTGGCTCCGCCAATTGGGGTTTGGCCAGGAGACGTCATAGACGCCTGGCCAATGTGGGTACCGGAGTGAGTGTCAAGTCTGACACTCACTCCGGTACCCACATTCCTGCACTGATCTAGCCTGCGACAATCACTCTGGGACCCACACTCCTGCACTTATCTAGCCTGTGACATTCACTCTGGTATCCACACTCCTGCACTGATCAAGCCTATGACACTCACTCCGGTACTACTCAACCAGGTGGCTCAACGGTACAGCGACCGGCTCGCAATCGAAAGGTTACGACTTCAAATCCTAGATGGGAGTTGATTCAGCTCATCATGTTTTTCTGGTCGTTAAAATTAATACGACTTATGGGGGTAAGTAAACAGTGGTTGCCTTATGGATGGACTCTCTCTTACCATGGGAATGTGGAATTCTCTGCACTTGCTCTGAGCTGCAAACAGGAGATGAGCACCGCCTCAGTGCTCATTTGAGCAAGAATTCACTGTGAATATTGACTCGTTATTTACAACACTGGGTGCTGTCAAGAACTAGAGAAATCCATCTGTAATGATCTGGTGGCATAGTGTTTGCTGTCTTTCTGTTATTGATACGAGTGCAGGTAACAGTCAGGTGTGTCGGTGGAGCCAGCAACAGAAGCTGCTAGTTTGTCAGTGGGATCAGCCGGTGCGGTACACGAAAGGGGAGGGAGAAGATGGCATCGAGCGCGTGCAGGTTGGAGGCTTCTCGTGACTCGCAAAATGCCACATTGTTTTGTCACACGTACCCATGGCCAGCACTCCCACCACCAATGCATCCACATTGCGGCAGAGAGTAATGTTGTTGGGGTGAGGGACTTGCAGCTGGGTGTGATGATTTCAAGTGTTGCTTTTACACATCATCTCCATCATCATCTCTTTCAATCTATTTGAGTCATGGATTTGAAATTTACTTCTGAAATATGAGAGATATAAAAATAAATATATGTATTATCATTGAGCATGATTAATTATTATGACACTTATTCTTGGTTCTTTCGGTAAAATCACGTAGAAGGGAAACAATAAAATAATAAAAATATAAAACAATAAAATTATCACGACGTTTCGACTGCAACACAAGCAATCATCATCAGGTGTGAAAACCACAGCAAGAAAATTTGAAAAAAGTGGCGTTTTTTTTTTACGTTAGCACCACGGAGAGCGATTTGGCAGTTATTCAGGTGGACGAGTCCATCTATGTTCAGAAAAGAGGAGGGAGACGAAAATAATGGCTTAGCAATCATTGGAAGGTTTTGATAAACCATTTCGGGTCTTAATTGATTGTTCACGCTTACGGTGGCTTTCAGACCGCATCCATTATTTTCGTCTCCCCCATCCTCTTTTCCGAACATAGATGGACTCGTCCACCTGAATAACTGCCAAATTGCTCTCCGTGGTGCTAACGTTAAAAAAACCGCCACTCTATGTGACTTTACCGAAAGAAGCAAGAATATGAATCCCTGCAGTCACGAAAGCTTTAAATCAAAATATTATGACACTTGCTCATTGGTTTTTTCGGTAAAGTCACGTATGTAGAAATACAATAAAATTATATTAAAACAAAAACCAATCACGACGTTTCGATCACAACGCAAGCGATCTTCATCAGGTGTCAAGAACAAATCACGGAGGTAAATACAACAAAAAGATGAGAGACGAGAATTCAACAAACCTGAAAAAACAATATGTGAAGCACATCCAGTCAGGCCAACAACACAGTTAGACACTTCCAGGTTTGTTGAATTCTCGTCTCTCATATTTTTGTTGTATTTACCTCCGTGATTTGTTCTTGACACCTGATGAAGATCGCTTGCGTTGTGATCGAAACGTCGTGATTGTTTTTGTTTTAATATAATTTTATTGTATTTCTACATACGTGACTTTGCCAAAAAAAAACAATGAGTAATTTTATGCAGTCACGAAAGCTTTAATACTTTATCATTATGACACTTGTTTACCCAGTGGAAGCCTCACCTTGTATCAAGACTCATTTATTACAGAGTCTTGCTAAGTTTTCCCAGTGTGGAGCGATGATTGCTGTGTGCTGTGTAGATTCCCATTGAGTCATTGTAATGTGACTTTTTAAATTTGGCAAATTTGGACCATGATGCCGCAATTGCGATTGACTTCACATGATTTGTAACGTTAAGCATGAAGCAGACGGTGAATAGTATGCTATGGTTACTACACCGCACAACCACAATAACCAGACGGCCTGCCGGATTTAATCCACGAACCTCTGTCACAAGAGGCGAACGCGCTCCCGCTGGGCCACGTTACAGTGACTTACTGCGTGTCGTGTGGAATGGAGTGTCATGATGCACAATGCGCAACCTGTTTCAGTTTGGGGAAGAGGAGCCAGGAGCTGGCACCACAGCCCTGCCGAGCAGAGCAGATTCTCTGTCTGGTGAGGGCCTCGTCTCTTCACGGCCCCACCACCATACAGGACCTCGATCCAGGAGCCACCACAACCTGCCGGCCAGTGTACAGGTAGGCGACCACGCTTAACGGATATATACTCCGTGATTTTTTCTTGCATTTGTGCAGGAAACGTTATTATACTTGGTGGCCAGGCTGTAATTAACCAGGCTTGGACAGGACACATCACTGGAAGGGATGGACGATTGGTGAAGAATATTAAGGGAATGGTAGCGAAGGAGTGTATGCATCCTTGAGGATGTCCACAGAATGAGATTGAGCAATCAGATCAGTTCATGTGCAGGTGCTGGATTGAGTGTTGCAGCGCAGGGAAGGCCTTCATTCTTGCAGGGAGTTGTTCTTGGCTGATGACGATGATGATAACCGGGCTGAGCCTATCAACCGACTAAACACAAGAACCTGGGTTAATCGGAGGCTGCTGCCCAGGTTTTAATCTAGGATCTCAGTGGTGGTGGCTCAGTGCTGTCACCCCTGAACCACGCACCTACCTCAAACGTATATTTTATTCATAATGAACTTCAGATTCCCGTTGGACAGCTTGAGATCGGTTATGTACAAAACAGTATATTTTTGGTTGTGCAGATGTGTGCGTGTGAAGTGTGTGTTTGGTGTGTATCTGTTAAAGCTCTGTGACTTGTGATGTCCATTCAGGGTTTCCTTTGGCCCCAGAGGAAGGAGTGCCTTCATACTTTTCCCACAACTTCACCTGCTTCAGTTCCACCGATATTTTCTTTTCTTCTGGACACCATGGGAATGAAGTAAGACATCACCATAGACACACAATGGGTAGGACCACATTTATTTCAGAAATTCATCAAGTAACTACTTCATATGTTATATCCTGGCTGGTCAGGTTGCCCAGCAATCTGGTGAGCAGCTCGCAATCACAAGGTTGCGAATTTAAATTCTGGTGGGGAGTTCAGTCCAGAGTCCATCATCTCTGGAATCAATAAAGTAGGTACCACTGTGGGGGAGTAAACAGTACTCTTTGGTTCTATTCGGTAAAGTCACGTAGGTAAAAAATAAAACAACAAAAATCACGACGTTTCGGCCACAACACAAGCGGCCTTCATCAGGTGAAGTGATCAGGCTGTCTCGAGGACAGCGCTGGAGTGAAACACATCCACGCTCAGACCGCGACCTTTAAGCTGTGTGCGAGGAAACAAGGTGCCTTGACAAAGGAATTAGCATAAAAATTAGCATTTGATTGGCCGACTTAGCATAGAGGTGGTGTACATGCGGGTGCACATGCCAGTTGGCGTGGGGGGGGGGGGAGGGGGAGTTTGCCTATTGATGGTGTGAAAAGGGAATTTAAGAGCTGCGAAAGTTTGGGGTACCACTACTTGAAAAATATACTGTACCATTGAAAATTAGTTTAATGTTTGGTTCGCTTTAGAACATCTTTCCAATGGTTGCTTAATTTGAAACCATCTTATCGGTTGAAATTGTGTCTGTGTTTGTAGATCTGAATTGCCTCGTGAACAAATCTATGATAAAAACCTGTGGGTTTGCAAAGAACCTTGGTATCGGAGAAAATTATATCGTGATCACCCACAGCGTTGTAACAATGATAAGCTACGGCAGAAGAATTTGTTTTGCCGTGTTTCAAATCTGATTTGTGCTCTTGAATTCGGTCAGAGACATGTCGCTTTGTCTCCCCGATATAGCAATCACCGCAGGTACAACTCAATTTGTAAACCCCGGGGTACTGTAAGTCAGGAATGACATCCTTCACGGATGGGATCAGATCACGAATTTTGTGTACTGTATTGAACCGGATCTGCATCTTGTGTTTGTTTAGAATTTTGGAAATCTTTTTAGTAACGCCTGCTATATATGGTCATGTGATGGTTTTGACCGGAGTATCAAGTGGTTGTTTCTGTATGGAGGGAGAAACAGCTGATGTTACTAATGGGTTTCTTAGCTCTGAACTCGCGAATTAAAAAAACAGAAGTGATATAGTCATCCTCTCAGCCGATAAAGGCAACGCTACTGTAATTATGGATAAAGATTCATACAACAACAAAATCCAGAATCTGCTCAAAATTAAAAATGACGCTACCAATAGCCTAGCGATAAAAACCAACAAGATCATCACAAGTTCGACCTCCCTAATCGACCCAACTAAATGTCCCTCCCTAAAACCTTCTGCTGCAAGACCCCCTAGATTCTATGGTCTTCCCAAGATTCATAAAGAAGGCACCCCACTACGACCCATCGTATCCACGATCAACTCCCCTACCTATAGACTAGCCCGTTTTCTGTCAGATACCTTGCTGCCTTTCACTGGCAAGACCGCCTCAGCAGTACTTAACTCAGCCCAATTGGTCTCTATGGTCAAAGACCTACTGTCCCCTGACGATATCCTTGTCATCTTCGATGTGGTCTATTTGTTCACCAAGGTCCCAGTACCTGATACCATTGAAATAATTGAAAATTTGGTCCAACATGGACTAGACCCCGATACACCTGCACTGGTTAGGAACTGCCTCAACAATACCTACTTTACTTGGAATGGCTCCTTCTACAAACAAAATGAGGGTACCCCCATGGGATCCCCCTTGTCACCAGTGATAGCCAATATTTTCGTGGAGAAATTTGAATCAGACGCCATCCAGACTTCCACCCTCAGACCTTCCCTGTGGAAGAGATATGTGGATGACACTTTCGTCATTTGGCCACATGGCCTCCCAGCTCTGAACCTCTTCCTACACCACATCAATTCCAGACATCCCGCCATCAAATTCACCATGGAAGTGGAGAAAGATGGCAAGCTACCATTCTTAGATGTTCTGTTTGAGAGGAGACCTGATCGCTCATTGGGGCATTATGTCTACAGGAAACCCACCCACACAGATTCCTACTTGAAACCTGATTCCCACCACTACCCAGCCCAAAAGAATTATCTCATCAAAACTTTATACCATAGGGCTCATTGCATTTCGGACCAACACCACCTGACCAGTGAATTAAAACATGTACACCTGGCCTTCAAAAGGAATGGATACTCTGACTGTACCATCCGCCAAGCTGTTTCTCCCTCCATACAGAAACAACCACTTGATACTCCGGTCAAAACCATCACACTACCATATATAGCAGGCGTTACTTAAAAGATTTCCATAATTCTAAACAAACACAAGATCCAGGTCCGGTTCAATACAGTACACAAAATTCGTGATCTGATCCCATCCATGAAGGATGTCATTCCTGACTTACAGTACCCCGGGGTTTACAAATTGAGTTGTACCTGCGGTGATTGCTATATCGGAGAGACAAAGCGACATGTCTCTGACCGAATTCGCGAGCACAAATCAGATTTGAAACACGGCAAAACTAATTCTTCTGCCGTAGCTGATCATTGTTACGACGCTGTGGGTGATCACGATATAATTTTCTCCGATACCAAGGTTATTTGCAAACCCACGGGTTTTTATCAAGAGATTTGTTCACGAGGCAATTCAGATCTACAAACACAGACACAATTTCAACCGAGAAGATGGTTTCAAATTAAGCAACCATTGGAAAGATGTTCTAAACCGAACCAAACATTAAACTAATTTTCAATGGTACAGTATATTTTTCAAGTAGTGGTACCCAAAACTTTCGCAGCTCTTAAATTCCCTTTTCACACCATCAATAGGTAAACTCTCCCTCCCCCCCCTGCACTAACCGGCATGTGCACCCGCATGTACACCACCTCTATGCTAAGTCGGCCAATCAAATGCTAATTTTTATGCTAATTCCTTTGTCAAGGCACCTTGTTTCCTCGCACACAGCTTAAAGGTCGCGGTCTGAGCGTGGCTGTGTTTCACTCCAGCGCTGTCCTCGAGACAGCCTGATCACTTCACCTGATGAAGGCCGCTTGTGTTGTGGCCGAAACGTCGTGATTTTTGTTGTTTTATTTTTTACCTGCGTGACTTTACAGAATAGAACCAAAGAGTATGGATCCTTGCAGTCACGAAAGCTTTAAATCTAGAAGTGTTTTTCCAATTGTGAGACTTTCCCCCACTATTGCAATGTGTAATTCCCACAACTACATTGACAGTAACAGCATATGAGCACCACCTAAATGCTCATTTGAGCAGGAAATCACTTTGACTTTATTGAAGTTTTAATATGTTTACACTTGTTTTAAATACCTCATATGCTGAATGCCAATGTGCTTTGTTTTTGGAAGCCTGACTCAGATGTTGGAGGATGTCATGAACTCTCCTGAAAAGCTACGGTGTGCTATGGCACACAGCATGCAATCAGCGCAACCGGAATTGCCTGAAGAGACTGCTCACAGAGCATGCTGCCTCAAGCCGGAGCCTAGGCATTTCCAGCCCGGCAGCTCAGAAACCTCCGTCACCCACGGCGGTATAGCCGCTGGGAGAAGAGAGCCGTTAATTCAGCAGGTCAGATTTCTTGCACAGCTCTCGGCCACCCGTTCTTCCTTTTGCTTGTCTTCGCCCATCCCCTCCCTCACCACTCTCATCCCTCCCAATGTTCTGTCACAGTCATCTGCTTTTGTGGCTCATAATGTTTGTGAAGGGGAGGCTGAGGTAGTAAAAACAAACATCACGTAACTCGAAAGCAATTCAACATTCTCAATGCTTCGAGGGTGACAGGGCGATGGCGCAGTGATAACACTCGTGCCTCGCAGCAAGGATCTGAGTTTTTATTCCCGACCCGGGTGCCTTTCTGTGTGGCGTTTGTATGTTCTCCCCTTGTACTGCATGGATTTTCTCTGGGTTCTCCGGTTTCCTCCCATAGCTTAAATAAAAACATAGTCATTGGTGTTAGGCAAGCATCCCAATGTTGCAGGACCTTTCTGAAAGAGTCTTGAGACTCATTGAGGCATTGCTGGATAAATACAGGCAATAACAAACTGAAAAGATGGTCATGTTTGCAACCGACGCAAACAAAATGGAGGTTTTACAAAGTTTCCACACACAGGTGGTATTACTTGGCATGTGTTCTGCAGTGCGTATGTGACACCGCATATTTGAGGTGGCGCTACGCATTGTAGATTTGGCACCATTTTTATAGCACAAGGCTCTCGTTAAGGAAGGCGCTGTGTTTCACCGATGGCTAGAGTCGCCAGTAGTATTGTAGTCGGGGAGCTAAGTTGCTATGTGTAATCAGAATTATTATACCCAAAGGTTGCATCAGTTTAAATAAAATTTATCTTGCCAAGAAAATAAGTTTCATTAAGTTGTGAAGCATTTACTTGCCTTTAATCTGCCCACTTGGCTCAGTGGCAAAGCGAGTGGCTCACAATTGGAAGGACACGAGTTCAAATACATGTTGTGGGTTGAATAAGCCCATAAAACCTCTGGGTCAATAAAATGAGCACCATGTTTTTGGAAAGTCAAAAGTGGTTGTCCATGAGAATAAGGAAATTCCACCATTTGCTCAGGGCTTTAAATGGGAGCTTTGAGGCACCAATGCCTCAAAGCTCATTTGAGCGAGAAATTATTCTGATATTTTTTTGGACTTACCTTTTTTAAACTATTCTTATTTTTCGATTTAACTTTCGTGACTGCAATGATTAATCTTATTTGGTTCTTTCGGTAAAGTCACGTAGAATGAGAATAAAATAATAAATTAATAAAATAAAATAACACAATAAAATTCTCACGACGTTTCGGCCACAACACAAGTGACCTTCAACAGGTGAAGGGACGAGACTGTCTCGAGGACAGCGATGGAGCGAACACAGCCAAGCTCTGACCGCGACCTTTAAGCTGTGTGAGAAGAAACAGAGCGCCTTGACAAAGGAATTAGCATAAAAATTAGCATTTAATTGGCGGACTTAGCATGATGAACGGTGTAGAGGGGGTGAACATGTGCAGACAGGCGAGGGGGGGAGGGGGAGTTTGTATATTGATGGTGTGAAAAGGGAATTTAAGCTGCTGCGAAAGTTTGGGATACCACTACTTGAAAAAATATACTGTACCATTGAAAATTAGTTTAATGTTTGGTTCGGATAATTTAGCATTGAAATAGCTGCGTGATTAGCTTGTGACTGGTCACAGAAATGGCTATGTTAAAGTTAAAGCATACACATCCACAGAGGCACCTAGTACAAATTAAACAGGAGATTTAGCATTGAAATAACTCAGTGATTAGCTTGTGATTGGTCATAGAAATAGCTATGTTGAAGTCAAAGCCTACACATCCACAGAGGCACCTAGTACAAATCAAACAGGAGAATTTATCATTGAAATAACTGAGTGATTAGCTTGTGACTGGTCACAGAAATGGCTATGTTAAAGTCAAAGCCTACACATCCACAGAGCCACCTAGTATAAATCAAACAGGATAATTTAGCATTGAAATAACTGAGGGATTAGCTTGTGACTGGTCATAGAAATGGCTATGTTAAAGTCAAAGCCTACACATCTACAGAGGCACCTAGCACATGGACGTCAAAGGGGCTGCAACAACTCGACTATCATATAGTAAACCGATGTGAAAAAACCTAAGTCTAAATTACATCAATATAATAAACGTACTCAATATATTCAATAAGCTGAGCTATTAACAGTAACTGGGTATACACTACACTATATAATGAATACCATATAGTAAACCAATAAAAACTAAAATATAAATTACCTCAATGTTATCAATAAACTCTATATATTCTCCAATCAGCTAAGCTACCAACAATAAGTCGTTATATATCACAATGCTATATGGCGAAAAAAGGGGTGGATTCTTACCCTCAACTTTAGAACCACGGATAGCTACGAGCCCTGTTCAGACGGACGAGTTCATCCATGGTCGGAACGGAGGAGGGGGAGAGAGACAGCTGCGAGGCACTGTTATACTCCATGTTGTAAACCATACCATTAACCGTGGTGTGAGAGGTATTAAGAGTCAATGCCAGCGAAAGAGCTGCGGTCTGAAGGTCATCGTAAAATACAATTAATTGAGAACCGAAATCGTTTAAAACATCTTTCCAATGGTTACTAAGCCAGAATCCATCTTCTCGGTTGAAATTGTCTCTGTGCTTGTATATGTGAATGGCCTCATGAACGAATTTCTCATGGTAGCCGGTTGGTTTGCAAAGAACCTCCGTCTTGGAGAAGTCAATGTCATGTGAGCCCACTGAATTATAATAGTGATCTGCCACGGCAGAGGAGTTCGTTCTACCGTGTTTCAAGTCTGCTTTATGTTCGCGGATGCAGTCCGAGATATGTCGTTTGGTTTCTCAAATGTAGCTACTACCACAGAGGCACTTTAGTTTGTAAACTCCCGGGCACTGTATGTCGCGAACAGCATCTTTTACAGATGGAACCAGATCACGGATTTTATGTACTGTGTTGAATCGGACCTGGATCTTGTGTTTTTTCAGGATTTTGGAGATCTTTTTAGTGACCCCTGCAATGTAGGGTAAGGTGATGGTTTTGAGTGGCTCCACAAGAGGATCCTTCTTCATGACTGGAGTGATGGCTTTGCGGATTATGTAGTCGGAGTAACCATTAGCCCTGAGAGCCTGGTGTACGTGCTTGAGTTCACTGGTAATGTGTTCCTGGTCGGAAATGCATTGGGCTCTATGGTATAGAGTCTTGATGAGGGAATTCTTCTGGGATGGATGGTGGTGGGAATCCGGTTTCAAGTAAGCATCTGTATGGGTAGCTTTCCTGTAGACAGAGTGGCTCATTGAGCCATCATGTCTCCTTTTAATTAAGACATCCAAAAAGGGTAGTTTGCCATCTTTTTCGACCTTCATAGTAAATCTGATGGCTGGGTGTATGGAATTAATGTGGTCGCGGAATTGGTCTAGAGCAGGCTGGCCATGTGGCCAGATGACAAAGTGTCAACCACGTACCTCTTCCATAAGGTCGGGCGTAGAGTGGCAGTCTGGATGGCGTCAGTTTCAAATTTTTCCATGAATACGTTGGCTACAACCGGAGATAGGGGGGAGCCCATTGGGGTGCCCTTAGTTTGTAGAAAGTTCCATTCCAGGTGAAGTATGTGTTGGTTAAGCAATGTCTCACCAGGGGGGGGGTGCATCAGTATGCAGTCCTTGATGAACCAGGTCTTCAATGATAGCGATGGTGTCAGGTACCGGGACTTTGGTGAACAAGGACACCACATCAAAACTGACAAGCAGGTCGTCTGGGGACAGGGAAATGCCTTTGATTGTCGATACCAGGTGAGTAGAATTTAGTACCGCAGAGGTGTTTTTTCCAGTGAAAGGTCGCAGTATATCAGCAAGAAAACGTGCCAGTTTATAGGTGGGGGAGTTGATAGTAGAGACGATGGGACGAAGGGGTGTATCTTCTTTGCGTATCTTTGGAAGGCCATATAATCTTGGTGGTCTGGCAGCAGAGGGTTTCAACGAGAACTGTCTGGTCTGATCAATTAATGCTGTTGAATCAGAGATGATTTTGTTCGTTTTGGTAACCAGGCTGTTGGTGGGATCTCTTTTTATTTTTGTATAGCTGCCATCGTTGAGTAGTTCTTGAATTTTGTTGTTATATTCTGTTTTGTCCATGATGACAGTGGCATTGCCCTTGTCGGCTGAGAGGACGACAATATCATCTATATTTTTTAATTGAGACAATTCAAAGCGTTCATCTTTGCTGATGTTGCTAGGTGGCAACTTAGCATTTTTGAGGGTTGCAGCGATTTCAGATCTTGCTACGTCTGCAGAGACGTGACTCAAGCCCTTGAGTGCAACGTCAACATGGGGAATGATATTTTTAACCGGTATGTGTCTCGGTGTGACAGCAAAGTTTAGACTTTTAGCTAAACCGGATTTCAGACCATCAGAAATGGAACTGTTACTGCGATTAATTACGACTTTGTTGACGTCTATCTTTTCGGTATATGGATCCGATTTTTTGTTGGAGAGGTGATTGAATTTGGAAATCAAATTGTCCCTACATTTGTCGTCGCATCGTCTCTACTATCAACTCTCCCCACCTATAAACTGGCACGTTTTCTTGCTGATATACTGCGACCTTTCACTGGAAAAACCACCTCTGCGGTACTAAATTCTACTCACCTGGTATCGACAATCAAAGGCATTTCCCTGTCCCCAGATGACCTGCTTGTCAGTTTTGATGTGGTGTCCTTGTTCACCAAAGTCCCGGTACCTGACTCCATCGCTATCATTGAAGACCTGGTTCATCAAGGACTGCATACTGATGTACCTCCCCCTGGTGAGACATTGCTTAACCAACACATACTTTACCTGGAATGGAACTTTCTACAAACAAACTGAGGGCACCCCAATGGGCTCCCCCCTATCTCCGGTTGTAGCCAACGTATTCAAGGAAACATTTGAAACTGACGCCATCCAGACTGCCACTCTGCGCCCAACCTTATGGAAGAGGTACGTGGATGACACTTTTGTCATCTGGCCACATGGCCGGCCTGCTCTAGACCAATTCTTCGACCACATCAATTCCATACACCCAGCCATCAGATTTACCATGGAAGTCGAAATAGATGGCAAGATACCTTTTTTGGATGTCCTAATTAAAAAGAGACCTGATGGTTCAATGAGCCACTCTGTCTACAGGAAAGCTACCCATACGGATGCTTATCTGAAACCGGATTCCCACCACCATCCATCACAGAAGAATTCTCTCATCAAGACTCTGTATCATAGAGCCCAATGCATATCCGACCAGGAACACATAAGCAGTGAACTCAAGCACGTACACCAAGCTCTTAGGGCTAATGGTTACTCCGACTATACAATCCGCAAAGCTATCACTCAAACCATGAAGAAGAACCCTCTTGAGGAGCCTTTCAAAACCATCACTTTACCCTACATTGCTGGGATCACAAAAAAGATCTCCAAAATCTTGAATAAACACAAGATCCAGGTCCGTTTCAACACATTACATAAAATCCGTGATCTGGTTCCGTCTGTAAAAGATGTGATTCCGGACATACAATACCCTGGTGTCTACAAACTAAGTTGCCTCTGTGGTAGTAGTTACATTGGAGAAACCAAACGCCATATCTCGGACCGCATTCGTGAACATAAAGCAGACCTTAAACACGGTAGGACCAACACCTCGGCCGTAGCAGATCATTGTTCTAATTCAGTAGGCTCACATGCCATTGACTTTTCCAAGACGGAGGTTCTTTGTAAGCCATCTGGCTTCCATGAGAGATTCGTTCATGAGGCTATCCACATATACAAACACAGAGACAATTTCAACCGAGAAGATGGATTCTATCTTAGCAATCATTGGAAAGATTTGATAAATCATTTCAGTTCTTGATTGATTGTTCACGCTTACAGTGGCTTTCAGACAGCATACATAAAAACAAATTTCGTCTCCCCCCTCCTCTTTTCAAAAAAATAGATGGACTAGTCCTGGCAAACAGCCAATCGTTGCGCGTGACGCAAACGTTATTTTTATATATATAAATAAATAAATATGCCGTTTTCAAAATAAATTTATGCAAACCGACACACCTGATGATGACCGTTTGAGTTATGGTCGAAACGTCGTGAGAATTTTTATTGTTTTATATATATTTTGTTGTTTCTCTTCAACGTGACTTTACCGAAAAAACTAAGAATATAACATTGAGGTAGTTTATATTTTAGTTTTTATTGGTTTACTATATGGTATTCATTATATAGTGTAGTGTATACCCAGTTACTATTAATAGCTCAGCTTATTGAAGAATATATTGAGTACATTTATTATATTGGTGTAATTTAGACTTAGGTTTTTTCTCATCGGTTTACTATATGATAGTCGAGTTGTTGCAGCCCCTTTGGCGTCCATGTACTAGGTGCCTCTGTGGATGTGTAGGCTTTGACTTTAACATAGCCATTTCTGTGACCAGTCACAAGCTAATCACTCAGCTATTTCAATGCTAAATTATCCTGTTTGATTTGTACTAGGTGCCTCTGTGGATGTGTAGGCTTTGACTTTAACATAGCTATTTCTATGACCAGTCACAAGCTAATCACGCAGCTATTTCAATGCTAAATTATCCGAACCAAACATTAAACTAATTTTCAATGGTACAGTATATTTTTTCAAGTAGTGGTATCCCAAACTTTCGCAGCAGCTTAAATTCCCTTTTCACACCATGAATATATAAACTCCCCCTCGCCTATCTGCACATGTTCACCCCCTCTACCCTGTTCATCATGCTAAGTCTGCCAATTAAATGCTAATTTTTATGCTAATTCCTTTGTCAAGGCGCTCTGTTTCTTTTCACACAGCTTAAAGGTCGCGGTCAGAGCTTGGCTGTGTTCGTTCCATCGCTGTCCTCGAGACAGTCTCGTCCCTTCACCTGATGAAGGCCACTTGTGTTGTGGCCGAAACGTCTTGAGAATTTTATCGTGTTATTTTATTAATTTATTATTTTATTCTCATTCTACGTGACTTTACCCAAATAACCAAAGAAGATGTATTCTTATTTTACCAGGTAAAGCCCACTAAGCTATACAGCTTCTTTCAGAATAGATCTTGCCACAAATGATAGCTCAACGAAGTGGTTTAACACGTGGAAATTTAAAGCAGCCAAATAACCTAAACACATATCTAAATGTGGAGGGAAATACTTCAGGAGCCGGAGAAAAATCCACGCCACAATGGGGAAAACATGCAAATTCCAAATATACAGGCATCAGGGTTGGGATCGAACCCATGTACTCCTGCATACCAGGCGAGGGAGTTAACATCTCGTCACTGTGGTGCCCCTACCTGTATTCATCTTGAAAATAATTATGTTATGATTAACATAGCCCTCTTGTTGTTATGTGCAGTGGTTGGCGAGACTGTCAAGAGCGAAAGATAATGTGACTCGGGCTTTGTCCCTCGCCATTGACAAGGTGAGTTTATGCTTGAGCCAGTGTAGGTGAAATTACTCACACATCTGGTATCCACACTTCCCACATACTGCAGTAGTTTCACAGTAAGGCGTGATGTTATGCTATTTGAACCAATTTAAATATTTTTATGTACATTTAGCAAATTTAGACCCTGACGCTGGAAAGCAATGGCCGATTATTTTGAAATGACGGTACGGGATTTTTAATGTATGCTGTGTAGCAAATGGCACATATTTTGACGGTTAATTCACCCAAAGTATTAACCAGGGCGGCTGCTGAAACCGGACCAAAAGTCTCCGCAACAAGTGGCAAACGCACTGCCGCTGGCCCATGTTTCCACTGCACTACGCTACCAGGATGTGAACACGTGGAAATTAAGACCATACTTAATAGAATTGGTAACGGTGCATGACCCTCATGAAGGGAGTGTAAATCTGTGCACGCGGCATGTCGGGGCTCGCAGTGCGTAGAGCCCCGGTGGGTCTTCCACGTGCTCGCTGGGCTGCACTGGCGTGGAGAGGGGAAGGCGGTACGGGCGGCCGCGTGCTTGCAGGCCGCAGTGCGTTTGGCTCCCCAGGGCGCACGGCACGTGCCGCTTACGGACCACGCAGCCCTTGCGCTGCACCTGAGCCAGCTGACGGAGGCCGCCCTCCTTCTAAACCACTCACTCAACCACACTGCCGACCAGGTAAGCCTCACCACCGCAAAACCATGCCGTCATTTGCCGCTAAGTGGTGAAGACCTCATCGCAGTGCCTGTGCCAGGCTAATTGCACTTTGAGGCTGTCACGTCAAGTGTGGAAGGCTCTGGCAGGTCATGGGACAGACCCAGGCGCTATGCTTTGAGAGGACTACCAAATACACCAAATGTCGCCCCAATTGTGCCACCTCACTGTGTTTTAGCTGCCTAGCACTTGTTTCATTTTTTTGTCCGTTGCTCCACCGCTCTTTATTGTTATTGGAGGGTAACTGCCTCCAACTGCCCAGTAGCATTCTTCATACGCCTCCTCCACAGAGGCAGATCTTGGAGGACACTTGGGAAGAAAGCTGCTGAGCTCGCCACACACGCACACGCATATGGAAATGACGGCATGTACTGGACCTGTATTTACTCAAACAATGATTGGCTAAGACATGCAAGGTTCCTTTGAAATAAAACTGTCTCGATTTCTAAATTTGATTACTGAAGTTGTTGTGTTTGGGTGTGAAGGCCGCGGCTTTTCTGGTGCTGGGCAACGTGTTGCTGGATGATCGGAAGGCAGGTGGAGCGGTGGAAGCGTTTGACCGAGCACTGCAGCTGAACCAGCACTGTGACCTCTGCGGACAGGGCCTGCTCCGAGCCCGTTGCCTGCAGCTATACCCAACCCTGTACAAGATCACCACGCTGTCACGAACCGGTAAAACCTCAACTCTGACCCAGTGAGCCTCGCTCGCTCTAGCTCAATCATATATAATTATCAAAGTAAATTAGCTGATAATACATCTCCTTCCTCTATCTATCTGCATATAAGAAATAAAAGTATATTTTACCACATGGCCAGAGAGTATGTTTATTCAGCAGCATTGAATTACTACAAGTAAACTCTTCACCAGTTATGAGATTGAGTGTGTCATCAGCAAAGTCGGTCTCATCAGAGTACTTATGAACAACATCGATTAGTTGCGAGTCCTAGTTCGATGGAAAACTATAGAATACACAACACAAAATAATTACTATCATTGTAGAGGATATCATTCACAAATAATATAAGCAGATAATCTGCCTCCTTCCCATATTTATTCTGATAAGATCACCATGCCGTCATGTACTGGCAACACCCCAACTGACTCAGCGAGCCCCCTCCCTCCATCTAACTCTGGAGCACGTTGTCTATATACCATCGTGTTGTCTAGTGTGTGGGGATTGACGAGCGCGTAGTAAGTGACGAGTGTGCCGACTGTTTCCAGGGAATTGCAGTGAGCAGAAAGAGATCCCTGCAACACACAGCACACGAGACATTGGGGCGGCACTTCCTTCTTCCCTCGTTCAGCATGGAAGGACAGAACAAGGTTTGTCTTCTGTTAACAATCCCGTTACAGGTTTCACAAACATCTTAACGGTAATCAGTCTGAGTGTTGTTCAAAATTATACAGAACTACGTAACACAATGTTATTGTATAGCTTCACCAGTGGTACGAGTTATCAGCAGCACATGTCTATGTTGTACTCACTATGGACAATTGCAGTTGTGTCTGCATCGTTTAACTATTGGACAGCCCTGCCTATATGTGGGTGTTCAATATAAACTTCAATGTTTCAACCAGATACTACTCCCCACTCACCACTCATATGACAGTCACCTGACACACCACTCTCTACCCCCTTCAGACTCGCTCCTTACCAGATACCATGACCTGACACTCGCTGCACCGACACTCGCCACACCTTCATTGAGTTTTCTGTATTGGGAAGAATAACTGGTGCATTTGTTGAGTGATTGAAGCATTGGGTGAGTGAGTGGTGAACTGTGCATGTAGAATGTGAATAAATGGTAGCTGTATGATGTGAATGAGTGGTGGCTATATGGTGTGAATGAGTGGTGGATGTATTGTTTGAGCAAGCTTATAATGTGTTGTAGGTGCTGGAAGCCAAAATGGCACAGGGGAGGAGGTCCACTTGAAGGAGGAGCAAAAGCCAGAATCAGAGGAGGTGGATGAGGTGGGGAAACTCAAAGAAGATGAGCCACAGCAAGACCTTGAGGCCGAAATGAAATCTGACAATTGGAAAACAAGCTTAGATATGCAGCCAAGTCAGAAGGAGAGGCTCTTCAAAGTGGAAGGGAAGGAGGGCATCATTGCAGGGCCGGAACTCACTCGGAAGGAGACGCAAGGCTTGGAAGAAGAGGCAAAATCCTCCACACTGGACTCGACTGACGGAAGTACAGAGCAGCGCGGCGCTGACGACTCCATGGTGGAGGAGCCGCGGTCGGCACTGGGCGACGTCTTGTCCACTGTGTGGTCAGAGAGCGGTTGGTTCGAGGGAGCGCTCGAGGTCAAAGGGCAGCGGGTGGACTTGCAGGGGCTACGCATGGTTGCTGGCGACTCACAGGCCGGGCCCTGCTTTGGGGACTGTCGCGATGGAGATGAAGATGAGTGGGTAAGCACCTTACAACAGTGATATTTGATTTTTGCCAGTACAGTTCTCAAGCCTTGTAACGCTTTTCCTTTGCTAATAAGATGCTCAGAATCATTAGATATATTAAGTCTGTTTTGAAAAACTCAACTCTTTAAACGTGCCTTTACCCCCCGAATTCTGGCCATTTACCCCCATCCTGTTTATTTCCTGCTCGTCTTACATGGCGTATTGGTATCCACGGATGAAATGCGGCTTATAAATTAAAATTATAACTATAAAGTTACGATGTTGAATATATAACGTGCACTATTCTTGTTCGCTCCCAGAGAGAGAGAATGATTCAGAGGTGCGGGAAACCACAAATTAGTGGGAAGGCAGCCTGAATCAACACCAATAATTGTTCAAGCTATGTGGTCCTAGTTTAACACGTAGGCTTTTGCGAACAATATCATCCATAATAGAGGTTTTTTGGTTAGATCGCGTAAATATATAAATGTGTCGTTAAACCCGCCACCACCCGACACAGTCGTCTAGTAAGGGTTACATCATGGGACCTCCTTTGCCAGTACCAAAATATCAGAATAGGTTTTCCCCTTTTTTCTGGCAACAAACAGGTGTTAAGATGTTAAAACACCAAACTGAAACTTTTTACAAGGAATCATGTCTGCATTAACCACAATACTTGTGGTCAGAATGCAAACAAAAAAAAATACTCTGATAATATATGCATTGTTTCTAATGAGAGCTCTCATTACTCTGATAGTGCTTGTCTTTGTGCTGTACGCCTTTTGGCGTCCTCTGGTCTAACACCGTTTGAGACGAGGCTTAAAAGAAAGCTGTCTAAGGTGTGGACCAATCAGTTTCAAAGACTGCATATATTATCAGTGTTTTTGTTTGCATTCCGACCACAAGTATTGTGGTTAATGCAGACATGATTCCTTGTAAAAGGTTTCAGTTTGGTGTTTTAACATCTTAACACCTGTTTGTTGCCAGAAAAAAGGGGAAAACCTATTCTCATAGTAAGGGTTGGTATGTAAACAGAACATGCCAAATGGTCACTAGTACAGCACACCGGTGTGTTGGAGAACCAAGCCACAACATTTACAATCTGAGTACGACGTTTCGCCAGTAATTACAACTAGCTTCATCAGGCAACAGCCAGATTTGTGGAAAAGTCCACCTGTTTCGTTTCTTATATAGAGGCATAGATGTGGTGACCACACTTTTGCGCTCTTGCGCAAGTGGGGGGGGATTATTGAGTCAGCGTACATTATGCATGCGCATTATGTGAGCCCATTGATATTTTCCTTCCTGTCCATTGTGTGTAATTAGCCGTACCAACGGTACCATATTTTCCCGTATATAACCCGCGGGGTATACCACTTTTTACAAACAAAACATATGGAGGTGCAGGCTATCCCAAAAATATTTTACACGTGTGACATGTCATAACTCGTAAAATGTTTTCATGGTTGGACTATCCACTATGCAACACTTATGTTTGACTAAAGCACTGCTGAATAAACCACTAACACTAAAATTGCACGTGTTATCACGTTTTAAATGGTTCGAATTGTTTGTACAATGTTTACATTGCGCAATGGGAAGGGGCTTAACAAGCATCTACCAGACGCGGAATCATAATTGCTGAGTCCCTTAGGCCGCGGCTATTGGCTGAGGACTATACAGTCCCGACCATGAGCTTTGTTTCAAACTTCCAATGGCTTTGTTGCCAGGAGGCAATGGCGTTACTGTACTGCGCAATGCACAATCTACCAGTGCTAAAACTGTACAGGGGTAACTACTGGTCCAGTAGCTGTAATATGATGAGGTCGAATGCTGGTAAGCCTAACAGTACACTTACTTATCTACCAGTTATGTGTTACTTATTTATTGGATATTTACTTTTGTTACTTATTTACTGTTTTAAGGTTAGTTTGTTTTCTTTGTGCACGTCATGATTTAATGTTAACAATAGTTCAATGTATTACAAATGTAAACTTTGTATTAATATGATAGAATTTATCTGCGGTAACTACGTTAAAGATATGAATGCATGCGGGGTATATGGAGGTGCGGGCTTTCTGAAATTTGTTTTACACAAAACGCTATTTTTGCGGGGTATATGCGTCTACGGGTTATATGCGTATGCGGGCTATATACGGGAAAATATGGTAATCCCTATTGAAATATGGTGGCCTATGTAGGCATGTATTTAAACAATGTATTATTTGATGATTCGCTTCCACGCAGCAGTAAGTCGGTAGCTATCGAACGGTTTAAATTATTTTTCTTTCTTTCAATTTCGATAGATTTTCTAATTAGTCTTGGCCAGTAGTAGCTTTGTTTTGCACAGAACTTCACCATCAAAATCAATTGAGTATCGAATTGTAAATGTTGTCGGTTTACTCTCCATCACACCGGTGTGCTGTACTAGTAACGAATTGGCATGTTCTGTTTACATGACAAACCTTACTAATTGGCTGTGTCAGGTGGTGGCGGATGTAATGACACATTTATATGTACGCGATCTAACCCAAAAAACCTCTCATTTGCATTAAACTAACGCACCCTAGTGGCGGTGCTTCTGATAGGTTTCTTTTTAATTACAGATAAACAGGTATTTTTTTTTAATTTCGATTTAAAGCTTTCATGACTGCAAGGATTCATCTTTCCTGGTTCTTTCGGTAAAGTCACGTAGAATGAGAATAAAACAATAAAACAAAATAAGACAATAAAAGTCTCACGACGTTTCGGCCACAACACAAGTAGCCTTCTTCAGGTGAAGGAACAGAGCTGTCGGGACGACAGCGCTTCAATGAACGCTGCTAAGATTCGCAGTGTCTTTTAAGCTAGGTGGGAGAAGTAAAGCGCCTTGACAAAGGAGTTTACATATCAAACAGGAGAATTTAGCATTGAAATGGCTGTGTTAAAGTGTTGGATCAGCAGGGTGCTAAAGTCAGAAATTAGCATGTAACTGGGAGATTAGCATGATGTTAATGTGAGGGATTAGCATGTGACTGGTCACGGAAATAGTTATGTTAAAGTCAAAGTTTACATATCAACAGAGGAATTTAGTATATGGATGCTAAAGGACTGCAACTACCCAACTATCATACAATAAACCAATGTGAAAAAACTAAGCATAAACTACATCAATATGATAAATCTACTCAATATATTCTTCAATAAGCTGAGCTATAAACCTAAAGTAACTGGGTATACACTACACTATATAATGAATACCATGTAGTAAACTAATAAAAAACTAAAATATAAACTACATCAGTGTTATCAATAAACTATATATTCTCCAATCAGCTGAGCGCTTCAATGAACGCTGCTAAGATTCGCAGCGTCTTTTAGGCTAGGTGGGAGAGGTAAAGCGCCTTGACAAAGGAGTTTACATATCAAACAGGAGAATTTAGCATTGAAATAGCTGTGATAAAGTGTTGGATCAGCAGGGTGTTAAAGTCAGAAATTGGCATGTAACTGGGAGATTAGCATGATGTTAATGTGAGGGATTAGCATGTGACTGGTCACGGAAATAGCTATGTTAAAGTCAAAGTTTACATATCAACAGAGGCATTTAGTATATGGACGCTCAACTACCCAACTATCATACAATAAACCGATGTGAAAAAAATAAGTATAAACTACATCAATATAATAAATGTACTCAAAATCCTGAACAAACACAAGATCCAGGTCCGATTCAACATTACATAAAATCCGTGATCTGGTTCCATCTGTAAAAGATGCTGTTCCAGACATACAGTACCTGGACGTTTACAAACTAAAGTGCCTATGTGGTAGCAGCTACATTGGAGAAACCAAACGACATATCTCGGACCGCATCCGCGAACATAAAGCAGACTTGAAACACGGTAGGACGAACTCCTCTGCCGTGCCAGATCACTGTTATAATTCAGTGGGCTCACATGACATTGACTTCTCCAAGACGGAGGTTATTTGCAAGCCAACCGGCTACCATGCGAGATTCGTTCATGAGGCCATCCACATATACAAGCACAGAGACAATTTCAACCGAGAAGATGGATTCTGGCTTAGTAACCTTTGAAAAGATGTTTTAAACCATTTCGGTTCTTAATTGTATTTGCGGTGACCTTCAGACCGCAGCCCCTTTCGCTGGCATTACCTCTTAATACCTCTCACACCATGGTTAATGGTATGGTTTATAACATGGAGTATAACAGCACATCGTGGCTGTTTCTCCTCCGTTCCAAGCATAGATGGACTCGTCCGTCTGAACAGCTCGTCGCTGTCCGTGGTGCTAACGTTGAAAAGAAAAACCCGCCACCCATTTTTTCGCCATATGGCATTGTAATGTATAACAACTTATTGTTAGTAGCTCAGCTAATTGGTGAGTATATAGAGTTTATTGATAACATTGATGTAGTTTATATTTTAGTTTTTTATTAGTTTACTATATGGTATTCAGTATATAGTGTAGTGTATACCCAGTTACTTTATGTTAATAGCTCAACTTATTGAAGAATATATTGAATACATTTATTATATTGATGTAGTTTATACTTAGTTTTTTCACATCGGTTTATTGTATGATAGTTGGGTAGTTGCAGTCCTTTAGCGTCCATATACTAAATGCCTCTGTTGATATGTAAACTTTGACTTTAACATAGCTATTTCCGTGACCAGTCACATGCTAATCCCTCACATTAACATCATGCTAATCTCCCAGTTACATGCCAATTTCTGACTTTAACACCCTGCTGATCCAACACTTTAACACAGCTATTTCAATGCTAAATTATCCTGTTTGATATGTAAACTCCTTTGTCTAGGCACTTTACTTCTCCCACCTAGCTTAAAAGACGCTGCAAATCTTAGCAGCGTTCATTGAAGCGCTGTCGTCCCGACAGTTCTGTTCCTTTACCTGAAGAAGGCTTACTTGTGTTGTGGCCGAAACGTCGTGAGAATTTAATTTTCTTATTTTGTTTTATTGTTTTATTCTCATTCTACGTGACTTTACCAAAAGAACCAAGAAGAGGAATGTTTTATGTATGCGTGGGAATGGCTTATCCGATAATGCAAGACTTGCTCCATTCTTCTTTGACGGCTACGCATCTTTGCCTTGTGGCATTGAATCGTGATCATTGGTTCCTTCCATTGTTATTTGTTAAATGAAGTCTGGAATTGGCCTGTAAACACACTGTACTGGTGGTAAAAGGAGCGGGGTTTGAGCACGATATTGTACAGTGATACGCTCTCCAGATACCAATGGATCTGTTAGAGAAGCCCGGAGGGATCTTCTACAACATCTGGCTTGCATACCAGACCTAGTTCCTTTGGATCTTCATCTCTTTGACTCTGCACAGTCATAGCTGAAGCACAAACCAAACAACTTCTCTGCTGCTGCCATTAGGTAGCAACTGGGCTGCTGGCACACATTTACTCAGAGGGAGGCTGCTATGTGAATGCTAACATGTTCTCCGAATAATAACTTTAGCCTCTCATTGAGGCACCTTTATGATTACTTTAAGGCAATGTTGGTGACTCGACGTGGATGTTGCTTGGCTGTTGTTGTGCAGATAACTGTGCAAGTAAAGCAATCGCGGAAACAGAAGGAGGCCTGGGGAGACTTTGGTCTAATTCCGAAGAGAGAGGGAGGTCCCATGGAAGAGGCAGAGAGAGAGCAGTGGGTGTTTCCTCCAGCGCAGAAGGATTCTGAACCCCAGCTTAGTGGCCCCGTAAAAACCTCTGCACCTCCAGGTGAAACGCGGTGTCCCTTTTGACTGATGATTATGCATTTACACCACATCACCTTCATTTGGTCGCAAAAAACCTTCTCACTGAGGCATAGTTGTGGACCTGAATTTCTTAAGTGACTTGAGGTGGCTTTTACCTTACACTTTTGAAAATGTTGGAAGGTAAGATGGGCCATTAAATTATGTGGTCACCCTGTGACTGATCAACTACAATGGCTGCTACTCCTCTGCCGGTCTCTGTCCATTTATCATGACCATTTGATGGAAGATGTTTGTGAAAAGGAATTGTAAATGTGTTGTCTCTGGAATCAGCTCTCCAGAAAGGACATTGCATCCCGCAGAATGGTGATAAAGGGCATCCAATCAGCAAAGAGCAGCAACCAGGTACTCAAAGAGGACGTGCTTAATTATTATTATCATTGTGATTACGCTTGTTTACCAATCAGTCTCGTTTTTAGAAAGGTCCTGCTAAGTGTTTCACAGGAAAGGGGCGATGATTGCTGTGTTTATGAATAAAGTAATTTGCTAGTGTTTTATAAAAAAACATTGGAACATGACGCCGGCACATAGTGGTCTATTTCTCTTTAAATAACATCATGGGATCTTTAACGTCCACTGTGAGTGAAGCAGATGGCTTGTAGTATTTCATGGTTAATAAGCACCACAGTATTTACCAGGGTGGCTCGCCGAATCCAAAACCGCATACTCCTTCAACAAGCGGTGAACATGCTATCACTGGGCCATGTGACCTGCCCATTCGTGTTAATGGTTGGCTACGTACAGTGCTAAAGACGTACATAAGTATAGAATGCGAAGTGTGATTGAGAATTTCTCGGAAACCGTTTCCACAGCTGCCTTTAGGTGTGTGCGTGCTGTCGCAATGGTGTGTGTGCAGAAGCAGCCAAGAACTTTGCGAACCTAGGCTGGCCCAGCACCAAGGAATGCATCCGAGTTCGACGTCTCAACCCCAACATCCACCCTTCCACTTGGGTTCCCCTCACTCTCAAGAACATCCGGTGAATTGATCCTGCTCTGGTTTTATATGCTGACACCCTGCTTTACCCTGCGATGTACGATTTATTTTAAAAGCAGTTGCTAACCAATTGATGAGAGGGCTAATTGAACCTTATGGCGGGACTCCGGGGTCCTGAATAAACGGAAGTCAAAAGCAAATCTAATTAATTAATTATTTCCCCCGACTCCGTCCCACCGTGCACATAAACGCCGCGAACCACCTGGCGCGGATCATTCTGTTGTCATGTCGTCCAAGTGCAGCGAGGACGAATGCGCATAAGAAACAAAACTTTTTAACTTTGATTAGCTCGTAGTGTAGAGCTCATCGAGAGGAATAGATTGCCGTATTGTTCGCCTTCAACAGACATAAAATGACGTCGCAACGCAGTTTATGCGAGAGCCGGGGGCTTATGAGGTCCCGCCATAAGGTTCAATTGGTGAGAGGATCAATATGTCAAGTGGCGAGCAATAAACAGTAATAAAGGTTGACACATGTCTGAATAGAGCATGGTTATAAGACATAATGGAACAGAATCCTGAAGTGCGAGGAAAGAAACCGAAAGAGAAGCGTTGTTACCTGCATTGTGGCGAGTGGGTGATTGAGTGAATAAGTGTGTTGTTTTCTTTGGTTCTTTCGGTAAAGTCACGTAGAATGAGAATAAAATAATAAATTAATAAAATAACACGATAAAATTCTCACGATGTTTTGGCCACAACACAAGTGGCCTTCATCAGGTGAAGAGACGAGACTGTCTCGAGGACAGTGATGGAGCGAACACAGCCAAGCTCTGACCGCGACCTTTAAGCTGTGTGAAAAGAAACAGAGCGCCTTGACAAAGGAATTAGCATAAAAATTAGCATTTAATTGGTGGACTTAGCATGATGAACAGGGTAGAGGGGGTGAACATGTGCAGACAGGCGAGGGGGAGTTTACATATTGATGGTGTGAAAAGGGAATTTAAGCTGCTGCGAAAGTTTGGGATACCACTACTTGAAAAAATATACTGTACCATTGAAAATTAGTTTAATGTTTGGTTCGGATAATTTAGCATTGAAATAGCTGCGTGATTAGCTTGTGACTGGTCATAGAAATAGCTATGTTAAAGTCAAAGCCTACACATCCACAGAGGCACCTAGTACAAATCAAACAGGATAATTTAGCATTGAAATAGCTCAGTGATTAGCTTGTGACTGGTCACAGAAATGGCTATGTTAAAGTCAAAGCCTACACATCCACAGAGGCACCTAGTACATGGACGCCAAAGGGGCTGCAACAACTCGACTATCATATAATAAACCGATGTGAAAAAGCCTAAGTCTAAATTACATCAATATAATAAATGTACTCAATATATTCTTCAATAAGCTGAGCTATTAACAGTAACTGGGTATACACTACACTATATAATGGATACCATATAGTAAACCAATAAAAACTAAAATATAAACTACCTCAATGTTATCAATAAACTCTATATATTATCCACTCAGCTAAGCTACCAACAATAAGTCGTTATATATCACAATGCTATATGGCTAAAAAATGGGTGGATTCTTACCCTCAACTTTAGAACCACAGATAGCTACGAGCCCCGTTCAGACGGACGAGTTCATCCATGGTGGGAACGGAGGAGGGGGAGAGAGACAGCTGCGAGGCGCTGTTATACTCCATGTTGTAAACCATACCATTAACCCTGGTGTGAGAGGTATTAAGAGTCAATGCCAGCGAAAGAGCTGCGGTCTGAAGTTCATCGTAAAATACAATTAATTAAGAACGGAAATGGTTTAAAACATCTTTCCAATGGTTACTAAGCCAGAATCCATCTTCTCGGTTGAAATTGTCTCTGTGCTTGTATATGTGAATGGCCTCATGAACGAATCTCTCATGGTAGCCGGTTGGTTTGCAAAGAACCTCCGTCTTGGAGAAGTCAATGTCATGTGAGCCCACTGAATTATAACAGTGATCTGCCACGGCAGAGGAGTTCGTTCTACCGTGTTTCAAGTCTGCTTTATGTTCGCGGATGCGGTCTGAGATATGTCGTTTGGTTTCTCCAATGTAGCTACTACCACAGAGGCACTTTAGTTTGTAAACGCCCGGGTACTGTATGTCTGGAACAGCATCTTTTACAGATGGAACTAGATCACGGATTTTATGTACTGTGTTGAATCGGACCTGGATCTTGTATTTAGTCAGGATTTTGGAGATCTTTTTAGTGACCCCTGCAATGTAGGGTAAGGTGATGGTTTTGAGTGGCTCCACAAGAGGATCCTTCTTCATGACTGGAGTGATGGCTTTGCGGATTGTGTAGTCGGAGTAACCATTAGCCCTGAGAGCCTGGTGTACGTGCTTGAGTTCACTGGTAATGTGTTCCTGGTCGGAAATGCTTTGGGCTCTATGGTATAGAGTCTTGATGAGGGGAGTTCTTCTGGGATGGATGGTGGTGGGAATCCGGTTTCAAGTAAGCATCTGTATGGGTAGCTTTCCTGTAGACAGAGTGGCTCATTGAACCATCATGTCTTCTTTTAATTAAGACATCCAAAAAGGGTAGTTTGCCATCTTTTTCGACCTCCATGGTAAATCTGATGCCTGGGTGTATGGAATTGATGTGGTCGCGGAATTGGTCTAGAGCAGGCTGGCCATGCGGCCAGATGACAAAGGTGTCATCCACGTACCTCTTCCATAAGGTCGGGCGTAGAGTGGCAGTCTGGATGGTGTCAGTTTCAAATTTTTCTATGAATACGTTGGCTACAACCGGAGATAGGGGGGAGCCCATTGGGGTGCCCTCAGTTTGTTTGTAGAAAGTTCCATTCCAAGTGAAGTATGTGTTGGTTAAGCAATGTCTCACCAGGGGGGTACATCAGTATGCAGTCCTTAATGAACCAGGTCTTCAATGATAGCGATGGTGTCAGGTACCGGGACTTTGGTGAACAAGGACACCACATCAAAACTGACAAGCAGGTCGTCTGGGGACAGGGAAATGCCTTTGATTGTCGATACCAGGTGAGTAGAATTTAGTACCGCAGAGATGTTTTTTCCAGTGAAAGGTCGCAGTATATCAGCAAGAAAACGTGCCAGTTTATAGGTGGGGGAGTTGATAGTAGAGACGATGGGACGAAGGGGTGTATCTTCTTTGTGTATCTTTGGAAGGCCATATAATCTTGGTGGTCTGGCAGCAGAGGGTTTCAACGAGAACTGTTTGGTCTGATCAATTAATGCTGTTGAATCAGAGATGATTTTGTTCGTTTTGGTAACCTGGCTGTTGGTGGGATCTCTTTTTGATTTTTGTATAGCTGCCATCGTTGAGTAGTTCTTGAATTTTGTTGTTATATTCTGTTTTGTCCATGATGAGAGTGGCATTGCCCTTGTCGGCTGAGAGGACGACAATATCATCTCTCTTTTTTAATTGAGATAATTCAAAGCGTTCGTCTTTGCTGATGTTGCTGGGTGGCAACTTAGCGTTTTTGAGGGTTGCAGCGATTTCAGATCTTGCTACGTCTGCAGAGATGTGACTCAAGCCCTTGAGTGCAACGTCGACATGGGCAATGATATCTTTAACCGGTATGTGTCTCGGTGTGACAGCAAAGTTTAGACCTTTAGCTGAAACGGATTTCAGACCATCAGAAATGGAACTGTTACTGCGATTAATTACGACTTTGTTGACGTCTATCTTTTCGGTGTGTGGATCCGATTTTTTGTTGGAGAGGTGATTGAATTTGGAAATCAAATTGTCCCTACATTTGGTCGACATAGTGGCAGCCGAAGAGGTAGTCATATTGTCTACATGTTCCCAATCCGATGTAGACATTGTTGCTGTAAATGTTAAGTGTGATTTGTAGAGTGTCTTGTCTAACTGATCGAGTTCGGTGCGTGTAAGTCTGATTTTGTCCGAGATAAGAGCGAAGCTAGTTCTAGCTAGAATTCGTTTTGCATTTAAGTTTTCATTCAAGTTTCATTTATTTGGTATAGCCCTGTGAGCCATGCGGCTCTTAAGTCGGCTGCAACCGCAACAAACAAAATTTGAACACAGAACATCTTAAAGCAACAACGCGTAACAGAAACATCCTGGAATAAACCAGCAAATATTCCACGCAAAAAAACATGTTAAAACGCTGTGTGTTAAAATCAATGTGGTGCAAGCCAACAACAACAACCATGAGAAAATTTAGATTAACCATATGTTTTCGAATCACCAAAATAAAGCTGTAAAACAATGTAACAACAGTAATCATAGGAACTGTGAATTTAAATTTAACAATAAACGTTATACATAACACGTACGACAAAAAAACTGCAGCCATAGCTGGCAGCACGACACTCCCAGTGTATGATGTGTGAGTGAGTCAGCAGCAGAGTGAGTGAGTGTATGATGTGCGAGTCAGTGTATGATGTGCGAGTCAGCGTATGAAGAGTGAGTCAGCAGCAGCGTGAGTGAGTGTATGATGTGCGAGTCAGCGTATGAAGAGTGAGTTAGTGAATGATGTGTGAGCGAGTGTATGGTGTGTGAGCGAGTCAGTAGCAGTGTGAGTGAGTGTATGATGTGCGAGTCAGTGTATGATGTGCGAGTCAGCGTATGAAGAGTGAGTCAGTGAATGATGTGTGAGGGAGTATATGATGTGTGAGCGAGTCAGTGGCAGTGTGAGTGAGTGTATGATGTGAGTCAGCGCACGATGTGTTAGTCAGCGCATGATGAGTGAGTCAGTGTATGATGTGCGAGTGAGCCAGCAAACAATGAGTGAACCTGTGTATGATGAGTGAATGGGTCAGTGGTTGTGCGAGTGTATGATGTGTGAGTGAGTAAGCGCATGATGAGCGAGTCAGTGCATAATGTGTGAGTGAGTCAGTGCATGGTGTGTGAGTGAGTCAGTGCATGGTGTGTGAGTGAGTCAGTGCATAATGTGTGAGTGAGTCAGTGTATGGTGTGAGTGAGTCAGTGTATGATGTGTGAGTGAGTCAGTGCATGGTGTGAGTGAGTCAGTGCATAATGTGTGAGTGAGTCAGTGTATGATGTGTGAGTGAGTCAGTGTATGATGTGTGAGAAAGTCAGTGTCGGCTCCCTCTGCTTGCGCCGTCGTCCCACCCCCCCCTGACTCCGTTGGCCCCCCCCAGCTCCGTCACCCCTCCCCCGACTCCGTCGGCCCCCCCCTGGTTCCGTCAGCCCCCCCCAGCTCCGTCGCCCCCCCCCCAGCTCCGTCGGCCCCCCCGGCTCCGTCGCCCCCCCCCGACTCCGTTGGCCCCCCCTGGCTCCGTCGCCCCCCCCCAGCTCCGTCGGCCCCCCCTCCAGCTCTGTCACCCCCCCCCCCCCAGCTCCGTCGCCCCCCCCAGCTCCGTCGGCCCCCCCCTGGCTCCGTCGCCCCCTCCCTGGCTCCGTCGCCCCTCCCTGGCTCCGTCGGCCCCCTCCCGGCTCTGTCGCCCCCCCCCCCCGACACCCTCGGCCCCCCCCAGCTCCGTCGCCCCTCCCTGGCTTCGTCGCCCCCCCCCGGCTCTGTCGCCCCCCCCCCCCGACACCGTCGCCCCCCCCCCGGCTCCGTCACCCCTCCCCCAGCTCCGTCGGCCCCCCCCCGGCTCCGTCGCCCCCCCCGGCTCCGTCGCCCCCCCCCCGACACCGTCGGCCCCGCCCCCACCTCCGTCGGCCCCCCCCTGGCTCCGTCGGCCCCGCCCCCACCTCCGTCGGCCCCCCCCTGGCTCTGTCGCCCCCCCCCAGCTCCGTCGGCCCCCTCCTGGCTCCGTCGGCCCCCCCCGGCTCCGTCGGCCCCCGACTCCGTCGGCCCCCCCCGGTTCCGTCAGCCCCCCCCAGCTCCGTCGCCCCCCCCCCCCCCAGCTCCGTCGCCCCCCCCGGCTCCGTCGCCCCCCCCCGGCTCCGTCACCCCTCCCCCGACTCTGTCGGCCCCCCCCTGGTTCCGTCAGCCCCCCCCAGCTCCGTCGCCCCCCCCCCAGCTCCGTCGGCCCCCCCCGGCTCCGTCACCCCTCCCCCGACTCCGTCGGCCCCCCCCTGGTTCCGTCAGCCCCCCCCAGCTCCGTCGCCCCCCCCCCCCAGCTCCGTCGGCCCCCCCCGGCTCCGTCGCCCCCCCCCCCGACTCCGTTGGCCCCCCCTGGCTCCGTCGCCCCCCCCCAGCTCCATCGCCCCCCCCCGACTCAGTCGGCCCCCCCTGGCTCCGTCGGCCCCCCCCGGCTCCGTCGGCCCCCGCGGCCCCCGCGGCTCCGGCGGCCCCTTCCGTCGGCTCCCTCGGCCCCCTCACAAACGGCCCCGCCAGCCGCTGCTGGCCGCGCGCGCCTTAGGCGGCCATCTTGCGGGCTGCGCGGGCCTCTGGGCCGTGAAGCTGGCGAGGAATCCCGTGGCGGCGTTCTCGCCGTCCGTGCGCAGCAGCAGCGGCAGCAGCAGCGCGGGCCCCGTCGCGTGCACGCTGCCGGGCGGCGCCGCGCCGCAGTAGCGCGCCAGCCGCGGCGCCGCCGCCGTGCCGCCGTCGTGCAGCGTGAGGGCGTCGTAGCGGCACAGCGGCTCTCTGTAGGCCCCCCACACGTCTCGTAGGCCCCCCACACGTCTCGTAGGCCCCCCGCACGTCTTGAAGGCCCCCCACAGGTCCTGTAGGCCCCCCACACGTCCTGTATGCCCCCCACACGTCCTGTAGGCCCCCCGCACCTCTTGAAGGCCCAAACGTCCTGCACGAGACAGTAGTTGCAGCAGCAGAGGTTAGTGTAAATGCGGTTGGTATTACCTTAGAGTCGCGGAATCTCTTCAGAAAGGTGAGAGACTCGATTAGTTGAGCCTTCTTATCCCGGAGTCTGTTGAATGATCTTAAGGTTGTGTGGAATCCCTCCCCGTAGAGGCGGTTAAATTTCGATTTAAAGCTTTCGTGACTGCAAGGATTCATCTTCTTCTTTCGGTAAAGTCACGTAGAATGAGAATAAAATAATAAATTCCTTTGTCAAGGGGTGCCTCTGTGGATGTGTATGCTTTAACTTTAACATAGCCATTTCTGTGACCAATCACAAGCTAATCACTCAGCTATTTCAATGCTAAATTCTATGCTAATTCCTTTGTCAAGGCGCTTTGTTTCTTCTCACACAGCTTAAAGGTCGCGATCTGAGCATGGCTTTTTCGCTCCAGCGCTGTCCTCCAGACAGTCTCGTCCCTTCACCTGATGAAGGCCGCTTGTGTTGTGGCCGAAACGTTGTGAGAATTTTATTGTGTTATTTTATTTGCTCAATTTATTATTTTATTCTCATTCTACGTGACTTTACCGAAAGAACCAAAGAAGATGAACCCTTGCAGTCATGAAAGCTTTAAATCGAAATTTAAGTGTGTTGTTGTGTCCTATAGTACAGTGGTTCCACACAGTGCAGATGAGATGTAACAGTCCAGTAGAGAGTCCTCAACATGGGTGGTGGAATCCATGAGTGAAGTTCATGGCGACTGACCGCTGGTGAGCGAGTGACTATTCAACGGCTCAACAGACTCGATGACAAACGTTTCACAGAGAAGCGTTTGGTATTGTGCAGGGTGCGGCTAACGAGCAGTGGGTGTGTGGCGCGTGTAGTGTGGCGGAACACATCGACCTGACGTCGCCGCTGCAGGAGCCATTCTCGGAGCCGGTGTGCAACCCGGCCCTGCCGGCCAGCATGCACACGCTGGACCACCTGGCCGGCGTAGGCGCTCGCGGCTCCCTCATGTATGGAGGAGAGAAGCGTCTGCGAGGGGTAACCACACACGCGCATCCACAACATGAGCATTACTATGTAGGGAGGTTTACAGTGACTGTCCTTAGGATATACTCATCCCCACCATAATGTGGAATTTCCACGACTGGCTAAGGCCTATAAACAGGATATGCTAATTTGTGTAGGAAACCACTTTTATTTTGATGCATGAGAGCCATTTACAACCACCCGGGTACACAACCATACATGTTCTGCATTAGCAAAGGTTGTCAGTAGCCTCTGTAGTAAACTCAAATATCGGTCGTGTATTCTTCTGGCCACAGCGTCACCTAACACTGTTCCTCATCCATCAACCACATTTGGAAACTCATGGAGTTGAAATTTCCGAAAACAAACGGTATCTAGATCTTGGCGAGAAAGTCATCATGGCCAAACCCACTGATGCCACCAGCATCCGTATCAGACAGATGTACTCAAATGTCACAAATTAGCTTAAACACTATGATAGCTATCAAACACACGTGTTTGTAACAATTACATTGAGGCTTTACTGTGGAGTGGATAGACTGTGATGCTGTGATGTGTGGTGCTTTGCTGTGTTTCCCCCAGGAGCTGGAGAGACTGGCCAAGGCCTCATTAGGGGAACGACGTCTGGAGCACGTGGCCACCCGAATCGCCAGAGCGATGGAGAAGGTGTTCGAGGATCTCTTCATACTCAGAACACTATCTCAAACTTAACTTACAAGCCTTATAGACACTCTTTCCGGCCAAGTAGCTTACAATTGGAAGATTTAGAGTCAAAATATTGGTTGGTGGTTGACTCGGCCCATCATCACTCTGGCAAAGTAAATAGTGGTTGTCCTATGGACTCCCCCCTGCCATAAAACTAGGAATTCCTACCACTGGCTCAGGACTGCAAACAGGAACTGAACACTGCCTAAATGCTTATTTGAGTAGGAAATTACTCTGGCTTGCAAATCTGCATCACCCACACCCGCCAGGTGTCAGAGGTTCATATGATCCTTTGTAATCTTGGGTTTTATTCAGCCTTCGTTCTCGTTTTCTTCCCATGTCTCGCAACTCTACAGCGCCTGCGACGTCCTCACCCTAGCTGATGCAGACTAAAATCCATACCTTTGTCACAACCCAAATAGCCTTCTGGAATTCTGTCCTCTACCACCTCCCCACATCCCTTGTCCCCTAAATTCCTCATCTCCAAGCTCCAGATGATCCAAAATGCAGCTGCCAGGCTTCTCGTCCGCACCTGTAAATGAGACCACATCTCCCCAATATTCCAATCCCTCTACTGGCTGCCAATCCGAGATCAATTTAAGGTCGCATTCACAATTATCAAGATCCTCCATGGACCCCCTTCCCTCTCTACTCTACTCCCCTCTATGCATTCTCATACCTCTCCCCTCTCATCTCGCTCTACTCCCCTCCACTCACTGTGCTCAAACTCCCTTTATGTGCTCTCAACTCCAGCATTAAACACGAGAGAACTTGGTTCAATCTCGTGCGAGAGCTGAACACTTGTATGTGTGTATGTTGAACTTATTTCGCACCGTACATAGCCAACCGTGCTGTGTGCTGGCTATATGTTCTGCCCACAGAATGACACATCATGGGTGTTGGCCAACCTCGCTGCCCTCTACTGGAGGATCCAGGGCCAGGGGCGACGTGCGATCGATTGCCTGAGACATAGCCTGCACCACGCCCCTCACCACATGAAGGTGCCCGACACCGCCAGGGCTTCGCTGCACCTTCGTCACTGTGCACCATGTCTGGTGGTTGTTATGGGGTTTTTTCTATTTCAATGTTTCAGAGAAAATCGTTTGCGTTAGAGAAACATAGAATTTGCAAGGTAGTCCAGGGTGGCAAGTGACATACAATAAACACGTAATGATGCGTATACACACATACAAATATAAAGATTCCCCATTTAGCCTTGACCAAACTTTTGGGGCAAGTGCTATTATCGAGCACCTATGAAGGCCATCACTCGAGGGGGTGGGTGGCCAGCACCACACCCGGCTCCCTTTGTCTTGCGTGGCGATTTTTACACACCGCACTAGCTACTCATGTGAGGCTCAGTCAACCTAGGGGAGGTCCAGAACCTGTTCAGATCATCAGCACTGGTGTTGGCCTTGAATGGAAATCAAACTCTGGTCGCTGGGTTTGTAGCGCAGCGTGCTAAACACTATTACACCGTTCCCCCACCCACACATAGAAAACATACACATTTTAAATCTCTAACTTAACACACATGTATACACGCAGACCTCGCTTAGTGCTCAAGATGTGTTCCTGGAGAAGTGAGCGCAAATTGAATCAACACGAAAATGGGTCATTTTACTATTATATATGGAGATGCATTCCTGATGTTATTTCTTGTTTATGAGCAATACATGAGGGATTCATTGGGATATCGGTAAAAGTACTAATAAAAATACAGATGGTAAACATGATTTAATAAATAAAAGCGAATATTTTGTTATATCAATATTATGTACTATACTCACGAGTGCATTCTACCGACAACCCACAGCCACCTGATGCTCACCTGCCCTCAACCCGCCATATCACTTGGATTTTGACATCGAAAGTGATACTTTTCCTGACACTTTGGTCACATTTCCAGCACGAACACTTGCAGGCCTTTTTCCAGACATAATGGGTCTTAAAATGGTCACAAAAACAAACATAAATGAGGCAGAGACCAAGGTGGAGTAAACATACGTCAGTGGGCACGTGTTTTTTTAAATACTGGCGAGCGTTTCTCAGCTCGGAGCATTTCTTGCTCTCATTGGCTTTATGTTTCCTCGGCCAGTGCGGCATGTTCTGACTCAAAAGCGCTTCTAAGATTTTTGGATGTTCTTAATTTTTTTATTAAAAATGTCACCAGGACAAAGAGCACTATAATGAATCAGCATTCTACGGGGTAGTGCTTAGCAAGGTCTCCCTGTATACTGAAAATCACTCCCAAACTCATCAACATGTAGATAATTAATTATGCACTGGTTTATGTAGAATCTACTCTTGCTGCACCAGTTGCAGATGTGCCAGTTTGTTTGAATTAAAGTTGTAAATCAGTTAAATGTTGAGGTTGGTGGTGCATTTCGTGTGTCTTGAGAGATCATTCCATGTTGACACAGCTCTGTGAGGCAGAGTGTGCCTGTTGGGTTTGCCTGTTGGGAATAATCGTTGTCAAGTGGCTTGCGATGTTGACCTGCCTATCCGGCGCGTGCGTTGTAGGACGTGGCTCTGGTTAGTCTCGCGAACGTGCTCCTACAGGCCAGGCTGGGGAAGGAGGCTCAGGTCGTGGCTGGCATGGCAGTGCACATCTCTCCCAGAAACCCTACCGCACACTGCACGCTGGGCAATGCCTACCTCGCCATGGTGAGCACCGTGCCACTGCTCGCACCTAATTCACATCGCAACAGAAGCCAAGTGAGTAGTAGAGTTAGCAGCTCGCAATCAGAAGGTTGTGAGAAAATCCTGTTGACTCCGGAGCATTGACCCAGGGTTGATGAAATTCATATCACTGTGTGAGGAAATCCGTCCCGTGACAAACTCACCCCTGCGATAAAAATGTTGGATTTCCACTGCTGGCTCAGGGCTGTAAATAAGAGTTGAGTCTTGATGAGGGAATTCTTCTGGGATGGATGGTGGTGAGAATCCGGTTTCAGGTAAGCAATACATATGGGTAGCTTTCCTGTAGACAGAGTGGCTCATTGAACCATCAGGTCTATTTTTTATTAGGACATCAAGCACGTACACCAAGCTCTTAAGGCTAATGGTTACTCCGACTACACAATCCGCAAAGCTATCACTCCAACCATGAAGAAGGACCCTCTTGAGGAGCCTTTCAAAACCATCATTTTACCCTACATTGCGGGGATCACAAAAAAGATCTCCAAAATCTTGAATAAACACAAGATCCAGGTCCGATTCAACACATTACATAAAATCCGTGATCTGGTTCCGTTTGTAAAAGATTTGATTCCGGACATACAGTACCCTGGCGTCTACAAACTAAGTTGCCTCTGTGGTAGTAGTTACATTGGAGAAACCAAACGACATGTCTCGGACCGCATTCGTGAACACAAAGCAGACCTAAAACACGGTAGGACCAACACCTCGGCCGTAGCAGATCACTGTTATAATTCAGTAGGCTCACATGACATTGACTTCTCCAATACAGAGGTTCTTTGCAAGCTATCTGGCTACCATGAGAGATTCGTTCATGAGGCTATCCACATATACAAACACAGAGACAATTTAAACCGAGATGGATTCTGGCTTAGCAATCATTGGAAGGATTTGATAAACCATTTCGGGTCTTAATTGATTGTTCACGCTTACGGTGGCTTTCAGACTGCATTCATTATTTGCGTCTCCCCCCAACTTTTTCCGAACATAGATGGACTCGTCCATCTGAACTGTCAAATTGCTCTCCGTGATGCTAACGTTAAAAATAACCGCCACTTTTTTCAAATTTTCTTGCTGTGGTTTTCACACCTGATGATGATTGCTTGTGTTGCAGTCGAAACGTCGTGATAATTTTATTTTTTATATTTGTATTATTTTATTGTTTCCCTTCTATGTGACTTTACCGAAAGAACCAAGAATATGAATCCCTGCAGTCACGAAAGCTTTAAATAAAAATAATAACAATAATAACAATATCACGACGTTTCGATCGCAACACAAGCAATCGTCATCAGGTGAAAAATATAGCGAGAGAGCTGCTGAGAATATATGGTGGGAGCGCTGCTCAGGCAGGTAGTTATAAACGTTTGAGATGGGTGTAGCCCAAGGGTCAGTGGGCGGGGCTCGAGATGAAATTTGCATGTAAATTGCAGATCAGAGATATCTTGACAAACGAAGCTGTGGGTGTGGCCATTGTATTGTGAGAGATTAGCATGTCATTGTAAGAAATTTGCTTGTCAATATAAGACATTTTATTGTAAATGTAAGCTCGGCGAGAGCTCGGAAAGAGCCATCGCCACATGGAGGTGGAAAAGAATGGCAAGCCGCCATTAATTGCTTGTGTTGTGATCGAAACGTCGTGATATTGTTATAATTTTTTATTATTTGTTCTATCTACGTGGCTTTACCAAAAGACCCAAATAATATTGATTTTATGCATTTTTTTACATTCCAGTTTCTGTGGTGTTAGTTTTCAATTATTAGGATATGTTTTGCCATTGTTAAGTAATAATTGTCCATAGGATTCTGCCGTGGTGCAACGGTTGGGCCAAACACTGGACTTGCGATCCAGATGTCGCCAGTTCGACTCGATCTCCGTGCGTAACAGTTGAAATGGGGGCAATTTTCTTAAATGCCCCCACCTCTGTCCATCTAACAATACAAATGGGTACTCATTCGACTGGCAGGTTACATGTGGTGGGGTAAAGTGTGGGTATGCCCGCCTCTTCCCGCCTGGCCAGCGTGGTCTTTCTGCCAGCAGTGATATGCATGATGAACAAAATGCAGGGCTGGATCTTTAATGTTTTAACTACAATGGGCACCGGCATGGTTGTGTGTGCATAGGAGGACAGACAAAAGGCCCTGCAGTGCTACGGATCAGCACTGGCCCTACAGCCAGAATACCCTACCGCCCTGGAGCGTCTGCGAGCTGTGCAATGCAACATCCTTGTCTATGAAAACCAGTAGGCTTGTGACCTCACCTGGGATGGGCACTTACCTGTGATCTCACCTCAGAGGGCCATTCACCCATGTTCTCACCTGTGAGGGCCACTCACCTATGTTCTCTCCTTTGCCCTCAACTGGTATTGGAATCAAATGTGGAGAGTTTGAAACTGCACAACATGGCGTCTTGGGTTTTTTTGTCAAATTTGTGTCCAAAATTTAAACATAATCAGATGTGTATTAATCGTATGGTAATTACATTAGAAGATGAAATCCCTCTACACACTTGACACATGCCCTGTATGGACAGATGTTGGCTGCACATGCAGCAGAGCATGTGGTATCGATCCCTGCGTGTCTTGACGTGGGTGATCGGCAATGCCTGTGGTGAGTCGAGGCAAAATTCAAACCTCACAGGGTGATCATTTTCAGTTTTTATTTGAGCAGAAAATGGCCAATTCTTTAAAAAATATGAATTTAATCTAAACGCCGTGAGGTTTATGTTCCTTGTCAATTATAAACCATCGTGAGGTTCACAAGAATGCAGATGGTTGCATATTTTACAACACTTGTGGGGAGCTTGGTGAATCTCAATATTGAGAATATTTGTGGTACTCAGTGTCCTTCAGACCTTGTATTTGTACCACGTGGAGATTAAACACTTTGACTGATTCAGCTGATTTCTCATTGTGGATGTGTGGGAATGCGCCATGCACGACAGGAAAATCCTCATACTCTGCACGAGGCTTGCCGAGTTCTGATACTAGTGTTGCCACGTGTGGCGAGAAATCCCAGCTGCCCTTGGGCCACTGAGGGGACGATGAAATGTACAGCCAGCCGAAGACATGCTCACCACAACAAACCCCGATTTGCCCATGGGCCTGAAGACAGAAATTCCTCCTCCCTGTCTCCTATTCCCTGTGTCTCTTCATTATCTTTCTCCAAGTCTCTCTTGTTTCTTTCTCGCCATGCCTCTATTTGTCCCATCTCTCCTTCTTGCAGATCTGTGAGTCATCTACAATTTTAGTTATTTCTCTAATTTTTATACATTCATTATAAACAATATATTGCTGGAATGCATCCCAGTTCAACTATACTTCACCACACCACTCATTGGGAGTTAGGGAAGACCCAGTAGAGGTTCAGATTCAGGTAATCACCACGGATGTTGGAAGTGAGGTGGAAATTGAGTTATTGGTTAACAAGAGACGGAGATAAATGTCATATTTGTCATTGTATTATTCACAATGCGATATGTAAAATATGAAAATTTTTACTTGGTAATTAGGATTTTAAGTGTTTATTATTTTTGGATGTGATTTGCTTCACCACATAAGCTTGCCTCGTGTGTAGTGTGTGTTCAATTCCCACTCATTGCCAATATCGGTGGATATCTGAACTACCGGTAGTCCTGGATACCTCCCCTAGATCGACACAGCCTTAAATGGGTACCAAATGCGATGTAAACATCAGCATTGGGGAGACAAAGGCGGCCAGGCGTGGTGCTCGTCAAACCATCCCCTCATAAGTGCGAATCACTAACAGCACTCGTCCTAGCAGCCTGTGTGGGTGACACAGGGCATCTTTGTCTTTATATTTGTGTGTGTAGGGGAGTCAGGGTTAACAATGAAGATATTTCTTGTTTAGTCATTTAATTAACTTCCTTTGCTGAACACGCATTATACAGAGATGAGAGAAACAAGACGAGAGATGAGACCCAGATAGAAAGAGACGGGTTGAGGCACACACCAATCATAGGCTCACAAGAGCTAGACGAGATCTCCCATAGGGTTCAGTGTTAATCACCCAGGCTCACAGAGCCAGGCTAAAGCTCTCTCCCACACAACATGACCCAGAAAGTGCTTAAGAATTTAATCAGAGACACGGATATTAATACGTGCCTTCACTAACCATACTTCACCAAAAATCGCCATTACTTTCACTTACATTACCAGCGGTGAACACTATGGGAGCCTCAGGATGAACACAGGGACACACAAAGACAAACTGACACAAACCCAAAGATTCACAAAAGTCCATAGCCTCAAGGAGACCCATACACTCGCACAGAAACCCTCCCACACATCTCTCGGTCACGGGGAGAGATAAGGAAAAAGAGGGTTCATAATGGCCATGTCGTCTCTCCACACACACACACGCTAAAGCTACTGTATCACGGTTATTAACAATAATTGTCAACTAAAGTACAATTAAGTACCTTACGTTTGAGATAAAATATTTGATCATACAAGTATTTGGTTTAAGATGTAGTTATCGTGAGTAAATTTAACACTTTGAGTAGCTAGTGTTGCGTTTGTGAGTTTAATGTTTTCATTTGTGGGACCAGGAGTTAATTTATCGACCATTTCAACCAATCATCAATAACGTGAGTACATGTATCCTGTATACACATTAACGCGCATAAACACAGACTTCGCAGAGATGCCCCATGGCCTCACGCAAACGACAGACTCGCGCAAACACGGAGATTCACAGCCTCTTAGACACACGAAGACTCATACAGACTCGAGTAGATGTAACCAGTTCCACTATTTCGCACTTCTGACCGTGATCCAAGATCACAGGGGTGGTTGTTGAATATGAACGTCTCGACGAATTCTCGCGTTGCCTATTGCGCCGACTGCGTCGTCCCTCGCGCCTCGGGGCTCCCACAGCTCCAGGAGACGGCAACGGCCTTTTTTTTACGCACCAACGCCTCAGCCTCCTGTGTTTGTGTGTAATACCTTCCATTAATATATTTTCCCAAATTACCCATATATTCGCTTTTCTTGAATGACCTAGTATCGCAATATTTGGTATCGTCCCCGAGTCGCTATCAGGAATGAAAATGAGCTTCATAGCTCATCGGATTCTTCCAGTAAAGATTCTGATTCGGAATAAATTGCGCTTCATTAACGAGACGCTTACTCGCAATATAAAACCGTCATACAGCATGAAATCGCCCAAAACAATGCATTAAATATTGAACAATGTTATTAACAACTGACGCCCAAACCCAGTTTACAATGCCATAAGCAAATACTGGAATATCGCCTCCTGCACAAAGATGCGTTCCTAGGAAAACGTGAATAATTATAATGAAGTGTAAAAAAATGCAGATGATAACTTAACAATGTATTATTTCAACTACTGCTACAATAAATACATAATTAGATAAACCATGAACTAGAAACCCGTCACAACTCGGATTCTCCTCCCACAGATGCCCACAGAGCCCCGCCCCTCGCGTGCGGGGGAGAGTGGAGGGGCTGCGGGGGTAAGGAAGTCACGTGCCCCCAAGTGCGCGCGCTGCCGTAACCATGGTTACGTGATGGAACTCAAGGTGACGAGGCTGACGCTGATGATTTTGTAGGGTTGAGTCTGCAATGAGGATTGCTATGTTCTGTAATTCATATTGATGTTTTTGATACTACTACTACTGATGATGGTGGTATGAAGCTGGGCTATGCCATTGATATCGATGGTGTCGCTCCTACTATTGTACTAAAGTACTACTGAAAAGAAGACTTGGGCTGGTGTACTTTAACTGCTTTATTTCGTTGTCACCGCTCGTACACCACAGAAACACTCCTCATGAAAACCAACCCCATTCCCACGTTTTCAAGTTCCTTTTAAACCCCTTCACCAATCACCTTTCTCCAATTTCCCGCTTTGCCAATACGCTCTACGCACAAATCCGATCAGAGTGACAACGACTCACCCATCGGATTGCGTGTCGTGCACGTCAGTGCTCACCCCGATCTCTATTCCCCGCGTAAGCGTGCCGTGTGTGCGTGACGTGAGTGACCCCTGACCTCCGACCCTTCCCTGGTGCATGTGTGTGGCGTGTGCGATGTTGAGTGCAGAAGGTAACAGTGTTTGTATGATGCGAGTGTGTAAGGATGGGTGAGACATAATCTACATCACCCCCCTCTGTTGAGACAGAGCCGTTCCCGGCCCGAATAACTCCGTGCCCTGGCTAAACAAAACGTAACACGGCTAGGACCCCGACGCATGCATAATGATATGAATCCTGAAAAGCATTAAAAAAACAATAAATGAATGTAAACAATCGACGAATGCCAACGAGCGTCCGACATACCCGTTAAACCAAGGGGACAACAAATAAAGAGAGCAAGGGAAGAAAGAAGGGAAAGGGAAACGAGAAGACAAATGATACACATTTATTCCTTTCGCCGATATCTCCCAGGATCTGTCACCACAACTGAACAAAAGAGGGTCCCAGGGATATCTTCATTTGCTCCTGCGACGAGGCGACGTGAATGTGAGCGGGTGCACAGTCCACCTCTCGTGGACGGGTCAATGCTCAGGGTTGGTGCTGTGTCCCCAGCCGCACCCGCCGATGGACCCGGAGCTGGCGAGCCATTCATCTGTACCCCTGCAGGGGAAGCAGGAGTAGGATGTCACTTGAGCGAGCAGCCACCTACGAGCACGACAACCTCTCGCCACCTGGCCGAAGTGACAATGAAGGCGGTGAACATGAGGATACGTGAGGGGGCGGCTCGTCCGCAACATAGCGTTTCGGCCTAGAGGGGTGAACATACCACCAACGTTTCCCCAACTGAATGCAGACACACTGGGGTCAAAGTATTTGCACTTCAGTGACCGGGCTTTGCCACGGTCAATGCAGTTTCGCTGAAGTGCGTATCGGCACCTGTGAGCAGTGCAACCAAGCCAGGTCGCAAACCGCAAAGGGGGCCATGATCACTGACTTAGCTCGCAAGCGTTCGTTCGCCGCCTGCGCTAACGCGGATGCCACTGAACCCTTCTCGTGAGCCTCGCGTAAATACTCCAGCGAGTAGAAAAACGAAGCCGACCAATCACCTGCCCGCTGCACAGGCTGCAGCTGAGCCTGAATCAGAGGGTTCGGCTCCCGCGCTACATTAAAAAAGGGTGAGTATCCCGTGGATGCATGTGGCAGCGAAAAATAGTCCATTTGCTAGGCGTTCATCAAATGACATAACATCCCCAAGATTGTGCGGTTAAAGCGTCAAACCATACCATCCGTTTGCGAATGGTATGGGGAAATTCGCACCTTCTTGACCCCTAACATGTCGTACACCTCTTGCAAAAGCTTGAAGGAGAAGTTGCGCCCTGGTCTGTCAACAGGTGCTCAGAAACCCCCTTGTCAGCCACATACCCGTTAACAAAGGCATCGGTTATAGACGCCGCGGTCTGATCGACCAATGTTCCATGCGAAGGGCCAGTGGGTAAAGTATTCTATACCCGCTAGTAGGTATTTATTACCCCGAGCAGTGGCTGGAAAGGGGCATAATATATCGAGGGCAACGAGCTCGTTAACACTAGAGACTTTTATAGACTGCAGGGGGGGTGCGTATCACGGCAGCCAGAGGCTTCCTGCACGTACAGTCCAAGCAGCCCACCACCCAATGATGGAGATCGGCGGACATGCCCAGCCAAAATTAGCGAAGGCGTAGTGCTGCTTCCGTCTTATGGCTGCCCATATGGAGCAACTGTCGGACATAAACGTCTGCGCATAGCTGACTCCAAAACCCTGTGGCCGACAGTCACATCCCAGTGCATCAACAGGCCATTCAACAACGAAAAAAATTCCCACCACAGTGGCACTAAGGCAGCTTCTGCCTGCTGCAGGTTCCTGCATTCACCCAAGGTCAGCCCTATATCACAGTCAA